TTTATTATATGTATAAATAACTTGTAATGTTACCTTGAGGCTAAGTTATATTTTGCTCGTAGATATATGTATGTATTTCAAATATGACTACCACTTGTCTTACGGTGAAGGAAAACGTCGTGAGGAAACCTAGCAAGTTTGTCTGAGAGAACCTAACAAGTTTTCGAAAGACATGTATAGTCCGCCAGCCAGCACTTGGCCAGCGTGGTGGACTATGGCCTGATCCCCCTCGTATTAAAGAGTAGCCCATGCCCAGCAGTGGGACGTTAAAAAAGCTGTATACAATTGTCATCAATAATCCAGTCACAATTTTCAAAAAAAATTATAATAGTACTTCAAAATACACCTAATATTATTTAGTAATTAAGTTTGCAACCTAAATTCTAAAAGGAAATAACAATATTTGTACATATATAATTTGCTAATGTTATCTACTTCTGTAAAGAATTTGTTATTTTTTTGTTACTTGTTTAATGCAATAAAATTTAGTTCGTGGAAATAAGAGTTACGTATTTTGCAACGGTTGTTTTTGTTGTGTAAATCGTAATGATGTTAAATAAAATTTGTTTTTAACATGCTTCTATTTTCATAGAAATACCTAATAACTTTAGTAAATAAATGATCTGGAATTTATATAAGTAATAAATAAATATGTTGGGACATTAACACACAGCACCATCTAGTTCCATGGTAAGCTACGAGGCTCGTGTTATGGATACCAGATAGTTGATACACTACACATATATAACTTTAAATACATACATATTATAAATGTAAGCAACCATGACTGGAGTACACATATTCGTGCTCATAACACAAATGAATGCCACCAGCGGGACTCGAACTCGCGACCGCTGACACAGCAAGTAGGGTCACTGTCGTCAAATTCAAGTTCCAGGCTGCAACTCTAACCTATAATACCTAGGCTTTATATCCGTATTAATATTATATATAAAAATTAATCACCGAAATGTATGTATGTATGTACGCGCATAACTTCGGATCGATTGTACCAAATTGGATATTTTTTTTTTGTGTTTGTTATTGTCAGGAAGTTTTGTATAGAAGAAATTTAATAAAAAAAAATTTTTTACTAAAAATTTGTATACGAGAAAATTACCATTTTTTTTTATTAAAGTATGTTTTTTTTAAATCTCATGAGATGAAAAGTGAGTAAGTGAAATAGTTTCTATCCCGGAAATCATCCCTTAAGGGGGTGAGAATGGGGATGAAAGTTTGTATGGGGAAGCAAGGCAGGGAGTTAATATTATAAATGTAAAATTTTTCTCAACTGATCTGGATGAAATTTGGCACTGAGATAGATTATAGTCTGGAATAACACATAAGCAACTTTTTATCCCGAAAAATGTACTGTTCCCGTGGGATAGGTTTGTTACTGTTTTCCTAGAGGCGAACCCGAGCGAAGCGAAGGTGAGCCGCTAGTTATATTATAAATAAAAATTCACCCGAGTGAAATGAAAGTAATTCATTAACTTATGATAACGTGAGTGCCTTTTGCTCGTGTATTCACTCATCGATGTTTTGTTTTTTTCAGACCCGGAAGATATGATTTTATGTGGATAATACTAAAAATTTATATATGTAGATGCACCATGGCTGAGTATAGTCACGTCTTCGTGATTCGTTTATTCATACGCAAGGTAATATGCTTGTGCATCTCACTTAGTCACATTGAAATTGTATATCTCTCTCTGTCTTGAAAAGCCATATATATTTATTTATAAACAAAAAACTGAGAAAATCATATTGAATCAAATGATGCGAGATGAATGATCTCACTCATCTCAATATGTACCTACACTTTTAAGCTGTCTAAATGCGATGAGGGCGGGAAATATGTACTGAATTTGTATTAAAATATTTTTATAACACATTTCTAACACAATAAAGGCATAAATAGTACGACAAAATAAGTTCACAATATTTTATTATTTAAAAAAAGGCAATGGCAGGCTGAATAGGATAGATATAATAAACATTATAATATATAGTACTAGCATTGCCCGCGGCTCCGCCCGCGTTCAGATAACCAAAAACCAAATTCTTAGGTTTTACATATTAGTATACTCTTACATTGCGGTTTTTGTATTTTTTCTCTGAAATTAGACATTTTCCCGCGGTAAAAAGTATCATATATGTTGACCCGGATAACCAGCTATCACCAACCAAATTTCATAAAAAGCCCTCCAGTGGTTTTTCTGTGATGCGATAACAGACAGACAGACAAAAATTCTAAAAACTATAGATTCGGCTTCTGTATCGATAATAATGTCTATTTTAATAAGATTTTCCGTAAAATATTCAATGTACAGATTCGGATTAGTTACAATTTTATTATATTTATGGATAATATGGTTAATCTGGAACCTTTATGCATATACACGGAGCCCTGAAATATTGAATCTTAAACGTCAACTGACTCTATAACAGTAAGCTACTTATTATTAAATTATTTTCCTACTTATCACTTTGCAAGGTTTGCTTGAAGTTACCCTTCAGGGTTTATAGATATAAACAGACAAACTGACATTGATATCATTTGCGCTGATTTTATGTGACCTCTTGACTCTTGACAATACAATAACAAGGTTCAGATGAAATATCAAACGTCTCTAATTATTTAAGTCATAGGTGTTATAAAAAATCGAGAAATCGATATTCTTGCTCGGACGATATATATATATATATATATATATATATATATATATATATATATATATATATATAGACAGAGAGAGAGAAAAAGAAAGTTACATACACGTGAAATTTTGGCTTGATATTTATTAAGAAAAAGAGGTGTTGTACTGTTGACTATAGGTAAGTATTTAACAATTACTAAAAGTTACAGATATTATATCCACAATAAATCTAAGTTTTAGGTATAAAGTTGAATTTTAGATTAGTGCAGTGAAGGAAAACATCGTGAGAGTTCCTACTTGTCTGAGATTTTGTATATTGAATAAAAAAGTTATTAAAATATAACGATTGACGTACGTAGCTCTCGCAAGCGATATGATAAATTAAATTGTTAATTTTGATGCAAAATTTAGACATTTTAGATTAGATACTAGTAACTTACTTACGGGGAGGGGACAGCCTTATGGGATGAATTTCAAAAAATGCTAAAAAACGTATTTATTTAATTGTATTGAAGAGCATTAATACCAAGTTGCAAGTAATTCTGATCATAAATAATTGTTTGCCCATATAAACTTTATACCCCGTTTTACGATTTTAATGGATGAATTTCGAAAAAATCTAATAAGTACATATATTTCTTATTATCCATCTTAGAGTTAAATACCACTTTCCGTGCGATTACAATCTTTTATCCCCTATTTTACCCCCTTAAGGGATGAATTTCGAAGAATCCTTTCTTAGCGGATGCCTACATTGTATAAGGAATATATCCTGCAAATTTCACGTTTTTACGACTAGCGGTTTAGGCTGTGCGTTGATCGATCAGTCAGACAGTCAGGAGAAAGCATTTTATGTATATATATGTAGATTATTTCATTGAACGCAAAATGTACATATAATTTAATATTAAATAACACTAACACTTCATTAACACTTCATTTTTGTTTACATTTTGTTCTTGAACTTATAACTAGCATTGCCCGCGGCTCCGCCCGCGTTCAGATGACCAAAAACCAAATTCTTAGGTTTTACATATTAGTATACTCTTACATTGCAGTTTTTGTATTTTTCTCAGAAATAAGACATTTTCTCGCGGTAAAAAATCCTATATGTTGACCCGGATAACCAGCTATCACCATACGAAATTTCATCAAAATCTCCCTCCAGTGTTTTTTCTGTGATGCGGTAACAGACAGACAGACAAACATTCTAAAAACTATAGATTCGGCCTCTGTATCGATAATAATGTTTATCACTAAGATGTTCCAAAAAAATATTTAATGTACAGATTCGGCTTAGTTACAATTTTATTATATGTATAGATTAATATTGTTTGCATGTATTAAATGCTCTAGCTATATCGTTTATTATTTACCTATTGCTTTAAAATATTGTGTACAGTAGGTATATTATTAGAACTAATTAGAATGCATAATTATAATAATTTTTTGCTTATAACGGTTAATGTAGAAACTTGATATTTCATAATATTTCTGCGCTATACATAAAAAAATTCGACAAGTGCGAGTCTGACTCGCACGCAAAGGACTCCACAGCATGAACATTAAATTTGTTTTATTTTCACATAGGTACTTATTTGTTACGTTAAAAATAAATTATAAAAGTATATACGTATATTCATTTTAAAGACGGTATAAAAAGTGTGTATTTGATATTATTGCTACACAGACTTCAAAAAATAAAGGGAGAGGGATGCTGGACTTTACCTCTCATTATATGTATACGGACAGACAGATATAGAAATATACGGAATATTATATTCCATTTTAGAATTTTGGGTACGGAACCCTAAAAATTAAAATAACTTACTGTGTCATCTTAGGTTTATTGAACGCGAGCGGCGCGCAGTGAGCTAGCCGACTGTTGAAACGTCCATTAAACCATCCATCCATCCACTTATAATGAAAGTTTTATGTATGCAAGTAAACAAATGGAAAGGGAAAAAGGCTGCTACTGAACGTCGATTTCTTATAAGACAAATAGTATATACCGACTAAATTCCGACGAGATTGCGATAAACACTGCCCTTTTTAAATAATCGACAAATTTATATTTCTTAAAAAAGTATTTATTATATTAATTCTAGTTAATAAATGGCTTCGAAGAAAAAATGAAGAAAACACGAAGGAGATTGGTCGGTGTTACATTATAAGAACGCTGCCTTTACCGAACGCTATCTATTTTGCTTGTCAAAGTCATTTTGACAATTGACAGCAGTTTTACCCAATCTCAAATAGAATCAAGATGATATCATTCTCCACTAAAATGCTAATAGAATAGAGTAATCGTTTTAATAATAATATTTATATTATGAAAAAATGGCCGACCGTCTCCGTCAGATCGCTCAAAGGGTTAAAGATAAAATACATTTTCCCCAAATAAGAAACAGTAGCAAAGAAAAGGTCGACCAGTTTATAACCAAATATGTCCCCGCATCCCGGGTTTCTGAAATCGCAGAGAAATTTAAACATGAAAGTATTAGTAACAGAGTGAAAGAATTGGTATCCAGATATGAAAAATTCACCGGTATTGAAGAAATTATGGCAATTCAGAACACTGTAATAGACGCACAGGTTTGTCTTATTGATTTTTAGACAAATATATTTTTCAATGTCCCACTGATGTAAATATATCAACTTACATCTTTTAAAAGATTGTAATAAAGTAAAAATAAATAGCTGTAGCAACACACTTAAAGAAACCAATATTATGTTTAAAAATAGAATTATCTTTGAAAGATGTGAAAAAGAAACTCTCTGTTCTGTAAATTATTATTTTATTAAGTTGGACAAACTCATTTGAGTATTCATTATTATAGCACATCATTTTACTTCTTACACAAAAAAACTTAATTTATTCAATGCTATTAGATTCCATTTCTTTATATTATAACTTAGTATATTATAATGTTACATAAAAATACTCAATCAAATAATTATTAAACCAATTTTAAATTTTATTTTTTATGAACACCTCCAGGTAAATTTCTAAGAAATTTATTAAGTTTATAAGAAATCTGTTGTTAACTGTAACATGCCGGTGTGTCGGCGGTCGTGGAGGGATTAAGGAAATAAAAGGCTTATTATTATTAATATTCAATGCTATATCTATTTTATATTAAATATGGTTAAATATTTCTTATTTTATTATTGAATATTATCTTAGGAAAGATTTGCAACTGCGCAAGATCGAAGGCGTGATCTAGGGAGAGAGCTAGCCTCTATTGAAGCAAGACTAAAGGAACTACACTCTGAAATGCAGAATACTATGAAAGGAGATGACAAGTATTTACAGCTATGTACTGAAGAACATAAGGTAAAAATTATGTAAATGAAGTAAAGGGGCATCATCTATTAATAATTATAGTTCAAAATGGGGTAGAGGGGATCCACTAATATCTCATCAAATCTCATTTAAACTAAGGTAATTGTGGTAAATCTCACATTAACTTTAAAAAGAAAATATACATTGCACAGATAATACAAAAAGTATTAAATTTTCTTTCATTTGTTTTGCCTGCTGAAAATATACTTGAATGTTGTATTATTTTTATACTTTATGAAAATTATGTAGTCTTTAACAACTGTTACTTAATTTTCATGTGAGTTGGGAGGTGGGAGAGTGGGGGACGTCTCTCACTAAATCTCACTTAATCTCATCAAAGGGTGGGGTAGGAGTCTAAATTGAAAGAAAAACAGCTCACATAATTAATGGATACCCCCTAATTAAAATAATTTTCTACCATATAAACATATTTTTCTACCTCTGCGTGTCTACAGAATATTGTGAAGTAGTGACTTATTCTTGCTTCGCTCATTTGCCTTCCTATGTGTCTTATTCAGTCAAATTGTTTAGTCAGAATACACCAATAAAGCAACTAAACAGCCAGTTTTTTATGTCTGATGCTAAATACATTTTTATCAGTATAATAAGTAGCCTAAAGTACTCCCCGGTAATGTTGCTTCCTATTAGTATATATAGTATTTCAAAACTGTGCCAGTAGTTTTATAGATTACCCCCAACATACTAACTTACAAATATACAAAAATACCAACTTCCATAGTTTACCTCTTAATAATTTTAATAATTAGATATAGAGTTAAAGACTTTATATAACTTATGAAATATTTAAGGAAATAGCTAATGTTTTAAGTTCAAAGAATTTTATATATGAAAAGTGTTTAGATCCCATATAAAGAAATATTGTACATTACTAATGTTATTCATGCTAAATGAAAATAGTTATTTAACTCAAATTTTACTGTCTAATCAATTAAAATAATATAATTATTTGATACTAGCGGCTTACCCCCGCTCTACTCGGGTTCGTCCCTAGATCCCTTTATTTGTTTTAATGATTAGTAATGATTTCTTAGAGATGAAATACTTTCCCGCAGTACAAAGTATCCTATATGTTGACCTGGATAACCAGCTGTCATCATACCCATCAAAATCTGTTCAGTGTTTTTCTCGTGCTGTGTTCACAGACAGACAAGACAGACAACCATTGTATAAATATAGATTCGGCTCTGTATCGATAATAATGACTTTCAGTAAGATTTTCCAATGAATATTTAATGTGAAGATTTGACTCAGAATTTTATTACATGTATAGACAACTTTATTAGACATATGTATAGAGTAATTTAGTGTTGCTATATCTGGAATTTTTGTACTATTATAGTTAATTATTCAAGAACGTGCATTGCGAACTCTCTTTTTTGAAGCGGAAAGAGAAGAAAGAGAATTATTCGCGTCAATGTCAGCAGCAGTAAAACTGGGTCACGAAAGGGAAAGGGCACATGCAGAACGCAATAAATATTGGTATATTGTGGCTTCTATAGTTGGTAAGAAAAGTGAATATTTTTAATTTTTCCAAAATATTGATTCTGACTAATTTTAAGTACTTTTTTACTAATTTAGTGTTTATTATAGTAATTTGATACATTTATAAATAACAACAATATAATAAAAAATAAAATCTCGAGACAAATCTATGTTCATACATCCAAACCAAAACCAAACCAAATTTACATAATGTTTTAATTTTTTAACTCAAGTCATAAGTTGCCGGTTATTTCAAACAAATAAATGTCAGATTTTAATATATTAATAAATCATTTATTTTATTATCAGGCACACTTCTCGGTATAGGTGGTTCAACAATCAACAATCGTCTCAAAATGGCGGAATTTAGGGATATGATGGAACAACAAATGGCTAGAAGTGCGAGTGTGTTATATACAATAGCCGGCGGAGGAACTGCAAGTAGAGCGGACATAGCTGACGCTATGAAGACTGAATTTGCTTACCAAGTAAAGATATAAAATCTGTTTTATAATATTATATGGATACTTTAAAAAAGTACTGCATTCAGAGCCATTACAACATTTACCTACTACCATTACAAAGTTTATAAGAGTAATATACATTTTGACCTTATTGACTATATGAAATGTATATTATATTACAACAGCCTCGTTGTTCTAGAGATTATTCGCCGTGACCAAAATTTATTCAGGAGGACTTTTTAGATTTAAACCTAAAACTTTTATGAAACAATAAATAAATAATATTTTTTTAGGAACAACTCGCCAAGAATTTGGATTTGATGCAAGATAATATTAACAATTTAGTGAGTAAGCAGGCGTCCTTAATTGGTAAGTGTTATTTGATAATCTGTACATTGATTGTTTTATTATTCGTTTTTCCATTTAATACTTACTAGCCTCACTTCGCTCGGGTGCGTCCCTAGGTACGATCTTGTTCACAATATTATGGGTTTTAATTTTTTTTTCGTGTAACCCTGATTCTTTTTCTAAAATAAAAGTTGCCTAAATTAGTTCTTATAACATCAACCATGTACCAGTGAAAGTCACGTCAAAATCAATCTAGCCATTTCGGAGATTAGCCGGAACAAACAAACAAACAGACAGACAAATTTTAAAAATTGTGTTTTTCTTATAGGTACCGTATATAACTTCATTTGCGTTTAGTAAAAAGCTGTTATGTTGACATTCCAAACAGAAACTTTAATTTTATTTATCTGTATAGATAAATATATCAATTTACGCACTTTTGAAAACAATTTGTAGATATTGTAACACAGCCTAATTGAATATCAATAGGAAATTGTAAACATTGTTCATTCATTCATTCACAATTCTAATTTGATATTGATTTCCAGATCATTTGAACCACCAAGAGCATGTAATAGACACACAAATAAAAGAACTAAAACGCCTAATTATAGCTGCCTCACAAACAAGTGCCAGATCTGATGCAGAACTGGCTAAAGCACTAAGTGTGGTACAGCATGAACTCGATGATGAGAAAGATATCGAAATTACTCCAACTGCGATAGATGGAAATCAAATTTTAACTGGATTAGGCATATTAATATGTGCAGCAGTGTTTTTTGGCAATATTTTTGGTAGAATCAGTTGATTTACAAGCGAATTTCATAATTCTAAGTGTAAAATGTTGGCTTTTGAAAATATTTATTCAACTTTGAAGCTTGAATTATAATTATCTGTTAACAAAATGTACCACGTTTTTATTATTTATCGTTTTTTTATTCTTCTATATTAGTAATATCAAATTTAATTTTTATATAATATACTTGTTTATGTATTTTATATGGGAGAAAGATAAAATGAAACAGATCTTTAGTAGATTAATATTTATTGAATAATACTTATTCAGCTGTTTGTGCTGCTGGCCGGTTTTTTGTAAAATTGTTGTCTCGAAATAAAATATGAACATGATGTGCTTTTCTTTCTTTTAACCTCTAATTTAAATCTGGTCAAAATTTATTTAATTTTTGTTTCAAAATTATATTTTACAAAAGTAAATATTTTAGTATATAATTAAAAAAATCAGAAATATTTTTTTTATTGGTAGACAATATGATGCTTAAAAATTAAAAACAAATTATTATTGTATAATTAGTAGGAAGTTGAGTTTTAAATATGATATCACCAAATCTACCAAATGGCGCGTCCTAATGGTTGACAATTGACATTGACATATCAAAATTTCTATTTTCTGTCATCTATGATCAAAATAAATTAATGCGCATAAATAAAAATATACTTTATTTAAATACTACGGAATATATTCAACAAAATGCAAGAAGGTAAGCTTAGTTAATAATGAACATCTAAGCCATATTATAATATGTTTATATATTAACGTTTTTGTTACAAATTGTGTTTAAAGCAGACCTGGAAGTCACGGGTGTATCACGTAGTGGCAGAGTTAGGAAGAAAAGTTCTAAATTAATGGATTTTGAATCCCCCGATGATATTGAGACGAGATTTCGTCGTCAAACACCTGTTAAAACGTATTCTAACCCAAAACATGAAGAGTCAGTGGAGTTTCAAGAGTCCACACCCCAAAGGCCTGTGGAAGACACTGGCACAGCGTCAGGCAGTGAATCTGATTATTATGAGAATAATGAAGAAAATGCTGACAGGTATATACCAAATACCGATGTAACCTATTTAATGTTAAAGGCAATGTGACGTTTGACTGCTTAATGCAATTATAACACTATTAGAACCATTCTTTATATTAAAGATATCTACAGTATAAAAGTATTCCCAATCTCAATTGTTTTTATAGATATTACATAACAATTTTTTATTCATGTTGTGATTTCAATAATTTTTTCAGTCTGGAATCAGACAGTACGGGGTCAGAAGATGGATCAACTCGAACTCCTGCAAATTCTTTATACATGATGGAAAAGAGCAAGAAAAAGTTAATTGTAAAGGATGGTAAAGTTGTTGGCCGGGCTAAAGCTCAAAGAAAGGATAAAGGTTTGTTATACATTTGTTTAATAATTGATATTATTAGAGACTATATGATATTATTGCACTCATATTTAACTATGCATATTCATTTTAAACCTTTTCGACAAATAAGTGCACATTTTGGCTAAAATCTAGAAATTATTCATAATCACTATTTTAATAGAAAATATTTCTTACTTTTGAAGGTAAAACTCGCATAACGGCTTACATGATGTGGGCCAAGGAGGCTCGCAATGACTTGCTTAGGAAACATCCAGATATGGACTTCTCGGCTATATCAAAACGTTTAGGAGAAATGTGGGCCAATGTAAGTAAAAACAATTTATTATTGCCTAAATAAAAGCATTTCCTTCAATTCTAAAAAAAACTATGAAAGAGCCGATTTTTTATGTATATATTACAGTTAAAATGTTTATGTACAAAAATCATCTAAAAAATTTTTTTATGATTTTTTATCACACTTGTGGTAAGATCATTTACATATTAAACAAAATTATAAAACAATTCACAATCTGTGGACATATCAAGTAAAATACAATCAAAAGAAATACAAACAAATCAATCACCTCTTCTTTTTTACGTCGGTAGAAAAGGTTTAATTATTAACAGAAACATGTTAAAAAATAATAATGATGATGATGATGATGAAAAATAATAATAATAAACTAATGACATAAATATAGTTTCAAACAAAGTTAATTGAGCACCATGGGTGTGGAGTATGGAGTATGTATGATATAGAAATTTTTATCTGTCTGTCCATCTGTCCGTCCGTCTGTTCTTCCGACTGTCCTTCTCTCTGTCTGTCTAACAAACTGCTAAAACGTTCTTAGGGACGAACTCGAGCGTATTGAAGGGAAATCGGTAGCTAGTAATTTATAATAATATAATGGAATGTAAAATGTTTATGGGAGGAGAAAGGTAAATGGCCGTATATTCTTTTTGTCTCTGTCGTTTTTCCGCCATTTTAAACTGACGGCTTGTAAAGAAACATTCAGCCAACTCTATTATTATGTCTATGTTGAGAACTAACAAAAACATTTTTTAAAGGTAAATTACAATGAACGCTATTTATGGAAGCGTAAAGCGAAACGTTTCGCGATGCAGAAGGAGCAAAACCAAGCAGTTGTTAGCAAAATCATATCTAACCCAAGTGAGTTTTAATTATTCATATTATTATATTAATATTTGTTTTATTTTGTTTGTTTTTTAATTAAAAAAGGTTGCTAGTAATAAAAAATTGGGCAAGTGCGAGTCTATGTACATTGAGGGTTCTGTAGGATAAATATTTGTTGTTTCAAAAAACTTACTCGGAAGTGACCATCAATTTTAAACTATCTTAGGAGATAGGCAGTGGTAGCCTAGTGATAACGCGCTCTTGGGAAACCGAACGAAGCGGGTTCAAATCCCGGATCTCGCACCTCTGATATTTTCATGTGCAACATGTCCAACATGAGTACCACTTGTCTTACGGTGAAAGAAAACATCGTGAGGAAACCTGCATGTCTGAGAAAACCTAGCAAGGTTCCAAAAGACATGTGAAGCATGGTGGGCTATGACCTGATCTCCCTTGTTGTAAAGGAAGGCCCGTGATCACCACTGGTAGAGTTCCCATATTTTGTGATTTGATAATAACTAATTAAGTAAAATTAACAGTTTTCCTATCTCCCTCTTTGTTTTTGGGCAATTTAATCATTTTTTGTTTCATCGAGTATGAAGATAATATAATAATGCTATTTAGTACAATATACATAATTTGAGTACTTGCCTCAAACTTGTTACAGAATACTTTTCTAACTTCCTTCTCTCGAATATGCATAATAGTTGGATAAGGTGTAACAAACAAATAGATAATATGCTGTTTTAATATTAGTTATATGTAGCCGTTAATACTTTTATATTTATTTACAGGCATTCGGTCAACCCCAAACCAGGGGCCAGGAAGACCCTCATCAAATCGGGTTCAGCCCAAGCAAAGCCCTGTGACTCCTCCACAGCAAACACTAGCGGTATGTATTATATCCATAGAATATTATAAATACAAAAGTAAGTCGGTCTGTCTGTTACATTTTGCACACTTAACTCCTGAAATAATTCTAATGAATTTTGGTGTAGGACATAGACTATTTTTTGTCGCAAAAATTGAACTTGAACGAGGTGAAATAGGGTTTGAAAATTTGTATTGGGAACCAATCATCTAAGAAAGCTTCGATCGACAATATTACTAGATATCGTGTCGGCGTATGAAATCCGTCTCGGTAAATATAAGCTCACTTGCAAAGTGAGCGTATATTTCGAATAGTTCTATTGAAACACTGCCAACGTAAACACGTTCACAATGCCGCAATGTGTGTATAAAGGTTGCAAAAATAATACGCGAAGAAGAAATTTTTCAGACTGAGTGTCTTATTTTCGTTAAGTACATGTAGATTGAGTCCATATTTCAAGATTTAACCTACGAAATAACAAAAAAATGAAATTTTGAACAATGTTAAATCCACTAAGAACGTTGGCCCAGATCGGCCAATATACGCGCCAATTCAAAGAAGCAAACAGAAACAAAACAATGATTTAGCTCACAAAGCAACAACGGGAAAAAGTGCTTTATGTTTTCAATGTAAGGTTGATTTTACAATGAATATTATAAAACTTATGAAATGACCGTAAGTATACGATGATAATTCAAAGATTTGTGACTTTATTACAAGGTGCTATGGTGTTGATTAGCTTGAAAATAAAACTATTATAAGACTTTGTCTTGGTTCGTTAGTATACAAATTGTAGCTGTATAAGTATACATTCGCGCGGACAGAATTTAGCTTTGATTTTGTATGGAACACGTTATCTAGTAGTATTGTTAACCGAAAAAGATAAGGGTTAATTAAAAAAATAGGGAACCATTTGGAGTTTTTTAACCGACTTCGAAAAAAAGGAGGTCATCAATTCGACACGACGCGTTTTTTTTTATCTTTTAGTTTTCGTCAAAGAGCGGGCGTGGGCGTTTTTTTTTAACTTATTTCCCTTTCCAGTCAACAAGCACGCCGTTGTCACTGACTGTGGATGGTAGTGCTTTTTTTTTCACCTTTTAGTTTTCGTGAAAGAGCCCACTGTTTGACGAAAAACGTGGGCCTTTTTTTTAAATTTAATTCTCTTCCCAGGCAACGAGCACGCCGTCGTCAGCGACAGTGGGCGTGGGCGTGGCGGTCGCGTACCGCGTGTCGGGCTGCGGCGCGGTGGAAGTGGCCGCGCACCTGCGCCTGTTGGGCGAGAGTCTCGCCATCATTGGGGAGAGGCTGAAGGAGCATGAGGTGAGCTGGTGGAACCCTGGTGGTCTTCAAGCCTTTGCCTAGATAGTCTAGTGCAGCCATACTCAACCTTTTTCTTTTTATAGGAGCCACAAACACGTTTCAGTCATGGTGTCGAGAGCCTCAAGCAAAAATTATTTAGGTCTTAATGAAAACGTAATTCCAAGTTAATGATGTAGTTACTTTTTTAACAAAGATATGTTATAATGCGATTTATGATGCTGCCGCATGTGGCCCGCGGGCCACAGGTTGAGTATAGCTGGTCTAGTGACATATAATAATGCAGATCCGGTGGTTCTGGGTTCGAGCCCCGGATGGGGTCGAGTTTCGTTTTGGGTCTGGAGATGGGAAGTTGGCCATCATTAGGACCTTGTGATTGTGGGTAACCTCAGTATCGTTATCAGCATTTTCTTGTTTTTTTTTATAGTTATTGAAATTATTGATTGCTTTTTTCTTTACATTGTAAATTAACACAATATTGAAACTCTTGTACACTATTGAAAGAATATATATAAGAAGAATATAAGATAGATTAGATATTAATGAGTGTGGACGTGCCTTGTAGGGACAGATAGCGATTTCGTTGTCAGTTTAAGAAAAAAATTAATTATTTAAGTGACTGTTTGCTTTTGAAGTTATACTTCTTTTGGCACGTTTGGAAAAGAATATGTGAGTAAAATTTTTACAATGCGCGCGCACATCGACAGCCAAAAAGCGACATGATGAAGTTAGCTGCATTCCTTTTACAAACAGGTAGTTGTGACATACAGGATGAAATCTTTAGCTATTTTTGTTCTGTTACGCCAAAGAAGTATAACTTCTCACGTGCGTATATAAGTACACGCACACACACGTGTTGAAACAAACCTCACACACTATTTAAATCTATACTAATATTATAAAGAGGCAAAGTTTGTGAGTTTGTGACGTTGTAGGGGGTAATCTCTGGATCTACTGAACCGATTTAGATGAAATTTGATAAGAAGATGGTTTGAGACCCTGGGAAGGACATAGCATCTTTTATCCCGAAAATCAACCCTTAAGGGGGTGAAAATGGGGATGAAAGCTTGTATGGGGAACGGGGAAACTTTGTTAAATATAATTCTTCTGTTAAATATAAACGTGTGTGGTTTAACTGTCTAGGGACAGATAGCAGTGTCGGGGTCGGTGTCGGTGCTGCTGGACACGCTGCTGTGCGCGCTGGCGCCGCTGTTGGCGGTGGCGCGCGCCGTGCCGGCCATCGCGCCGCCGCAGCGCCTCGTGCAGGACACGCTGCACAACATCGCCTACGTCATGCCCGGCCTGTGACCTGCCCCGATCCGCTCCGATCATCTGCGGTCGTGTGTGACCTCCATAATGTTTATTTTTTATTTGGGATGTCATGTAAAAAGTTTTGTGACATTTGCTTATTTTTTTTTTATTTTATACGGAGATTGTTCTTAGACCACATTTTTTTCAGTAACAGATAAAACGATATCGTGTACGTCATGCCCGGCCAGTGACCCGCACCGACTCTGTGCGGTCGTGTGTCACCGCCATAATGTTTGTGTTTTTTTTTGGGATTTCACGTAAATGTTGATTATACGTTTCGTGACACTTATTAAGTTTTTTTCCTTTTTTATTCATTTGTATGTAAATATTAAATAAACGTTTTGTGACATTTCTCGGTTTTTTTTTATTATATACCTAGATTGTTCTTAGACCACATTTTTTTCAATAACATCATGCAGGACACTACGACATCGTCTACGTCATGCCTGGCTTGTGATCGGCCCGGATCGTTTGCGACTTTGTGTGACAGATAATAAGACTAAGTAGAATTTAATGAGTAGGATAATTGTAAGAGTTTATTTATGAAAATATACATTGATACCAAGGCTACGAAGCAACGTACAAAGAGGAAACAGTGAAAAAAATATGTAAATGTATTCTATCTCATTCTCATTCTCCCGCACGTGAAATCATATACATTTATATTATTTTATACTAGGATTGCCCGTGGCTACGCCCGCGTTCAGGTGACCAAAAACCAAATCCTTAGGATTTACATATTAGTATACACTTTGCAGTTTTTGTATTTTTTCTCAGAAATGAGATATTTTCCCGCGGTAAAAAGTATCCTTTATGTTGACCCGGATAACCAGCTATCACCATAAAAAAATTCATCAAAATCCCTCTTGTGGTTTTTCTGTGATGCGGTAACAGACAGATAGACAAAATTTCTAAAAACTATAGATTCGACCTTTGTATAATAAAGTTTATATCAATTTTCAAATAAATATCTAATGTACAGATTCAGCTAAGTTACAATTTTATTATATGTATAGATTTGTGTCTTTTTAATGTCGCTTTTTCATTACATGGAGTTTCAAATCACAACGGGGCTAAATAAGTTTTCACTTGAAAAATTGGTACACTTACAACGTTTGAATATTAGGAATATTTTCGTCATATCCATTTCATCGGAACTCTGCACAAGTAACCAGATTGACAACTGGTCTTAAGTGACGTGTGGCCGACGACCTTAACCTACAATAAGATTTAAACATTCTATAATACTTTCTTAGATTTACGCGAATATTTGCGCGATTTTTTCGCGAATTTATTTTGATTTTTGGTTCCCGACGTTTCGAATGCATTACAGCGATTACCTATGGTCACGGGAAAGACTAAGGTGTTAAATGTCTTAAAGGCATTACATATATAGTTGTTACAGACAACCTACCCACAAATTACAAATGAATTCAAAATAATGAAAAATGGCAATTTTAATTATTTTTATAATTATAATTGAATATGGAGTATTATTTATTTAATTTTAGCTGGTATTATTATAATTATTTATTAAACATTCTATTTACCAGTAACCACTTAGCCTACTCACGTACTAAATTTGACCCATTCGTTTTAGCGTGAAGAAGTATAAATAAATATATAATATATAAATATGTTGGGACATTAACACGCAGCACCATCTAGTTCCATGGTAAGCTACGAGGCTTGTGTTATGGATACCAGGTAGTTGATACAATACACATATAAGATTTTCATATATACATACATATTATAAATATAAACACCCATGACTTGAGTACAAACATTCGTGCTGATCACACAAATGGATGCCCCCAGCGGGACTCAAACTCGCGACCGCTGGCAAATCAAGTAGGGTCACTACAAACTGAACCATACGTGTCGTCAAACAAAGAAACACACACACACACACACATAAATACAAACTAACACCTTTATAATACTAGTTCGATTAATAAAAATACATGCAAACCAGGGGCACCTCATTAGTATTAGAAGATAATAATATACATTTATTCATCGTGTACGCAAATGTCTAAATAACGTGGAGAATTATTCTTAACCAGTTTATAAATTACTGTTCTCTTGGAAAACTGCTTTTGAAGGCAGAGTGTACACTATGCGTTTAAAACGCGCGTTTTTATTTAATTTTATAAGATAAAATGGCTGAAATAATAATAATGGCCTCCAGACCGATTTCGGCCACGGCGGCCAATCTCACTGAGACTCGCCAGCTGCAAGAGATAATTTAGTGCACAAGTATACGTGGGCGGTGGGACAAGTGCATTCTCTATTCCTGTCACTCTTATGCTCCGGTGTGACGACTACTCGACAGTCGACATGCCCAGGGAGAGTTAAGGCGCAGGAGCGACTGTTTTATGTGCTCTCCGAGGCACGGGGGTGAAACATCGCCAACTTCCTAACTCTGTCTGTTACTGGGACTTCCTTAATGGGAAGACTCAAAAGATAACTTGGCCTGATCCGGGACTCAAACCTAGGCCACGGATACAATGGTGAATACAAATTTATATGAAATAAGCCACTGCCTTCTTTTTTTAATTTTTTAACACTCGTTTGAGAAACTGAGTGAAGCAGGTTCAAATCCCGGGTCTCACATCTCTGATACTCTCATTTAATCCAACATGTTTACTACTTGTCTTACGGTGAAGGAAGACATCGTGAAGAAATCTGAGAGTAAGTGCTGAATACGAAAGATATTAAAGCTCATGTGCCTCTTTTGGCTTCCCGTTGGGCTGGATTGCCGGACACTACTTAGTAACCACGACAGATGATAGTTGTCTTCCTTCGCGATTTGAAAAAAATCAAAAACTTTTTTCTAAAATTACGTAACATATCCAACACACTTGCTCGTTGCTTGCGGAGACATATTTTGTACGTAGTGTACACTTTAAAAAACAACTGATATTTAAAAACGCTCGTCAGTTAAAAAACGCGCGTAAAAACTGCTCAGTTAGAAAAAATACTTATTTAAATTACATCATAATTCGAGATGATTTCGGTACTCAGAGACCAGAGTCATTCCGGTAATGTTGAGATGAGTCGTGTCGAGAAAAATATGTAAATATTTTTTTCTAAGGAAAAATCTATTACGTAGTGTTGTTATTTGCAATTTTTAATATGGGATATATTATTGTTTTATTTAGTGTATTACTAGGTAAGTTATTTTATTCGATGTTTATAAACATACACATTGTTTTCTTTTAAACTAGCTTTCATTGCAATTTATTGAGAAAAGACAAATAAATGAGACATTATACTTACTTTAGAACTGGAAATTAGACTGTATACATATATATGTACCCACTATTAGGTATATTAACATGTTGAAAGATTTCAACGATTCGCAGTTTTTTAATCAGATTTAGTTCATGTTATTTTTTACTTAGGTTTTTATAAAAAAAACGAATACCAAAATACAGTAGAGGATTTAGGCTTAGGCCCGTGAGGCCCGGGCCTAGGGCGGAAAATTTTGTGGGGCGCCAAACTTTTTAGGACGACTTAAATAAAAAATCGATTGGGTTTTCTGTAAACTGTAAAACCAATTTTTAAAGTTTATTTTCTTGCGCTCTTACAATCTAAACATAGGGGCCATTTCGAGGATAGATTTGCTTTGTTAAAGTAATTAATCAGGCAAGTACTAAAATTTTAAATAACAAAAATACTTTAAAAAACTTTTTTTAATGTTAGCATTATAAAAAAGTTTTTTAATAATTTTTGTATTATCTATTTACGAAATTAGTTTTGTTTCCTACCTATCATTCTAAATTTAATTGTAGGTAAAGTTTTTTTGCTCTTTATTATAAAAAAAAACATTAATTCACAATGATTACTTATATAAATGCCAGTTGACTCATAATTTCGTTTTTATTATATATTTTTTTTGTAAAAAATGTATAGTTTTACGTAATAAAGACCCCAACTATCAGCATGATTGATCAGTTTTAGAGGGTCGCAGAATGAATTTTAAAGTCATAAAAATATAAAGAAACTATATATAGTTGTTACAGACAACAAACAACAACAAAGTCTTTAAGACATGTAACACCTCAGTCTCTCCCGTGACCATGATTGCTGTAAAGCATTCGAAACGTCGGGAACCAAAAATCAAAATAAATCCGCGAAATAATCCGAAAAGATAGTTTTATTTAATAATGCAACAAAAAATACTTATATACGCAAAGTGGTCGAAACTGGACCATAATCATTATGTTACAACATATGTAATAGGATGTATCTATATAAAAAATACATGATAACGACACGTTTGGCTCAGTTTGTAGTGAACGTACTCATTGAACCAGCGGTCGCGGGTTCGAGTCCCGCTGGGGGTATTCGTTTGTGTGATGAGCACGAATGATTGTACTCCAGTCATGGATATTTATATTTATAATTTATATGTATTTAAAGTTATATATTTGTAGTGTATCAACTATCTGGTATCCATAACACAAGCCTCGTAGGTTACCATGGAACTAGATGATGCTGTGTTAATGTCCCAAGATATTTATTTATTTATATGCAAAAAATATATATTTCAAAAAAATATTGACACCACTAAAGCTCGTCAATAGGTACTAAACAAAAAAATAAAAAAGGAACATTTTTGTAACAAACAAATAAAAATAAACAATCAGTATGTATGTATAGACAATCAAATTTAACCAGACAGACAACCCTAATTACCTAGTCTTTGAGACCAGCCGTCTGACCTAAAGGATTCAAATTTAATATATCATATAACAACCAATAACGTCAAATGACACGTTCTAATAAAAAAGAAAAATAAATATAAATTCTTTTTCAGTATCAAATGTCTGCAGCTCAAAAAGGACAATATCAAAAAGAAATGCTGAGGTAAGAATTATAGAATAGTTACTTCTTATACTTTTTTTTGTAACGTTGGTAATGCATTTAGGTATACCACCTGCATACATACAGGTGGTTATGTGGTACTCACTGGGAAATCAGTACTAAAACCCAACGGAATCTTCCCCATCTTTATGGGGCGTCGCAGTATTGCTTACGCACTCAACCACGACGCCTTGACGACAGGTCTGTCGAAGCAGACCACAACAAATATGGGGTTGCTCCAACTGTCCACTCTGCTATCAGAGAAGTGCCAGAAGTGCAACCTGCACGGCACACAGCCTACTGAGGTGGGCCGCCACCCAGTGCGTTTCTTGTCTTCGCGCTCGGCTGGATTGCCGGACGCAAAAAGCCCACCAGGTCAGGGTGAACGCAGAAAATAAGAAGATAAAGATAAAAATGGAGAATATAATATATATATTATGCCTACTTCGTTGTGGAAAAGATACCTAAAGTGTGATTTAACTTATTTTTAATTTCTTTATATTAATACTAGCGACTCACTCTCACTTCGCTCGGGTTCGTCCATAGCTTGATTCCCCATACAAACTTTCATTCCCATTTTTACCCCCTTAAGGGATGATTTCTGGATAAAAGTCCTATGTCCTTCCCAGGGTCTCAAACTATCTTCTTACCACATTTTATCTAAATCGGTTCAATAGATCCAGAGATTACACCCTAAATTCTCACAAAATCACAAACTTTACCTCTTTATAATATTAGTATAGATTGCATACATAGTGATACATTTACTTTATTCAAATTACTGTCTTGTTAAGAAACAATTTTTTTGAATACAAGTTTGGTTTGAATAAACAAATAAAAAAAAATACAGTCGAATTGAGAACCTCCTCCTTTTTGAAGTCGGTTGAAAATGTAACAGAGAGTTTACATGTTCTCAGGTACTTTTTAGAATATTATTTTATTTTTCTATTCTTCTAGTGGAAAGGCAAACTTCAAAAATTATATCCTTTAATTTATTATTGTAAGTATTATTTTTGTTGCTTTTAGTATGGTGAAAAGATACGGAAAGAGGACTTCAAGGAGACAGGAAGAGGAATAGAGGACGTAAGTAGTACAATTGCTATCAATCCCTCCGCGACCGCGGACACGCCGGCGTGTCAGTTAACAATAGATTTCTTAGAAATTTATCTGAAGGTGTTAAAAGTCACTAGCAACTTAGCTTCGCTTCCCTACGTGCGTTATAACTTATATGTATAATAATATATACAAGTAGCGCCAATTTTTAACCCGTAGCGTAACCTGAGTAAATATATAACACCCCACGATTTTATTTTTGAATCTGATCAATGCCCTAGATTTATAAGGAGACTGGTGCTTAAGACGTCTACTAGGACGAACGAATGAACAAACGAACAAACAAAATTAATTTCGCATTTATAATGATAACATGAATTTTTCAATTGAAACCTACTTTCAAAGACACTCATATGATCAAAATATTTTTGTAGAAATACAACTCATTTTTAAATGAATCGACTACAGAGAAGATCACGACGAAAAATCCCATTGAGAGAAATTCAGTATCCGAATGTTACGACGATTACACTATTAAGCCAGATTTCAAGGCGCCCGGGCGAAGAATCAGTGAGGCAAGTATGTATCGACCTAATTCTAGTCTATACTACCTTATAATAGTTATGCCCTTTTATCGTCCCACTGCTGGGCGTGGGCCTGCCCTTAATGGGAGAGGGATCTGGGAAAGGGATCAGACTTATATCCACCACGCTGGTCAAGTGCGGGTTAGCAGACTTCACATGCTCGTGAAAAACTAAATAGGTCCTCTCAGACATACTGGTTATATTCTAGACATACCTAATGGCATACCTAGATTTTCTTTTATTTTAGAACTTAAAAAAATATTTATGAAAATGTTTGTTTTGTCTAATTATATATGTTTTTGATGTCCAGATTTTCATTTTAGTATCGTTATTTATCTTTTTTATTTATTAATTTTTATTATATTATGTATGTATAGTAAAATTTCATTATATAGTAGATTTTGGTCTCGACCACAGATAGAAAATTTTGATATTATCTTATTTCTCTTTTTCAGAATGCCTTGAATATATTTGGATGAGAAATCACAGGTGGGACAGAAAAATTGAAGTCCACGAATGTAAGTAGATATGTATTAGATATTCTTAGTAAATTCAACTTCGCATCTGGCACCTAACGCACGTCGCCTTAATAAAAGAAAATATATAGAAACAGTTAAAAGAAGTTTTTAGTTTTTTTTTATCTGAAAAATACGATATAACCAAAAAGAACTCCGAGCGAAGCTCGGTCGCCCAGTTGCTTAATAATAACAGATGATACTTCAAATACTTTTCTATTACTTACAGGTATTACTAAATTGATTGCTGACAATAAATATAATCCACCCCCCGCCACTGTGGGAGGGAGAGATGCTTTTACCGGAGAATTTCCTCACATGGTAAGTTTTTTTTTCTCCAGTACTTATTAAAAAGTCATTCTTCGAAGCCATCATTGTTACCATTGACCATTGTTCTATATTAAGTGTATGAATATGAAATAAATAAAATGACCCCAAACTCAACTGACTCACTAGAATCTATTGCTTATGACTTCATCTGTAGGTTGTCCAACCTTCGGCATAGGTGCAAAATAAGACCTCCCCAAATGTGTCCTTCATCTTGACGTCGTCTTTAGGCGGGAGTAGTAACAGGTGGTATTCGTAAATGCATTTCCCGACGGTAAGCAACAGGTAAAAAATTAAAGTATATGGCCGTACCAGCGCATTTGGCTTTCTTTTAGCTTTTCTGCAACAGATGCTACCTTAAATGATTCTCTAATATATTCTGTTGTACATGTATAGTCGGGTTACAACTCCCTCCTCAAGCTATCTTATTTTATTCGTGTTGATGTTCGTGTGCCTTTTTTATGCTCTACCACTCTGCTCCATACGTCATAGCTCACTTTAATTGCATGTGATACGTATATTTTTATAATCTTTTGTTTTCAGGGTGGAGTAGGATGGAGAAGCCGAAATGGAACTTGGTTATTTAGGTGTGGATGTTCTCTTATAAGTTCTAAGTTTACTCTCACAGCCGCTCATTGCTCGAAATCGCCGCGTGATACTGACATAGAAAATACTGTACCAGAAGTCGTTAGACTTGGTGACAAAAATATAATGGATTTTGTAAGTATGACAGCGACTCACCTTTGTCTTACTTTGGCCTTGATTAAACGAAATGCTAAAGTACTCATTGATCTTCTATGTTCTTCGTACTTGAACCCTTTCCTCTTTTCTAGGATACAAAGAGGCATTTATCAAATATCACATTGTATCCAATCTCTTATTCAGCAAGTCCTGTTCAAAATTAGTATATTACTTTTTTATACTATACCTCGCGGGAACGACTTCTTAAAATCAATCTTAAAAAAAATAGCTTATCCATACCAATATTAAGTATAAATGCGAAAGTAACTCTGTCTATCTGTTACCTTTTACGCTTAATCCGCTGAATCGATTTAGATGAAATTTTGTATGGAGATAGTTTGAGACACTGAGAAGGACATAGGATAGTTTTTATCCCGGAAATCATCCCTTAAAGAGGTTTAAAGGGGGTGGAAGTTTGTATAGGGAATAAATCACTTCTCAAGTAAGGCATATAAAACTCATCATATTCCATACTTTAAATATACCTACCTACATTTTTTAAATATATTATTTCAAATTTTGGTCCACATAACCCTTTAACTATATCACATGGCACTTATATATTGATTATATACGCAACAATAATCAAAATTTCTTTCAGGATTCCCAGAAATTTGACCCACGTGATGCAAAAATTCTAAGAATAATTGTCCATCCTTCATATTCTGCTCCCAAAAAGTATTTTGATATCGCATTAATGGAGATAGAGGAAAGGAGTTATTTTTCTAGCAACGTCCAGCCGGCCTGTCTCTGGGGTCAGTTCGATACATCGGAGCTTGGGACTTCTGCGACTTTAACTGGGTGGGGAGTGGTGGAAACAGGTAACAATTTTTTATTAATAACTAGGCACTTACGCTCGTATCGCTCTGGTGCTTAGGCACGTTTTAATTTTTTTTAACCGGAATCCTAATTATTTTTCTAAAATAAAAGTAGCCTTAGTTACTCCTTACAACATCAGCTATTTGCCAGTGAATGTCCCGTCAAAATCGGTCCAGCCGTTTCTGAGATTAACCGGAACAAAGAGATATAGACAAAAACATTAAAAATTGATTTTTTTTTCTTATAAGTAGGCACCGAACTTGTATAGACAATATAAAATTTTCATTTTAAAATCAAAATTTAAAGTATTTATGCCCGATTTCACCAACGTCACCTAAGTTTAAGGGATCCCCTAAGCATGGTTAGGGGGCTGTTTGGGGACAGTTTCTGTTTCACCGACAGTTAGGGGTCACCGAAATATTAAAAGGCCCCCTAAATTTAGATGCTCGAAATATGGGCTTAAGACGATCGTAAAATGAAATTTAATTTAGGGGCTAGTTTAGGGGACTTTTAAGTTAGGGATCCCATATGTAGGTGGCTTATGGGATGTTGGTGAAATCGACCATTAATATTCTATCCAGGCTAAACTATGATCTAGTTTTCCTGATATACTTTGGATGAACCAGTTTGGCCTAGGAGAAACCAGTTTAGCCTGAAATCTAGTTTGGCCGGTAACATGTATAAATAAAACAGTAGGTAATATCAACGTGTTTTATTGTTTCATATAACAAGCAACGAGAAGGACATCTGTAGTACTCCAAGCGGCAGTAGTAGACATTATAAATTCGGAAAAATGTAACAATTTGTTGCGATCTGCGTGCAATCGACATTGGTGTGGCGTGCTCGAGCATCAGATATGTGCAGGGAAGCTGGCGGGGGGAGTTGATGCATGCCAGGTGAATACGATCGAGTCATGTCTTTTTCTCTTCTTTTCCCACCAGACTGGTGGCCTAGTAGCTAACATGTACGGTTGTAGATACAGAGGTCATGGGTTCAAATCGGGCAAAGTTTAGTTATTGAGTCTTTCTGTTAAGATATTCCCAGTAACAGACCGGAATTGGGATGGTGGCGGTGTTTCACCCCCGTGCCTCGGAGAGCACGTAAAGCCGTCGGTCCTGCGCCGAAACTCTCACGCGAGTGTCGAAGTATCGCCCCATCGGACTGGGTAAAAGGAATAGAGAGTGCACTTGTGTCAGCACGTACACCGACCGACGTTCTATACTATAATATCTCCTGCAGTCAAAAAAATTATTTACAAAAATTAAAACACTTGACTGCGTAAATTTATAATTTTTTGTATAGAGAATTTTATGTTATTTTCGATTTTATTATTTAATATTCCTAAAATTGTTAATTCCAGGGTGATTCAGGGGGTCCTCTACAAGTGAAAATCCCTCTCCCGGATAATGACGAAGGATCCATGCATTACGTTATAGGAGTGACGTCATTTGGTATAGGCTGTGCATTACCAGACCTCCCCGGGGTCTACACCAGGGTCTCTAGTTTCATAGACTGGATCGAAAGCATTGTTTGGCCAGAAAGCTGAAAATATATTATTTTAAATAACGTTTGCGTTTCTTTTATTTATTATCTTCAGAACAGGAATATATTGTACCTTTCTTTGTTTAAATTAGCGATATTTTTGATATATTATATCCGTGTTAACATATCCGGTCTATCATATCCGTGGTAACAAATCTGTGTTAACATATCCGGGCTATCATATCCGTGTTAACAAATCTGTGTTAACATATCCGGGCGATCATATCCGCCTTAACAAATCTGTGTTACACACCCGGCGTATCATATCTGTGCGATAACATATCCGTGTTAAGTTTGACCACAAACCTTATCGTTCAAACTTAGTAGAATTAAAATGGAATTTCGACCAAGTATCGATCAAATAGTTAACGTTAATGCATGTAATTAAATTATAGAGATCGGATGATAGAATATATTATTGTTTTATAAATATCATCCGTATTATTTTAATATTATAAATGTAAAAGTTTGTAATTATATACGGATGTTTGTACTTTGTTACTCTTTCACGCCAGTACGGCTGAACGGATCTGGATGAAATTTGGCACAGAGATAGATTATAATCTGGAATAACACATAGGCTACTTTTTATCCCGGAAAAATGTATGGTTCCCGTGGGATAGGTTTGTTTTTGTTTTCCTAGAGGTGAACCCGAACGAAGCGAGGGTGAGCCGCTTGTAATAAATAAAAAAAAACACGTAAATTTTAAAATCTATTGTATTAAACATTTATTTATAGTTTACATTTATTTACACTTTTTATTTATTTTTATTTACATTTGTATAGTTATATATAATTTATTGTAATATATTATATGTAGTGTATTAGCTTTCTTCAGACATTTTCTTCAATTCTTCACGAAGCATGGCGGCTTCTTTCTCCATTTCCTCTAAACTTCGCGCAGGTCTTGCTGGATGACCTGCTTTTATTCTAAAAAAAAACAAAACATTTTTGAAAAAAATATTTATAATACCTATTTATATATATATATATATATATATATATATATACATTCACGCAGTAACTGCTGAATGGATTCTAGTGTAATTCAGAATAGAAATAGCTTTATATCTAGGAGTAACATAGTAGAGTATTTTTTATCGACGTTTTTCAACGGTGGAAACTATTTGGATTAGTATGAAAATTTAAATGAATGTTTGTATGTGTGTATGTTTGTCAGTCCTTCACAACGGCTGAAAAAATTTGGATGTAATTTATTAAACAGATATACTATGACATGGAGTAATTGTATGTATATTTGTAATTGTATATATATTTGGCACTTAGTGACGGCCTCAAGCGAAGTGAGGATGAATCGTTAATTAAAATATATATTGCAACTCACTGGTCGTGCTTCGCTAGTTCCAAATAAATCAAATCATTTTCAATGAAATCCCCTTTTTTCCTTGGCATTATATGACAATGCAGATGCTATAAAAATAAAAATATATTAAACTTATTACTGAAAATTGAATATTAAACTTAGTACCTACTGCTAATAAAATTATATTAAAAATAAAAAAAAAACTTCCGTATGTATGTATCAAGTAAAAAACAGTAAAGGCTGCAAATCCAAAGATCCTCGGTTCAAGTCCCGTGTCGGGCCAAGTTCAGTTATTGAGTTGTTCTATCAACTAATAAGTTGGCGGTGTGCCCTATTGAAAGATTCCAATAGGATCTCAATTCTCATCAAAAGCGACAAAAGCCACATAGAAACCAATAAAAGCCACATAGAAACCAATAAAAGCCACATAGAAACCAATATAAGCCATATAGAAACCAATAAGTATTTATTGATATCTATGTGATTTTTGTCGCTTTTGATGAGATCATATTAGCCGTTTTAAATAGGGTTTCATCCCCGTGTCGTGTGGGGTAGATAGTGCCTTCACTCTAACCGCGAGTGTCGAAGTATCGTCCCATCGAACTATGAGAGTGACAAGAATAGAGTGAACTTTTGTTTACGTGATAGGGTACACTATAATATAATATACTGCAGTAGACTAGTCTCAATAGGATTGGCCGTCGGCCGAAATCGGTCTGGGGCACCTTATTATAACACAGATCTATATAGATAAATAGAATTGAAGTGTCTGTTTGTGATGTCAAAATAACAGCGTTTTACTAAATACATATGAAATTATATACGGTACTTATAAGAAAAACACAATTTTTAAAATTTTTGTCTTTCTGTCTGTCTGTATGTTCCGGATAATCTCTGAAACGGCTGGACTGATTTTGACGGGACTTTCACTGGAAGATAGCTGATGTTATAGGGAGTAACGTAGGCTACTTTTATATTAGAAAAAAGATTTAGGGTTCCGCTCAAAAATTAAAACGTACCCAGGTGAGTCGCTAGTTTATCATAAATCTGTAATATTGTCGGTTTTACCTTCACTGTTTGTCCCGCGTCAGGTCCGTCCTGTATTGTTACAGTGCAAGATTCTGCGCTGTGCACTCTCTCCATTAACTGTGAGAGAAAACAAATGAAATAATTTTGTAGAAAGATGCCGTCTGTAACATCTATATATTTCAACACGTTTAGCTCAATTTGTAGTGAGTTTGAGTGAGTAGAGGCAAAGTTTGTGAGTTTGTAAGTTTGTGAGGTTGTAGGGGGTAATCTCTGGATCTACTGAACCGATTTAGATGAAATTTGGTAAGAAGATAGTTTGAGACTCTGGGAAGGACATAGGATACTTTTTGTTCCGTAAATTTTCCCTTAAAGGGATGAAAATGGGGTTGAAATTTTGTATTGTGAAGCAAGCTAGTGAGTCGCTAGTTCTAAGATAAAGACGTGTCACTTACATTTTGCACCAAACGAACGGTTTTGTAGAAATCTTCTGCCTCCTCGTCAGTAAGATCTTTATTTCTTCTTGCCAATCGTATAGGAGCTACTAGAACGTGACCTGGTATGACACATCTGAAAAACTGAAATCATTACTAAAATCTACACTATATAATCTATACAGATAAATTAAATTGAAGTGTAAATTACAGTAGGTTCGATTACCAGCTGAAGTACGCTTTATAAAGAAAAAATTAATTCAATTATTCTTATTTTTTTTTAATTAAAGAATATTTGTTCCTCAACACTTACCTTAAATTGACAAAGGCGTATGTCAATTTGCTTTTATAAAATACACAGGATTCTGGCACTTTCACGTGACCGAATACATTCGTCGGACCTGCTATTGGGGACGGGGTTTGATTCTCGGTTGGTGTAATTTGCTCTTTGTGACTTGAAAGGAGAGTATTTCGGATACTCAGTGTGTAGAGGGAGTAGACATCTGGCCTAAAACATTTAAGACTTATAAAATATAAAGAATTTAATGGATATAAAGATGTTACCAGAATATTAAACTAGCATATACCGCGGTTTTGCTTATGCAATTATTTATGTACAATTGTTTCTCTCCTAAAACACGTAGCGAGGTGTTATATTGCCGAAAAATTAAAAAAAAAGTTTGCTATCCGACCGATTGTTACTGAGATAAACGTAATTAAGCCAACAAAAAAAATTTTAGTCCCCGACGTTTCAAATGTTTTACAGCAATCATCATCAGGTCACGGGAGAGACTAAGGTTGTGGACATATCAAAAAATCCCATCCACCCAAAAAACCTAAATAAATCCGCGAAAAATTATTTTTATTTAAAATATCAAATATTCACGTAAATCCAAGTAATTATTATATTACTATTGAAGTTTTATTCTATAAAAATATGTCAGGACATTAACACACAACACCATCTAGTTCCATGGTAAGCTAGGCTTGTGTTATGGATACCAGATAGTTGATACATTATACATATATAACTTTTAAATACATACATATTATAAATATAAACAGTAAACACCCATGACTGGAGTACAAACATTTGTGCTCAGCACACAAATGATTGCCCCCAGCGGGACTCGAACCCGCGACCGCTGGCGCAGCAAGTAGGGTTACTACAAACTGAGCCAAACGTGTCGTCAAATAAAAATAAAATTCTAAAAAACCTTCTGTCTTAGTAGTATTTGATACATCTAAGGATGGAGTGGAAGAAATTGCTCTTTTATCAATAAGACCTACTCTTGTACCGTATATTATTATCTTTTTCATATATTTTTATATATATAAAGGGTTTATTATTTTTATAAAATATAATAAAAAGCAGTCGTAACTGGCTCGAAAGTCGAGTGAAGCGGGTTCAAATCCCGAGTCTCGCACTTCTGATATTCTTATTTGCAAATCATTTCCAACATGATTACCACTTGTCTTACAGTGAAGCAAAACATCGTGAGAAAACCTGCATGTCTGAGAGAACCTAGCAAGTTGTCTACAGACAAGCTCAGTCCGACCGCACTTATCCAACGTGGTGGACTATGGCCTGATCCCCCTCGCATTGAAGGGAGGCCCACCCCCAGCAGTGGGACGTAAAAATTCGACTTATCTACTTTTCCACTCATCATTTCACTTACCGTTTATGCTGAAACACTGGCATATTCCTCCTGACTTCCTTTATCCTATCCGTTAGCTCTGCTATCCTATAGCTTGGTGCTACATCCCCACAATCCACTACAACTTGTCCCCAGGGATCGACACAGATCGCGTGTCCGTACGAACGACGTTTGTTATTATGATAGCCTGTTTGAGCAGCAGCTATTACGTAACATTGGTTTTCTATTGCACGAGCTCTGAAATAAAAAAATACCATTTTGAGATCTTCAGAATGTCGACGTGAAATAAAAGAGAATTTATTAGATAGAAAAGTGAATTTAAAAAATTCAGATGACCAAAAACCAAATTCTTAGGTTTTACATATTAGTATCTCTTACAATACAGCTTTTGTATTTTTTCTCAGAAATGAGATATTTTTCCGCGGTAAAAAGTATCCTATATGTTGACCCGGATAACCAGCTATCACCATACTAAATTTCATCAAAATCCCTTCAGTGGTTTTTCTATGATGCGGTAACAGAAAGACAGAAAGATAGACAGACAAAAATTCTAAAAACTATAGATTCGGCCTCTGTATCGATAATAATGTTTATTTCAATAAGATTTTCCAAAAAATATTTAATGTACAGATTCAGCTTAATTACTATTTAATTACATGTATAGATAACAAAAGTCTATTCAGTAATTTTAAGATTGATCCCCTTCCTCATATTTTGGTTGATAATATTTAAAGTTTATTAATTTACTAGATAAAGTTTTAATCTGATGTATAAGCTGTAATATAGCTTATACATGTAAGGTTTCATCAAAATCCGTTCAGTAGATTTTGCGTGAAAGAGCATCAAACATACATACATCTTTGAAATTAAATGAAATATATAAAATCCAGTAACTATATTAGGTCGACCTGCAATTATAACAACTTTTGAGTCATGGAAAAACCATAGTTTCTCCCGTGACTATATTTGCTGTAAAGCATCCAAAACGTTAGGAACTAAAAATAAAAATAAAAACCGCAAAACAGTCCCAAAAAGTTTCAAAATAATTCTATTTAAATCATTAAATAATCGCCATATATGAACACCTTAGTAAAATATGCCAATGAGCATCTCCGGTAGCATAAGTGAAAGCTGACGGGTAAGTTATTATTTCAGCTCCCATCGTACTCAAAGCGGTGCTGAGCTCTGGAAACCTCATGTCATAGCATATCGCGAGACCTGGTGAAAAAAAAAAACAAAAAAAAATACAGATTATATAATCAATATTTGTATGAGGTTATTCTCGCTTCGTTTAGATCCTTCCCTAGATCGAATCACAAGTGACTGTGACTTGCCACGAGATGGCAATATATCGCTAAAACTTCTAATTCAAAACAAATCACCAAGAAAATTAGTATTTTTTAACAATCCTCACATTCGATAGCATTTTTGTTAACATCAATAGTCAATCGTCTACTCAATAGGTTTATCTACTGTAAATGTGTCTAAGTGTGAATGACATTACTTACCAATTTTCCCAACAGGGCTCTCAACGGGTGCGACAATATGGCCGCCTGGTGTGCAAAAATCACTTTCTTTTAACCTTACATTCTTTTCTGGAATTTCCACATCAAATAAATGCAGCTTTCTGTATGTCTGTACTATGTCGCCATTGTTATTTATTAATATATGTGTATTAAATAGTTTATTTGGGTTCTCTTCATCCTAATGAAAAAAAATAATTAAAAGACATGAACCTTTTGAATATCATTTTATGTTTAAGTTTATATCTTTGTGATAAAAAAAAATATACTATTTATAATGAAAGTTATTTAGGTAAGAGCTTGTGAAAAGCCAGGGTGGGTCACTAGTGTAAGATACTAAATAAATAATGACATATTTTTGTAATAGGAAAACAAAATTAGTTAATTGTGATATGTGTACATACTAGCGAATCTCACTTTCTTTGCTCCATGATCATCCCTAGACCAAAACTAATTTATCCCACAGGGACCGTAATGTTTCCGGGATAAAAAGTAACCTATGTACTATTCCAGACTACAATCTATCTCTGTGACCAATTTCATAGAGATCCGTTCAGCCGTTCTGGAGCGAAAGAGCAACAAACATACATCCATCCATCCTCACAAACTTTCACTATTCTATTCTATAATATTATCTAAACATATTGGCTGTTATTTTGTTCTGAATTAAATATCAGTTAGCATTTATTTTTTATAAACCTTTTCATGGACTCCACCCATAGATAACCACACATTGTGCTGTGCAGCTAGTTCTCTATACTTCTTCACTGTGTTGCCAGTTAATATTGATTCTGCAGAGTCTATTGTATCCTTTTTGTTGTCACATATAAAATCGCAGGCTTCCGGAAAGAAAATCATCTAAGAAATAATAAATATTTAAAATTATTCTTTATACTGTTTTTGGAAATAAATATTTGTATAAAAGTTTTGTTAAAATCAGAGCTTTATATTTAATACAAATATATTTAAAAAATGACTTTATTTAAAAAAAAACAGATGAACATATAACCTTCATTTGTTTAATCATCATTGCCTGATATTTATAATATAGTTTAATTGTTTTCCATGTTGATATTTATAATATATTTTTACCTGTACATTTTCTTTTGCAGCATCAGTAATTAACCTGCTAACAACATTCATGTTTTCCACTTTATCTGCAACTGAGGTCATTTGGCAAACAGCAATTCTTTTAGACGACATTGTGTTCATATATCTCTTAACTTCAAAATGAATTATCTTTTTAAAAATGGATATTGTCCAAGTCTGAAAACACATTCAAGTAAAATATAATCAGGAAAGTAAAAAATAATGGTTTTATGTAACTATATTATGATTTTTTTAAACAGTCCAAGTATACTATAGAACTTAAATCACATAAACAAATAATATATTGTGAATTATATAAGCTGTTTTATTTTCACCCACTTTTTCACTGTTCTTTGTAATAAGTTATAAGAATGTTCGAAAATTATAATAGCGTAAGTTGTAACGCTTCTCTACTATTAAATAATGGAAATTTTAGTTTATATTGTGCAAGAGCATTAAATTAGGTAGTATTTAATCTACTGATACGACATAAATTATCTGAGAGTTTATCAAGCAGTTTATTTATATTACTTAACAAAGAGCAACGCTACGTACACAAACAAACAAAAGTGCGATAATATTTAACGATAAAAATAATAATATAACCTTTTTTATACGTTATTGCATATATTCTTACCCGCATAATAAGAGATTTAGCTTAAATGTCAAATGTGTAAATAGAAAAGTTACCAAAATTGTATAAGATATCGTACTTTTTTTTATTTCGCTTATATTAACAAATTACAAAATAATTAAAATCAGCTGTTTTCAGTTTCGCTTCAAAATAATTACAAATTACAATTGTCAGCTGTCACTGTCAAGTGTCATCTCATATTGACTATTTTTTTATGCCTCGTATAAAAAAATACTCTAAAGACGACGTTGTACAGTCTTTTTATAGCCAAATAACCAGCGACTTTCCTAAATTCGCTTCTACCTATCTCTTTATTTTATATTTTATTGCTTTATTTCTATCCATTTAGGTAGCGACCGTCGATGAAACAACTAAATGGCTAGTTTATTTTCGACTTCAATTAAAATAATTATTATTTCTGACTTAAATATATTTACTTATTATATAATATATAACTTTATTGGAATAAAAAATAGCATAGCACTTGGTGGTCTTGTACCTAATAAGTGAAACAGATCAAAATCAGAATAGTCATTTCGGGAATAAACTTTACCTATTTATAATATTAGTGTAGATAATATTTTAGACTATTAGGAGATATAGAACAGATATTTTCTTATTTTTTACACTCTATAACATTATTATGATAACTGTCTCAATCTTAATCATAATATTATTCGTAACATATTGAGCAAAGAAAATTTCTAAACGCTTCTTATCTAGAAAAGTCTCTGTCTTGACTTTTGAATATACCGTTTTGTCAATTGTCGAACTTGAATTGTCATTTGTGTAAAAATAAACAGCTGTATCTACTATCTTAATCTTACGAAAACTGACCCCTAAATAATATTTATCTAGATTAGAGAAAGCGAAAAGAAAAATGAGTGAAGTTAAAGATTCTCCGCCTTCGGAGGTAAGTATTAGTTGTTATAAAAAAAGTATTATTTTATTTTTTAACAAAATTTTTAGATCGCGATCTACCGGATTTATAATTAATATTTAAAGCCATTTCTTTATCTAAAAATATGTTTATCATGAGTATTTGTCATTCTATATTCTATATTTATAATTTCTTATCATTTAAACAAAACCAAGTATTATTAATTCAAATATCATAATAAATAGAAAATATTTTATAAACTACCTATAATATTACACCTGGTCACGAAACTTGCTTATATATATTTAGATGTAAACAAACAATAATACACATAATTATGATAATTTTTCACTAAATTTGTGATATTTGTGTTTTATTTTATACTTCAGAAAAAATCCACTTCTTTGTTGTTAATCTCTTGTTTTAAACTACAGTCTCTTTCTTCTTCTATTTCTATGTTTAAACTATTATAATATAATTTAATAATCACAAGTTCTTACCTAAATGAACACTTCGTCATATTTTAATGTGACACATTATAAACTTTTTATTTATCTGAAATTGTTATAGTACTAATTTTGTTCTTTTTTATTTAATACATTGAATAAAAAATCTGAAACACTTTTTTCCAGCCCGCAAAACCTAAGATAAAGCATGACTGGTACCAAACAGATGCACTAGTTGTAGTGACAATTTTGCTCAAAAATGCTCCCAGTGACAAAGTAAAGGTTCACTATGGAGATAAAAGTGTAAGTAAACTTATGTTCTTTATCTATTGAAAGATATGGAGGTAGGAACAAAAAAAATATTTTATAATAAAAATAATACATTATAAAAAAATTAGAAAGTAAACAATAAAAAAAAATATTTGAATAATAATAATGTGATTACTATACTGCATTAGAAAATTTCTTGTAAATATTAGAAAAGTTTCTTTTTGTGTTTCGCTAAAAATATATTAATGAAAATAACACAAGTTTAGTGTATGAGACATCTGCTACCACTAAAAAAAAATTGATAATGGGAGGTGATAGGGTGATGTACAAATTATTTTGAGGGCATGATGGAGGAAAAATTTAAACAATTTACGAGACAGATAATTTGAAGGGATTTTAAAGTGAACCCTTATAATTGAACAATTGTTATTGTTGCCTGCATTTATTAAGTTATAATATTTTTTTAGCTATCTGTCTCGAGCATAATACCAAGCTCAGATTCGGAATACAGTTTAGAACTTGAATTAGCTCATGAAATAGTACCGTCAATGTGTACACATGTTGTGTCAGCATCCAAAATAGAAGTGAAATTGAGAAAGAAAGAGGGACTGAGATGGAACATGTTAGAGGGAGAGGGCAAAGAGGAAAAAATTAAAGCCATACCACAAGGTGAGATTGGCTTACTAAAAATTCCTGGTAATTGTAACTAAAACTATCTTTTCGGATTTTTTCATGGATTTATTTAGATTTTTGGTTTGCGACGTTTTCAATGCTTTTACATTACAGAGCACATGGTCATGGGAGAGACTAAGGTTTCAGATGTCTCAAAGGTCTGCAAAAAAGTCCTAAAAATTTTATTTAAAATGTCAAGTATTCGCATAAATCTAAGAAAGTTTTATTCTTGCTAATGTTAATAATAAAAACAATTTGTTATTTTTTTTTAATTATTATGAATAACTAATTTGGGTTATCTTTTTCTGGTATTTTCTAAAAAAATATTCTAATTACTTTAATCATTTAGTAAATAAAAGATAACAAATTGATAGACAGACATACTTTCTTATTTATAATATAATGAGGACAAACTATTTGCACAATTAATCATAATGATACATATTGTGTTCCAGCTGTCATCGATGCCTCTGGACCTCAGAAACCGCCAAAACTATTCAAAAAAGACTGGGATAAAATAGAAAAAGATATAAAAAAAATGGTAAGTGATTTGTACATTTTATAAAATTGATCTTTTTTTATTTTAAGAATTTATAAAAGGTTAGAGAGTTCAAACCAGGTGTTACTGATATATGGAAGACATCTTGTAGCCGCTATAATTAATTAAATAAAAATACTGGTCAAAAATTAAAAAAAAATGAAATTGCATAGTTTAACTTCTCGTAAATTACACCTTATTTTTTAATTTTAAATTGTATTGTATTGAAATCAATATAAAACTAGTTAGTTGATTGAGTTGGCACATAGGTAATGTGGTTATGCCACTGGTGGCTATTCCCATACAAAGTAAATGGGAAAAAAGCAGTTAGCTTATACCAATATTGCAAGACCCGGGATTTGTACCCGCTTCACTCTTGCTCCCAAGCGAGCATGTTAACACTGGGCCATATATACAACAAGTATATAATATATAAAATATATATTCATATTTTCAGGAGGAAGAAGAAAAGCCAGAAGGAGATGCGGCCCTCAATGCATTATTTCAAAAAATATATGGGGAAGGTTCAGATGAAGTTAGAAGAGCTATGAATAAAAGTTTTGTAAGTCAATCTATACATATATATTATAAAGAGAAAAATTAGTTTTTTTTTGTTTGTATGTATTGAATAGGCTCCGAAACTACTGAACCGATTTAGATGAGATTTGGTAATAAGATAGTTTGATACCCTGGGAAGGACATAGGATACTTTTTATCCCGGAAATCACCCATTTAGGTGGTGAAAATGGGAATGAAAGTTTGTATGGGGAATCAACCCAGGGAAGAACCTTAGCAAAGCCAGGGTGAGTCGCTGTATAACGTAAAGCCAAAGAGTTTTTTTTGTAGATTTAATGCGGGTGAAGCCGCGGGTTCTGCTAGTATTATGTATATGTAGATGTCAAGGTTTACGTATATCTAAAGTAACATATAGTAATTCTTAAGATTAAAATGTATCATATATATTTGCAGGTGGAGTCAGGCGGCACAGTGCTAAGTACTAACTGGAATCAAGTGGCAAAAGAGAAAGTCGACGTGAAACCACCAGATGGGTTGGAATTTAAGAAGTGGGAGAATTAATGATTATCATTTACTCTTAAAACTGTTGTGCTTATGATTTCTGTACATTTATAATTAAATACTTAAAAATATATTAAATATGTCTTATAATGTTTTTTTTTTTTTACTCTTTTTAACGTCCCTGTTGCATTAATGCTTTCAAGCTATTTTTAAAGCTATGTAACTTAAACTAAAATATTATTATCCCTTAAAATATTACTGTCCCTGGTTAATAACATTTTCATATACAAATAGGCAACGATTTGGCCAACACAGGCTGGTAAAACGGCTGTTTAGCGCATTTTTCTCTGACTTCCTTTGAAAATATTAAGATTTAAAACTGTTATTTTTATATTAAATAAAATATAGCATATCTGTCAGGGCATAGTGTAGCTTTCTATTGGTGAAGGAATTTTTGTAATTGGTTCAGTAGTTCCAGAGATTACCTCCTACATACAAACAAATGAACCTCTTTATTACATTACTCTTTAAGGAAAACAAAAACAAACCTATCGCACGGGAACCGTACATTTTTCAGGATACTTTTTATCCTAGCCTATGTGTTATTCAAGACTATAATCTATCTCTGTGCCAAATTTCATCCAGATCCGTTCAGCCGTTCTGGTGTGAAAGAGTAACAAACATTCATACTCACAAACTTTCACATTTATAATATTTATACAGATACCGATATTTGTATAGATAATGCCATTATTTGTTTTGTCCGGCATTTTTATAAGCTATCGTATAATGTGGAGGTGATTTTTACAATAGCATATGCTATACGGTTATTGAAGTTTTAATTTTTTTTCATTTAAAAATTGCATTAAATTCTCCCTATACTCTAACAAGGTGACCCAAGGATGCTGCCCTGTGGAACACCGAAGCGTATTCGGTCGTTATCTACTCAATGGACAATGTCCCCGTTTTTCAATTACAGAGCATAATACCGCACTTTGGTGCACAAACACGAACAACGTGAAAAAACACTTCTAATATTTTCTGCTGAGTTGGTTGGTAACGCCAAAGCAGTACTTTTCAAAGTGCTTGATTGTGCGGAGCGTTGCTGTAGTTGAAAGATTCGAAGTTGAGCATTATATCGCATAATGCGCTATAGTGCTGTAATTGGAAAACGCAATATATGACTAAGCCACCAATAAATTGTCAACTTTTTTAAACACAACAATTTAGTAAACTAATAATAAAATAGAACGAAGAACAACAAATTTATTTTCCTTGTTTAGTTTAAAACTATGAATTTACGAGCAAAATACTGTTTCCATGTCTAAATTATTTTATTATTTTATACTAAATACACAATTTTTCCTCAAATTAACTCTGTATTTAACAGATTTTTGTTAATCCGATTAGGATTACAGTATAGGTGAGCAGCGTTACGCTTCGCTCTCATAATAAATGAGTGTAAACTAAATTCGTTACTATTATAAAGCTGTGTAAGTATAAACTTGTACCACACAGGTGGCACTACAATAATTTATCTTTGGAACGGTTCGCCATGAAAATTGTTTTTTTTTAAACCCTTGCATTTAACAGCTTTTCCATTAGACTCAATGGGTGATTGCCTACTTTAAGGGTTTTTATACTGAAGCCAAAATATATGCCAGTGTAATTTACTCTACAGACCCCAACCTGCATTTTTGGACAGCATAATATGGGTGTAACACAAAGGAGGAATCAAATGAAACAATATATTTAAATTAATAAAGTAAGTTTATTGCTTTGACTAGGAAATATCACTCACAAGGTGTCTTAAGTATAAAATTGAGTCAAACTTACATTCTAAATGAAGAGATCACACATTTTAAACTACATTTTGTTTAGGAGATTTTTCCGACACATATCTCGTAATATAATCATTAAAGATATAATATATTTGTCTCTTTCTTTCTTTTGCTGTAAGAAACATACATAACGACTCAATAGTTAAGATGGTTTCATGTTCTAAGTATCTATTTCTACAATGCATAGGTTGTAAGTATACACCACGTAAAAGGGAACATACATAAAATTAATGCCTAGGGAGGGAGTAAAATACACTTTTTTTTCTCATAGAAAGAGAATAGAATAGGGAATATGCCAAAAAAAACTTGATTTAATTAGTTTTTTTTTATCTTTATTACTTCTGAATTTAACCTATATCAATATTTTTCATGTAATGTCTTTTTGAGTAAGAAAATAATTATTAAAAAGTGCAAAAATACGCTGGAAATTCAAAGCAATTGAAACGCGATGCCATTGGTCAAACCAAATGTGACGTCAAAGTCTATTATAATAGAGCACTGTTGTTTGGTGTTTGCGATTGGTACTAACAATCTACCCCTTTTTATTCGTTGATTGTAATGCTGTCATAAACTATGACGTCACGCCGAGCGCGCGAAAATGGTGGGCGTTTAAAGTATCCGATATATTTTTTAAATATCATACAGATGTATGATAATATAAAATATTTAAAAAAATACTAAATTTAAGTCTTTTTGTTTTTTTTTTACAATTATAAAACGATTTAAGCTATTGTATAAAAAAAACATTTGAATTATAATTATGAATAATAAAATATGTAATCGTTTCAAGTACGTACCTAAGGTAATTTACGTGTGGTTCCTCCAAATGGACATTATTGACAAATTATTCTAAATATCTAAAATATTTTAAAACGTATTTTAATGAATACTGATAAAAGATTTTTATCAAAACCGAAACGGTTTGATTAAAAATAATAAATATATGTAGATTATTCTTGTATTTATCACACTCTCGGCTAACTTTAAACTAAATTAAATATTGTTTTAAAATATTAGTTTTTAAAGAAAGTTTTTCATTTTTATCATTTAAAAGTTATGATTTTAAACAAATATACTTAGCAAAAACTAATAATTACTTAATCTACTTATATTTAACTGTATAATTAAAATAAACTTAACTTAAAATTAATACCTACAATAATACCTATTATAATATCCCATGTTAAATGAGCCAGAAACGATTTTTTTAATCTGCATTTAGACAAAGACAGATTAGGACGGCCGTTGACTTATTAAAAAATAAAACATATTTTTAGCTTTATGCTCGAGCCATTTACATCTTCTTAAAACAAAGTCGGGTTAGTTACAACACTTATAACTCAAGAACCGATAGACCGATTTTTATGATATTTTTTTATTGGAATTGTCTTCACCCTGAATAGCAGAATAACTATTAAAACATCGGAAAACTCCACGAAAAAAACTGAGTCTGACTGATGTCTTTCGAAAACTTTGCAAAACTATATATTTTTTAAATTAGAATTTCAGTTCCATAAACGGCCAATAGGGCGTACAAATATATGTACTAACTATCCTTCGACATTTTAAAACTAGTTAGTGAATTAAACTAATTACATGACATGGTCAAAAAATTTTTTTTGTAATTTTTTTTAGTATACCTATTTTAATTACTTTCTTTAATCATCCCCGAGTAGGTACAGTAAATATATCAACAGGTGATCTCACATAACTTTTTTCCCGCCCTTCATGTATCGTGCTCATTTCTCCTGAACCGGCCTGCGAAGTGCGAAGTGATGGTTTACGACCGTTTGTTTGTATTTCCGGTGTTTCTGTTTTAATAAAAAAAAAACTCAATATATTATAAAATAGCAAGAAAATGTATAATATAAATCGTAAGAGGATCTTACAGCAATCGTTCATAGGTGAAACTTGAAAGGAACGAAGGGAAGTACGATTTCCGAAAGGGACTTTTTAGTTATTGATCTTTATAGTGAATTTACGCTTTTCAATATACATACAGTTTACAAAACCGGGTTCAAGTAAATTTTCACTTAAAATTGTTTTCAACTAGAAAAAATATCTCACTCATCCATTCACTAGGTTTCGCATTTATTATATTGTTGTATTGCTTTTATTATAATATCAAAGTTAATTTCTTTTTGATTGAATAAAAATATTTGACTTACCTCCTTCAATGGTCAACGACTTTTTTAATTGCATCGCAACTACACACGGCCCTTTTGCCAGGGACCATAGCGGCACATCTCTATTTAAGGGCTCTAAAATATTCCTTTTAGATCTCAAAACTTCCGGCAAATTCACTCCGTTCTCAACATTATCTGTATTTGGTAATTTTTCATCATCTGGCAACACGTTTGACATTGACATATCATTTTCCCGCGTTTTCGGTGCAATTTTAGGGTCTACTGTAAATATTTCTCTATCTTCCTTTATCGATGGATTTATGTCGTCAGATGTGTTAGTTTCTGTACTTATTTGTGGGATCAAACTTGCTTTTGATTTAACTGAATCTATTCTTCTTGGTATGCCATTTAATTTTGGCGTTTCGTTTTCTAGTGACAGCGGAGATGTTGCCATGTATTGATTGTACATGTTGCCTATTAGTTCTTCTGTCCGTCTGTGAATTAATTGAAAAAAAATGTTAATTCTGAGGGAAATATAGATTTTTTATCCTTACTAGAATTAAATTATACATCAATTAAATATTTTTATAGATCGATTTTTGTTGATGAAAAAAAAGATTAATAATTAATACGACAATTAGGTATAGCATTATGGGAAGCAAATATAATTTTTTTTTCTGTGTATGTAAAATGTTTTCTCAGCTTAAACATTTTGTTTGGAAAACCTTAATACTTAATATGTAGTATTCGAATCCAATTTGATAATAAAACATAATGTATTTTAAACAAATACTTATGTAAGAGAAACATTACGCATTTTGCAATTTTCGTGTAATATTTTTTTACATATTTAGTGTATATTACCTTGTGAGCGGTATAATGACAGTTTGCGAAGCTCTTTCATTGGGATGATATGCTGTGGGACCAAATCTATCAAGATTTGAACTTCCATTTACCTGAGTTAAAAAAAATATATGTTAATGTAATTTTTTTTAATTATATCCTATCTTTATGTGTTATGGGTTTTTTTAGAAACTAAATAATTAAAAATGTTTGAATAATTTTAATTTAAAATATGAATTATTATATACTTAATTTAATAATTTTAAATTTGTTTTTAATTGCAAATGGTATTAAGGTTTAATATATTTTATTATGTATTAATTTTTATATGGCAACTACATCCTTTACAGGGGTAACTTACCTCCATTACACCAATTTGAGTTGTCCGAACATGATATGGAAAATTTTTATTTGCGAATACTGGTAATGTTAATAGCTAAAAAAATAAGACAATTAATTAAACAATACTAGTTATCATGTTATATGAATTTGCAGAAAAAAAAGGTTTTTTATTTAAAAAGTTTGTTATACTTATTTCTTTTTTAATTTCGGTACTATAAAAATAATTATAATAATAATATAAAAATAAAAAGTTTGCTTACCAGGAACATAACATGTCCACTAAACGTTATGAAAAGTAAAACGGCCGTAACTACACTCTCTCGAACCCATTTATCTACAAACATTTAATACAGTATTATTTTTGGATGGAAATAATTAAATATATTTATATTATTTATTTACAAAAAAATATTATAGTAATTGCCAACATTGCTTTAGTACAAATATTTTCATAGAATGGTAACACTATACATTTCTATATTTCAAAAATAACCAATTTTGAGACTAAACTTTAATATTTAAAACATTTTTAATTGTTTTTTTTTTGTTTAACTATTATAATAAATTATTAAGTAACTGTTATTTTAATTCGAATGTGTCTAATGAGAAGTTTTGTTGTTTTGAAGAAGTTTTACTAATACCCATCATTACTAGAGAGTTTTCTTAAAATTGCAGTATTGCTAAAAATTTACTATTTCATTTAAAAAAAACTATCATATTTAAAAATTATGGAATTACATATATATTTTTTCTTTACTTACCAATATATGAATTAGCTGTCAATATAAATAACGGTCCTGCGTAAAACCATAACGTGCCACAGATGAAAAAAGGACAGTAGAACATGTTCTAGAATGAATTAAATATAAAAATGTTAATTTTTATAGTCCAAGTATGAGTTAATATATTTACTTATTATATTTATGACGAGTATATTTTAATTCATATGATATTAAAATCTTGATTAAATATATAATAAATTAAACATGTTATTAAAATAAATTTCCAAAACTTTCCAGTTAAGTAACACGTGCGATCGAGACAAACGGATGATTGGTTATCTCTTTCTATAGTTTTGACTGTATCGCATGTTTTCCTTTTATATATGTACTAGCGACTCACCCTTGCTCCGCTCGGGTTCGTCCCTAATGAAAATTTAGATATCTATGTATTTTTTATGCCGAATCATAAAAATTAAAAATAAAAACTTTGTCCAAAAAATTTTTTTTCGGGGTGGACCACCCTTATCACTTCGGGATATAAAAAATAGTTTACGTCCTATTCTCAGACCTATTGAATATACACACAAAATTTCATAAGAATCGTCAAGTCGTCGTCGTCGTCAAGCCGTTTCGGAACAAACAACGGGTTACAAACACTGCGAAACGAGAGTTTTATGTAGGTATTAGATTATTTTATTGATGTTGCATATTATAACAAAATGAAATAGAGTCAGATATCTTCTGACCACGCGTGGTAAATTTTGTGGCGTTAAATTTCAAACAATCTTAGTAACTTTTTCAACGCCACTTTGCCGCCGGTTAAAGTTTTTACCGACTTCATAAAAGAAGCTATCAATTTGGCCAAACTTTTTCTTTATATATTATCATATTTTAATATTTTTTTTGTATAAACTATACCTCAAAGATAGTCGCAATCAAATGGTTGAATAAATAATTATTTTAACGTCAATATATTTTTATGTTATGAGACTACTATTTATACAGATAAATAAAATTGAAGTGTCTATTTGTAATGTCAAAATAACAGAGTTTTACTAAATGCACATTAAATTATATACGGTACTTATAAGAAAAACACATTTTTTTTAATTTTTGTCTATTTGTTCCGGATAATTTCTGAAACGGCTGGACTGATTTTGACGGGACTTTCACTGGAACGTAGCTGACCTTATAGGGAGTAACGTAGGCTACTTATATTTTAGAAAAAGTATTAGTATTCCGCTCTGAAAAATTAAAACGTACATAGGCACGAATCCGAGCGAAACGAGGGTGAGTCGCTAGTTAGAAATACGAATGTTTGTATGTATGTTTTTCACCAATTCACGTAGAAACAAACGGCTAGATTACTACTTGGATTACTAAATAGGCTACTGTTAGGTACCTGGGGAATGCACTCGAGGCGACTAATAACGTTTATAGTAATGTCATAAAATGTACTTTACCTTTTCAGGATATTTCTTGACAGTGAAGAAGGTGGAATATGCAAAAGCACACCACGCGCTGATCCGTAGCACAATAAGTCCATATCCCGCGGGGCTTTCGTATAGATATAATACTTCACCGGGATCGAATGCCTTCAATAGATTTGGATAAATTAGCTTTTTTATTAATAAAGTTGATAAGGGTTGAAGGCGGAACTCAACCCACCTACAATGTATATACTGTGGGCTTAGTTAATAATAAATAAATATATTGGGACATAAACACGTAGCACCATCTAGTTCCATGGTAAGCTCGAGGCTTGTGTTATGGATACCAGATAGTTGATACACTACACATATAACTTTAAATACATACATATTATAAATATAAACACCCATGACTGGAGTACAAACATTCGTGCTTTTCACACAAATGAAGGCCCCCAACTGGAATCGAACCCGCGACCGCTGGCACAGCAAGTAGGATCACTGCAAACTGAGCCAAACGTGTCGTCGAATAAAGATAAGATGACCTAATACAGTAACTAACGCAAATTAAACTAAAAATTGCATGGAAAATAATAAATATATTCAAATGATATTATTATGTTAGATAGTTATATAATATGATAGCTATTTTCATATATTTTTGGTTTAATATTAGCGATAACGATAGTAGGTAGTTATGATAAAATAATTTATCGATACGATAGATTTTTGGATTAGCATTGGTCCAATACTTTCGTAAGCAGATAATTTAAAAAAAAACGTGTATGTGTACTCATGTACGAACGTAAGAAGTTATACTTCTTTGGCGTAACAAAACATAAATAGCTAAAGATTTCATCCCGTATATCACATCTCTCTGTTTGTAAAAGGAATGATTATAATTTAATAAAATAATTAAATAAGGCATATTAAGCATATTATATATTCATAGAAAGAATATCATTTAAGGAAAAAAAATATAGTATTATATATCATCTGTCAGACCATAGCAACGGTTACCATGGCAACAAACAGTTATCAGCTAACTTTATCATGTCGCTGTTTGGCTGTCGATGTGCGCGCGCATCGTAAACATTTTACTCTCATAATTTTTTCCAAACGTGCCAAAAGTAGTATAACTTCAAAAATTAAACTATTATTAAAAAGTAAATAGAAAAATGAAAATACTTACTCTAGCCTGATAAACAAACAGGATCACGTATGTCAGTACGTAACAACACATAAATATCGTTAATTTTACTGTGAAGCCCACTTTGAGTCTCCCTCGAGTGATGGTGTAACCTTTCGCCATTAAAATGAGAAGAAGAAGAAATGTCGTTTCGGAAATGCCGCAGAAGAATTGACCTTAAAGTTATATTAATTGTGCTTTCTTATATAATTTTGTATTCATATTTTTTTTAACGGGGCGGTATATTGAGCCCGTGTATTTATATTATGGTTTTGGTTTGTGAAAGAACACTGGTCCACGGTGATATTTTACATTTTACAAAACATCTGGGATTTACATACATATATCCAAAAAAATTATTGTCTATAATCTCATCTCCAATATTACGAGTATATTGATTAGTATATAATAATAAATTCAGAAAAGTTTCACAGCAATCTATATATACATATATATCCTTAGCTCCTAAATGCCGTGGAGTGATTGTTTGCAATGTCAACAATAAGAGGCTATAAAATTAAAAAATATTTCAAATCGGACCGATATTTTCAGGGTTAAATTCATTCAAACAAACCAGAAAACTTTTCAGCTAATATTAGTATATATATAATAGTAAATATATAGTATACAAACCTGTCACCCTCATACTAGTATTGCCTACGCCATTATACGCGTATCGAATCCCAGCGAGACTTTGCAACATAACTCCTAAATGTTGTGACACAAGCGACATCAGAAACAACTTGTACGTAGTATGTAATAAATGCCGGGATTTGAGCTCTACACTGCACATCACTACCGCGACCATCACTATTACATAGGCGAAAGTATACGCTAGAAGGATTGGTAATACATCTGAAACGGAAATATTTATAAGGTACAAGGTCTGTAGGCAGTGGTAGGCGGTAGCCCAGTGGTATCGCGCTTGCTTGGGAAACCGAGTAAAGCGGGTTCAAATTCCGGGTCTCGCACCACTGATATTTTCACACGCGAATCATTTCTAACATGATTACCACTTGCCTTACGGTGAAAGAAAAAATTGTGGGGAGACCTGCATGTCTGAGAGAATCAGCAAGTTCTGAAAAGACATGTAAAGTCCGACCGCACTTGTCCAGCGTGGTAGACTAAGGCCTGATCCCCCAAGTAAGAAGGGAAACCCGTTCCCAGCAATGGGACGTTAAAAAGGGCTGAATACATACAAGGTCTGTACGTTTCAATGCAATGGATGGAATAGATAGACTATATATTATATATAAACATAGGTACGATGAGTTGTTGTGGTTTGTATCATAACGTGTTTTCCCGTGGGAATGAGATAATCTCCCTCGGTACAAAATAGCCTATGTCACTCTCCAGCCTTCCAACTATCTCCAGACAAAAAATCACGCCAATCTGTCACTATGTTTCAACGTGAAAGAAGGACATACACACAAACAAATAAACACATTTTACATAAATTTATTTTCGATCACGATGTTTTCCTTCATCGTAAGACAAGTGGTAATCATGAGTAAGAAATGTTTTTCACATGAGAATAATTAGAGTTGGGAGAACTGTAATTCAAGCCCTTGCCAAACTTCACTTGGTTTTTCAAGATTTTCCAAAATAATTAGGCTCGATGCGTAATTGTTTTATTACTATATTTCAAAATTTTAAACATTATTATAGCTATGTGAACTTGCTAGAAATAAAGCAGGTATTATAGTTTCCAACACGATTAAGAAATGATATTGCTAATCTTTAATCGTCATGACAATTTAGTATAGTTTTATTACATTGGCGCCCAATGTGGGGCCATTATAATTTATATTATTTATATAATTTTTCTATTTAGAAGTAAATAAATAAGTTTGAAACTCACAAAATTCGTCAGCTGAGAAGTGCTCATGCCAAAAATCTCCATTAGGTCCATTAGTCATAAGGAATTTATAACGGACATCCAAACCCTGTTAAATCATTCATTAAAACATTGAGAATCGTTTTACAGTGGCTACCTACCAACTTTAAATAATTTACCTGTGTACATACGGACAGATAGACATGACAAAAGGGTTCCATTTTAGTCTTTTGTATATGGAACCATGCAAACTATATAAATTCGACGAGTGGTTTTTAATATGTAATTTGTAACGATGTTTAGAAAATACCTATAGAATAAATAATTATTATAATTTAAAACAAATAAAACATATGGTAAAAAGAATTATGAAAGATACCTTGGGGCTATCGCAGTTACTGATGGCTATAAACCACCATCTCTCTCTTGCTGATCGGAATCTTCTAGAATTGTGGCATGAGACAACAAATCTAACTTTCTCAGTATTAGTGCTGCCCTCATTTTGCTTGGATTCAGAATAAAGTCGACGGCGGTGGTAGCGTTCTAACAATTCAAATGTTGAACGTTTTATTTTATGCTAAAACATCAAGATTTTATATTATTATAGTATTCGAACTGTGATAATAAATGGTTTAAACCGAAGAGATTTTTTGACAAGATGTCTAGTTGTATTCTATCTTTTTATCTATACAGATAAATAAAATTGAAGTGTCTGTTTGTAATGTCAAAATAACAACTTTTTACTAAATACATATTGGATTATGTACGATACCTACTTATAATAAAAATACATTTTTTTAAATTTTTATCTGTTTTTCCCGGCTACTCTCCGGAACGGCTGGACCGATTTTGACGAGACTTTCACTGGCAGATAGCTCATCTTATAAGGAGTAACTTTAGCAATTTTTATTTTAGAAAAAGAATTAGGGTTCCGCTCAAAAAATCAAAACGTACCCGAGCGAAGCGAGGATAAGCCGCTAGTCGAAGATATAGTATGCTTTTAATTAAGTTAAGTATTTTCCTAGAGGAAATTGAAATACATCGAAATTTAGAATCCCACGATACATCTCATATATTTTTAATGCACTTTAATTTTTATTGTAAGTTTCCAAACTGCATTTATTAAAAGTAGAAAAATTGCCAAGATATGAATAAAGAAATAAATACATAAACAAATAAAAGAAAGAAAACCTACCCCACTTCCATTATAATTCTCAAATAACAATTCAACGTCCTTTAAATTTTCCAGTTTACTATAATTTTTTTCAGGTCCAATATTTTCCCATAGTTCATCATCTGGTAACACTGTCGTGGTAGAATTCCATACATCAGTTGGCAACAATTCGTACCATGTGGTAGCATTTGTATCAGAAAAGGTAGATATTGGTTTCGGTGTGGTAGTTTTTAGGAACTGGTTATAATATGTCGGATCTGAGGGTACATCTAGTTTCGTTATGTTTGAAACATTTTTTGGTTTGGTTGTTACGTTTGTTTTTGAAGTTTTTGGTGCAGCAGTTGTTGAACTGGAAAGAATAAAATACACAATATATATATATATATATATATATATATATAAAGCTATCAATCTGTATTGCTATAGTGTGATCCCGTATTTTTTAATGTTTATAAAAACACAGATCTAATATCATCTACAGTAACATTTTTTTTAAACTTAATAGAATATATTTAAGTTATAAATTTTGCCACTAAGATATAAGATATATTATTAATAATATACTAATATACATAATATACAAAATATATTATTTATCCATACCTTTTTGCTGCTGGCAACTTCTTATTCGCTTGAGAAAGAATACAACCAGAATATTCAGTATCAGGATACCAATGAGACAGTTTTATCATTTGGTTTTGGCCACCTCTATTTAATACTGCTTCACGTTCCTTGCACGTCTGAAAAATCAAAATATTCTAAGTAAGAGTTTAAATATTTAAGACTTAAATTTTGAATTAAAAAACTGTAATTTAAAAATATAATAGAATTTATTTTAATTGAAAACAACTATAGCAATTGTAATTTTTTAAACTCTTTCATTGTTTCCTTTAACTTTAGACGCCCCAAATTGAAAAACGGCCGCACTATTAAGATGGGGGAGGTTCCGTTGTGTTTTAGTATACTAGTACTAACTTTCCTGTATGTAGCAGGTGGTATATGTAATACATTTTCCAACGGGAAAATAGGTGATACCATCGATCACCACCTCGGGTGTCACCCATGTTAGCTACGCCACTACGGGTGTCACCCGTAACCGAGTGACACTGTTACTGCTGACTGACTGACTGACTACGCTCTGAAAGAACTAAGTTTACCTTACTACTGTGATACACAGCCGGCCACTGGCTGTCATCGTCGTAGTACAGCAACAAGTTGGGTGTACCTACGTCTCTCTCGAACTCTATTAAATATTCGAACTGGCCATCCAGCGACAGAAAGCAGAAACGAGCTAAAAATGCCCAATTCTGAAAAATTATAATATCTATTAGTTAATATATAAAAATCAATTGCCGTTCGTTGGTCTCGCTAAAACTCAAAAACGCCTGAACCGATTTGAATAATTCTTTTTTTTGTTTGTTGGCGGTGTGTCAGGGGTGATTTAAGTATAAAAATAATAATAGGGAAAACCCAAAAAAAAACAGCTGAAAAATCGAGAAGTTCAGAACTGTTTATTTTGTACCTTTGTATATATAACATATAATCTATCTATTCCATAGGTACTAAACGTTAAAACGTACCTAGGAATGAACTCGAGCGAAGCGAGATTTTTAATAAATCGGTCACATTTAAAAAAATCTTTGTGATTATTTTTGAATAAATATTTTGTATTGTTGAAGGTATTTGAAATCAAAGTGGCTTATTTTTAGCATGGTTTTCTAAAAATTTGAACAAAAGATAATTTATTTGAAGAAATTAATGTCGTACAAAAATAAACATTATTTAGAAGTGATTTCGTCCGTTTGAATAGAAGCAACAAATATGATTTTAATTAAAAATAAAAATATGCCGAAACCCGGGATTGAACCGGGGACCTTTAGATCTTCAGTCTAACGCTCTCCCAACTGAGCTATTTCGGCTCTGATATTAAAGCTATAAAACAACACCATAACATAACAATTTTTACATATATAAAAACTTTGTATTTTTTCACATATTTATTTTGGTTTTTGGCCCAAAAAAAGAAGAGAAATAGAACAAATCCAGACTTATTTTAAGCTTTTTGTTTCTCTGTCTGTTTGTACGGGCTATCTCCGAAACTATTGGACCGATTTGAATGAAATTTTGCATGGTCGTACCTTACATTCTCGGTCTACATATTAGATACTTTTCATCCCGGAAAATTGAAGAGTTCCCATGTGATAGTTAAAAAACTATAGTAACTTATACAGCTTAGTACACAAAAACTACTGATTGAAGTTTAATGAAACTTTACAATAATACTACATACATCAAAATAACAAATAGGCTACTTTTATCCCGGAAAAATGTACGGTTCCCGTGGAATAGATTTGATTTTAATTTAAAAATATAACTTAATCTTACCTACCTCTTTCGTATCTATCCTCCCTTCTACCCACTTCCCCTGTACGCGTGGCGCCACCAAAATGAGAACCAAAACCGTTGTTAGGATCATATTGACATAACATTTTATTGTTAGGGACGCTTTTAATGCTGGAAATAAAAATATTAATATGTAAGTATATACAGGTTGAAAAAAAAGTAAAATTGATATTTGTTTTGTTTTCTAATGTACTTAATGGGTTATAAAAGTCATTATTTTATTAATGCAAGAAAATATCATAGCCTAAATAATGTATACATAATAATAGATATAATATAATTTTATAACTTAAAATTTTCAATTGAATATTTTATTAAAATTTTGCATTAAAAGAGAAGGCTTAATTTAAAATAACTATTGTGATTGCCTATGACGAAACTAAACAAAATATATATTTAAAAACTTTAGATTTTCAAAATTCGTTGATGTTCGTTATATTTTAAAAGTAAATGACCAAACCGATCACACCAACATCGATTTGATCGAATAGAAAAATAAATAGCACCGTACGCCACAAATATGTACATAATATTAAATACTGAAATAATAAATACAATTTAATGAACACTTAATTGAACTACACGCATTAGTGTCCATTGAAAAGGTATAAAACTTCGCATATTGTATTCAGCCCTTTTTATCGTCCCACTGCTGGGCGTGGGCCTCCCTTCAATACGAGGGGAATCAGGCCGTAGACCACCACGCTGGCCAAGTGCGGGCGGATTGAGCATGTCTTTCGGGAACTTGCTAGGTTCTCTCAGACATGCAGGTTTCCTCACGATGTGTCCTGCACCGTTCAAGTGGTGATCATGTTGGAAGACACTTCTCGTATCAAATTAAATTGATGTATATTAAATACTAACAAATTTTTATAAACAAATAATGCTAAAAACTTACCTCTTTCATGTTATTAACAATAAAATATGTTCAAGTTCGTATAAAAATATTATCAGTAATACAAATGTTTTGAAGCGTTTGTTGTCATTTTCGTTTCCATGGTAACGCGTCGTAAATGCGTTCCTATAATTTATTTACAGGGTGTAAAAAGTTATCATCAATAGAAAGATATTTAAAAAATAAAAAAACATATAAAATGTAATTTATTAGAACGTACTTAAAAATTAAATTTGATTTGTTTTAGCCAATTTAATGCAAAAAGGGCATAATGTATAAAATCTTTTTGACAAAAAAATAAAAATAGACTTCAAAAAAAGCACTAAAAAGTAAAAAATAACTGATTGGTAGTTTTCATTTACGTGTGTTATGAGCACAAATGTTTATACTCCAGTCATAACTCATGGGTGTTTCATTTTTTCATTATTATAATATGTAAGTATTTAAAGTTATATATGTGTAGTGTATCAACTATCAGGTATCCATAACACAAGCCTTGTAGCTTACCACGGAACTAGATGATGCTTTTTGTAAATCTCCCAACATATACTTTTATTATTATTTTATTTATTAAATAGACAATTTATTGACCGATACAGGCTAGTACATTAAAACTAAATCTCATAGAATATTATATAGTAAAAAATCATTAAGGGTAGGAAAATATGATAAAAAAATACGAAAGAAATAAAACAACATATTTACAATAATAATTCGTATATTCACATTTACAATACTAGAACCACGTCACTCTTCCTCCCGCTCTCGCATAGCCGAAACAAGTGAATAAAAACACTAAATGGAAATGTTATAATAATACTTACTCCTATAATTGGATGTAACATAATAGACTTAGTAATTTTAAACATATACACAAGCCAGGTGTAATTAAAAAAAAACTTTTTTTTTTATATGAGATTTTTTTACCAAAAACATGTAACTTATTCAACAAAATGTCTAAGTTGCACCAAAATACAAACATCTATATATATATGAATATTCATTTTTTTTAATAACTACAAAATTATTATAAGTTCAGAAGCAATTACAGTACTCCTATACATATATTATAAACCAGTGGCTCCCAAACTTTAATCAAATAAAAATTGGCAACAAATAATGAAAAAAAATCTTGCCTTATAAAAACATTGAATGTTTATATATTTTTTTTTATTTTCTAAAGACATATTTTAAGTAAACTAGATATTTATTCTTAACATTTATTATAACTAAAAACATTATTTATAATTTTTAATGAGGACATTTCTATGTCTTCATTGAGAGCGAATTTGATATTAGTGTTTGGTATACGATAAAGTTATAATATCCAAAAGTATTTTTTTTTAAATAAAAATATTAGTTGTCCTCAGCTAAAAAGGTTGGGAGCAGTTGCTTTATCTATACTAATATTATAAAGAGGTAAAGCTTGTGAGGTTGTAGGGGGTAATCTCTGGATCTACTAAACCGATTCAGATGAAATTTGGTAAGAAGATAGTTTGAGACCCTGGTAAGGACATAGGGTCCTTTTTATCCCGAAAATCAACCCTTAAGGTGGTGAAAATAGGGATGAAAATTTGTATTGGGAAGCAAGCAGTCTATACAGTCTATGTTTTATATACGCTATTCATATTATTTTATTATATTATATCAATAAAAGATAACCAGTTCAAACCCGGGCAAGCACCACTGAGTTTTAAATTACAATAAAAAAATGAATAAAACATTAATAAAATAAAGCTAACCATAAATTGTAATACTTATACTTTATAATAAAATCTGTCCAATATTTATTTATTTCACATAAAAACGTACAAGGGAGCTTTTATATAATTACTAAATGTACATAACCTATTTTCGTACATTTACTCATTTTTTTATTATATTATTTATATCTATCCATATATTATAGATTTTTTTTAAGCCAAAGGTATAAATTTCATTCAGAACTTAAACAATACATCATAAAAATAATACTTAAATTAAGCAGTCTGTGCAACTGAAAAAAATATATATAAAAAACCATATTTATGAAAATAAAAAAAATCAGTACGTGATATTAAAAAAAATCTCAAGGCTATTAACCAACACCTATTATTAAACTCATCTTATATTATACGAAAAATCGCATCAAAATTGATTCAGTGCTCAATAATTAAAGTAATAATGGAATTCCAAAGAAAATTTAATACCTTTTTTTGGTAGCATTATTATATTTTATTATTTACTGACATTCCCTTAGTACTTGCAGAGATTTTCTGAATAATTCTTGTTGCGCACGCGCGTGTTTTATCTCCAGCTCAGCCAAATCTATTAAACTGAAGAAAAAAAAATGTGATAAAAGAACGTTAGGGAAAAAGGTAAATAAAAAAAATACTTTTAAATAAAACAATCTTTTCGGATTATTTCGCGGATTTATTTTGATTTTTGGCTCTAGAAACTTTGGTGGATATCTTATATTTATTTAGAATGTCAAATATTCGCGTAAATCCAAAAAAAGTGATTTTAATTTATATATCAAATATTCACATAAAGAGCGCAACATCTAAGAGAACGTAATATATAATACCTTTTCCTAAAAGCGGCTACGCGTCTGGTGCGGAAGTCCAACAGTTCCTCCCTCGCGCGCGCCGACAGCTGTTCGAAACGAGCGCATGCGTCAGACTGCGCTTGTTCAGCCTGACGATAAAAAAAATACACCGATTTCAAAACAAACTTTTTGGACATTTTGGTAACAATCCCCCATTTTAATTTTAAACATGCATGTGTGTATATAGTTAGAAAAATACTTAAATAATAAGCAAAATAACGTCCGAAAGTGTCACGTTTCCAAGATATTTGAAGGTAAAGGTTACTACATATATATATTATAAAAAACGATGGCAAAATTAAAAATGAAATAATTTGCCTATAAAAAAATATGTATAAAAAATAAAATTAAAATAAATAGCCGTCAGTTGTATTAAAAAAAAAAATAGTTTCCATACTTCTCATATAAGCGATCTTTACCTCAAAATATCTTGGAAACGTGACATTTTAAAAGTATAATATTGCTAATATTATTAATTTATTCAACAGTCCGCTATCCATTTATACCAGTTTCTTGGTTAGTTTAAAAAAAATGAAGATGAGTTGCTAATACCAACTTCCACGGAAAAACTTTGAACCCCTACAAATTGTAGTGACTATAACAATTTTAACTTTTTGTTTTTAATTATTAAAGAAACTTCTTAATTTTGTACAAACTTCACTAATAAATAAATACATAAAACCATCTATTGGCAGTCTTTGTTTATATTAATTTTTCCATGGTCACTTTAATACATAATAATTATAGATATAATGAATAAAGAACATAAGCCATATATATAGGATGAATTTTATAAAATAATTTATTGTTGATAAATGGAAAAGTTGAAGCTCGATGGGAATAATAATATTTGAACGAGTTTTTTGTTATATGACTGATACTATTGGCTATGCATGGTATCGATATTATTATAAAATACCTTCTACCAAAGTAGATCTTTATGAGCACTTTTTAGAGTTCCGTAGCTTAAAGGCAAAAACGAAATCCAAGTCCAACTCTCAGTAATACCTATCTATTTTACTCCGAAACTATTAAAAGCACATTACTGAAATAAGATAAAATAGGTGTATAAAATGAATATTGTAGATAGATAAATATTTCTTTTATGTTACCAATTACGTGTGTTAGTTAGTACAATAGATTTATTGTTTCAAACTACGGAATCCTAATGCGAATCAGACTCGCACTTGTCCAATTTTTATTATTTAATTTTATCAAATTTAATTAAATTTTGTTAATTTATTACGCATTTCCCCGAATACGTTCATATAAAAAATGTACCCTGTATATATATACATATGTATGTATATGTTAGTGCAAATTCTTTAAGCGTGCATTACCTCTTGAACTTCCATCGGCTGAGTGCATTAAATAAAATGGTGATTATTTTTATGACATACATTTGAAAATTTAAAATAAAAAAACCAACAACAACAATAATTTTGCAAGATTTACAACAATTTTACAACATTGTTGTTTTTATTGTGGACTTTTTTATTTTGAATCTTAAAGTAGTGTTAATAAGTGCTTTGGCATTATTTAAATAGTGTATTAAATATTAAGGTTTTAATTGTATGATTGTGTAAAGTGAAATTATATATTTTTTAATTGAATATTAGTATAATAAGTTGAAATTTTAATATTATGTTGTAAACCTATATTGTTTTACCTATAAAGTAATACATATATACAATATAACACATACTTTATTATTGATATAGTGGATTATGATCGAAATTGAATCAAATTTTGTTAGACAATATAATTTATTTACGTTTTGTAAAATACATATTATTGAAACTTAAAATAGTGGTAAATTGTGCTGTGATATTTTTATAGTGTTGTATATTAAAAATTAACAATTTAAATGTACTGAGGTGTAGTAGATATGTAAATTTTAACCTTATATTATAGTACATCTATATTGTTATATTTACCTTTAAAATAATAAGTTTATATGTATATAATACCGTTAATTCATAGGAAAATTATATTTTAATAAAACACTAAATTCTCATTGAATTCGAATTAAACGGGGCTCACCGGGACTCCATATAAGAACTCAGCTGGAGTCTTGTTTGATTTTGGTGCCTTTATTATGTTGCTAGTTGTTAAAAATAATTGGGCTCATCATCAAGCCCCTAGAATTTATTGGTTTTAGGTAAATTAGGGTTGCAAAATATTATATATTTGGTTCATATTTAATAAAACTTTGTTATGAACAACTATAAGGACGTAGATAATTTATTTGCAATTGTGCTAATGAAAATAGGACTTTTTCACTATATGAATCACATGTATCATTAATAATTTAATAATAAATAATCCAAATTTAATGTTATAAAGAGGATAAGTGTGGAAGTTTGTGTGTGAGGGATAATCTCTGAAACTACTGATACGGTTTTGTAAATTTTTTTCACTATTATGAAGCAACATTACCGCCGGCTACTTTATATTCCGATAAAAATGTGCTTAATGTCAGAAATCATAATAATTAATAACTTTAATTGAAGCCTACAATCTAAACCTTTGCAGGTTGTTGTTGTTTTACTTAGAGGAGTAGGGATGCACCAGAACAAAGCAAGAGTAAGTTAATAAAAACACTCCAGTGCAGATTTCATATGGCAACCCGGTGAGACCCTTATGCAAGACTTATGTATTATCTGTGAAGCATTGTGTTTTATTTCATAATTACATAGTACTTACAGCATGTACATCCTTGTTCTTAGAGCGAGCTCGTTCTAAATTCCTGTTAGCTGCTTCGTAGGCAGCCAGACATCTGAAAATAAAAAATAAACTCGCACTATCAGACTAAGGAGTAAAATAGAACCAAACATTAAACCTTTAAAATGCGCTTACTGATTCGCTTGTCACTTATATTGTTATAAACTACAAGTACTTGTGTGTACAAGAACATCTATATAAATAAAAATGAATCACCGAAATGTATGTACATACATGCATAACTTCGGATCGATTGTACCAAATTGGATAATTCTTTTTTTTGTGTTTGTTATTGTCAGGACAATTTTTGTATAGAAGAAAATTAAAAGTTAAAACGTATCTAGGGACGAACCCGAGCGAAGCGAGGGTGAGTCGCTAGTAATAAATATCGGGACTCGAACACATGATCTCCGTATCTACAACCGTAAGTACTAACCACCAGACCATCTAGACAGTAAATGAATTATAAACATACCTTAGTCGTCTTACGAGCACTGCTTTAGCGGCGTGCGCATCACGCATATAATAACGGAGAGTATCGGCTAACTTCAAGTCTTGGTCTGATGCCATACGACCTTCGATTTTCTGTAAAAAATATATATTTATGTAATTAAAATTAAGAAATATTGAACGCCAATCTTACTCGCAGTGGTATCGATCTTGGGAAACCGAGTAAAGCGGGTTCAAAACCCGGATCTCGCACAGATATTAGACAATGTTTAAAAATTGTGATACCATCAAAGCATATGAAAGACAAACGGCACCTTACACCATATTCTTACAAAATTTAAAAAAAATATTCCCATAAACATGATATATTTTATAATATTTCCATACTTTATGGGATTCTGATGTTTTGAAAAAATATATAATTTTATAACAACACATTGATACAAAGACAACTTACCCTACATTTATCAAACGTCTCAGCCGCTCTTGTCAAGAACCTTTCAGTGGGCGGTTGCTCCCTCGTACCGAGTTGAGTGATGCAGGATGATAGTTTTATATGAGCGTCTGCTACATCTGTATGAAATATTTATGTGTATTTAATTAATCTAATACTAATATGCGAACTTTATTGATGATTAATCACATTACGGGCTAACATAACCGGTTTAACATATCTAGTCTAACATATTCTTGTTAATATGTTAAATTATTAATACTAAATATCTAAAAATATTTTTGCATTTAAATATACTTAATTAAATGCTTTGATTAATGTAATAAACAATGAAAATAAAATTAATTTGAAAAAAAAAATGGCCAGAGGTTTTATAGAAGTTATGTCAAAAATATCTATAAATCTCTGGTAAGCCAAAAACTTGACAGAAAAATGTTGATTGTAACGGTATTGTATTATTTTTATGTACTCTGGCAATAAAATAAAAGATGAAACAAAAAAAAATCTAATTAAAAACAAATATTCTAAGGCATACACAATGTTGTATTTCTTGCTACTATTACAAATATGTTTTTATTCTTGCTCACCCTTATGTTTCGAAGTCATCCTATCCACCTTGGCCACGGCCTCCTTGAGATGTGAATAGTATTCTTGCAAAAAAGCAGTTTCTTGTTCAAAGAAATCATTCACATCTCGCACCGTTGCACCGAGGTATATCTCATCTGTTGTTGTTGTCATCGAACGGACCTACAACAGTGGTAAAGTGGCAGTGGAAAATGGACCATAATTAATCATTATTGAAAATTTTAGTAACAGTAAAGTTCGTTAATATCCACTAAACAAAAAACAAAAGAGAATGAACTGCTTTGACTTTGCCTCTATATTATACTAGCGATTCACTCTCTACGCTCGGGGTTATTCCTAGCGATAAACAAAAACAAAGGGCTTAGCCGTACATCTATAGCGAAACTGCCCCCGATAGGAACCTATATCGTAACTAATGTTATATTGTAGAGGACACTAACAGTAATTGATACAGTAGATATTAGCTCTATAGCTTAGTTAATTGAGGAGCTATTTGAAAAAAATTGTCCAGGGACGAATTTTATTCAAAGCGATATATCTTAGTTAATATCAAATCTAGCAAAACAAAACTAAATGAAAGTGTTATAATACACTTTATAGTTTATTTTATAGCTGTTGCTTATGGACCAAGCCTAATTAAAAGTATTAAAAAAATGCAAATAAACATTTTGTCAATCGATTTCTATCAGATATAATAAAATTACCACTTTGAAAAAAATACATATTAATTGTCTATATATTGTCTAACAGCATGCCAAGTTTCATTAAAATCCAAGAGGGGCAACATGTCAATAAAAATTCAAAACAAAGTGAGTAGGCACTTTACAACCACTATGTTGACACTTTTATCTTGCATAATATTTTTAGTTTTTCAATATTTAGCATGAAAGGTTTAAAAAGAAATAGAATATTTATTTTCTCAATAGAAATTAAACCGATATTCATAAAAAAATACTTTTATTAGTCATCATCACTATCTTCCTTTTTTCTTTCTTAATTACAATGTGCTTCATATTTATAGAAAAAGCACATGGATAATATTTCTGCTGGGCAAACTATATAAGATTTATATCTTGCACACAGTCGATAAATAATCCTACTAATATTATAAATGCAAAAGTTTGTGAGGTTGTATAGATGTATGGATGTTTGTTACTCTTTCACGCAAAACTACTAAATGGATTTTAATGAAACATTACAATAATATAACTCATATATCAGAATAACATAGGTTACTTTGTGATAGATGTCAAAGATAATATTTTAATACTACAAGTAACATCGCATCAGAAAAACAAAAACAAATCTATCTGACTAAAAGGGACTAAACTAACACTATCTATCTCATGTGTTGAAGCGTTCCTACCCTTCCTTGAGAACACAGAGATGTAACTCACCAATCCACCAATCATTTCCATCTTGCCCCTGGGCTTAGCGCATAGATCCTGTTCATACTCCAGGAACACTCGTAAGTGAGCATCACTCCTGAACACTGGGTGCGCTGCTAGACGTTGCAGGAACACTTCGTGCATTGCTACCGTTTTCTTGAATGTTGCCAGATATTCCCTGGGTGCAAGAAACACATATTCAAAATGGTTTTAAACATATTTCTATGGAATCTGATATCCTTAAGCACTCAATGAGATTGATATGATGGATAGAGAAAACTTCATAATGTCCTTCTTGATCAATTTCGGGCCTGCCCTGGAGTGTTACTAAGAATTTCTTAAAAGTAAAATAACTTGGCCTGGTTTAGGACCTAGGACTCAAACCCAGAACTACTGGATCTATGACCAATGAGCCACACACACACAACAAATATATCAACAATATAATAATAGCCTTAAGTCAAGTTTCTGAGATATTTGGTAGAAATATAAAAATAAAATTATAAGGAGCACAAGTAGGAACACAATATATTGTTATGCATTAGTAATAAAACATTTTAGAAATATATTTATTGACTAACTATTACATTATAAAGGTTATCTCTTTTAAAGATAGGACAAACAAACTGATGTTTGTCAGAACAACAAATGAGCAGAAGTGATATGAAAATTAATAACTTCTTGAAGTTTTACTTCTTTTGGCACATTTAGAAAACAATATGAGTATAATTTTTACGATGCGCGCGCATACCGACGGTCAAAAAGTGACATGATGAAGTTAGCTGAAAGCGACATGATGAAGTTAACTGCATTCCTTTTACAGAGAGTTGTGACATATGGGATGACACACACACAGTAAATACATACATTTTTTTACAGAGAAAAACTTACTCTTCAAGTTCTTCCTTCATCTTCAAGAACTCTTCCTTAGTTAAAGCACCTTCTCCTTCCCCGAGTCTTTGCAATTTTTCCCTAGACGCATCAAAGTCTGGCCTGGGTGGGGCCGGTGGTATCTATATTAAATTATTAGTACAGTAAAATATACTTCAATCATGAACAACAGTAAATTTTTTTTTAAATCTGGTTTTTAGTCTAATAGTACTTAATTTTCTTTCTCATTTAGCTTTTTTCCACACCCCACAGCTGGGCACAGACCTCCTTTGTATTGAAAGTTGTGAGTAGAATAAGGTAATTTTTACCACAAAAAAAAGTATTAATCTTTTAATTGAAACAAATACAATTTCATAAATAATATTAAAATTGAAATAAATTTTATATCAAATTTTAATAAACCTAATACTTACAATGTATCCCGCATAATCTGCGTTCTCTTCATATCTATCATGTAACCATACAAACTCTTCATGTTGCCTCACAACAAAGAATTCAGATTTTTGGAACTCTGGCAATGTTGTTTTAGTGTGAACGGTGAACTTTACTTTTTCTTTTTCACTAAGTGCATCTGATATGTCTACCTGTAAAAGTTTTTAAGTGAAGAGAAATATAAATCTTTATTATATAGGGCTATTATTATATATGCAAATGTTGAAGTAGTTGTGACTCCGTAACACTGAAATGGTTGGATAGATTGGGGTTAAGTTTAGTATATAGACACACAATGACCTGGAGTAATACATAGGCTAGTCTTTGGCATCTAGATGCACTGGAGCAATGCAAGGGTAGTGGCTAGTTGAGTACATTTCAAAAGTAACTGGCTACTCACATATTCCCAACTATTTATATACATTATAGTTACTTATGATTTTCATATTATTTACTTATAAATGACAATTATTTTATATACCTAATAATGTCTTATATTATTTATATATATATATAATAAATTGTAACTAAGCAGAATCTGTACTTAAATATTTTTTGGAAAATTTTATTGAAATAGACATTATTATCAATACAGAGGCCGAATGTATAGTTTTTAGAATTTTTCTCTGTCTGTTATCGCATCACAGAAAAACCACTGGAGAAATTTTTATGAAATTTGGTATAGTGATAGCTGGTTATCTGGGTCAACATATAGGATACTTTTTATCAGGGGAAAATGTCTCATTTCTGAAAAAAAACACAAAAACTGCAATGTAAGAGTATACTAATATCTAAAACCTAAGAATTTGGTTTTTGGTCATCTAAACGCGGGTGGAGCTGCGGGAAATGATAGCTTACTTATAAAATTATTAATTCAATATAAAGTTAACAAACTATTTATAAAAATGTCTTGATTATACATTTAAAAAATTAATGAAGTTTACACACAAATAAACTTGCACAAATGTAAAGAATAAGAGGAAAAAAATACTTAATTAATTTAAGTAATGAGAAAATTTAGACGTCTTAATATGACTAAAAATAGAAATTAAAACACTTCAAGAAACATACCAGTAAGCTATTGTCTGCTAGGGAAATGTTTTCACTTGGTTTCTTCTTATCTACTTTGATTTCTCCACTAGATGGTGGAGAAACTGGTGGTGCAGATAGAGGATCATGATTGTTGTCTTCTACACAGTCCTTTATGAGGAAAAAATAATATAATTTCAATATAGCACTGTGATTGTGTTTAAACAATTCAACATATATAATGTGAAAGTCAAATAATCATTGAACTAAATACATATAGAAAGTAAAACTTTATGTTCTACAAGATTTAGAAAAATCAAAATATAATGATTCCAAAAATAAATTTGTAAACAATAATGTGTGTGCTTATGCACACAAATTCTAACAATATAATGTTTTTTTCATCACTATTGCCTTATACTTCGATGAATCATATAAGACTTCTCTATTATCTCCTAAATGTAATTGTACTGATATCGAAAACACTTTTGCAAAGCTAATAAAAAGTAATTACCACGTCACGATTTTATAAAATTTTAATGTTTCGCGTACATGTTTCGCATAAATACATATCATGTTAGAATACTAGATAAAATCTAGTAATATAAACGAAAGTACTAAGAAAAATAATTCTGTTTATAACTTTTAGCAAAACAAAAAAATAATTTGGATCCAATTGGAATATTAGGATACGCCCCCCGGTTTTATAAAGAAAAGGTCTTAAAGAGCAATAATATTTATGTATGATCACAACTTACCATCATATTGAGTTAATTGATAGTTTAAAGATTTGTTTGAAGCTTAAAATAAAATGTAATTATTGTTTTTTACTAAAATGATTCGGCGACAACGACAATCCGAAAAACAGAAAACAATAATTGTCAATTGAGCTGACAAATGTCAAGACTCAGTTATGTTTTTTTTGTAGCAAAGGTATTTTAGGTACCGTATTCATCAATCAACTCCTCTTTTGAATTTGATGCCTCATGCCTTTATTGTATGTTCAACACATAATAATAATATTATTTTTAATAAATCTTTTGCATTTATAAATGTTTTTAAAATATTGGTCACAAATATAAAAAATGCAACTAATTCATTGAAACTGAATTTATTCGTAATAAATAATTTAAACAAATTTTATTAAACCATAAGGAAAATTAAAATTAATATTAGTACACATTTTTGTTGTAAATAAAATTTCAGTTTTTTTCCAAGTAAATAGAAATCAATATCTTATATTTTTCTATCTAGTCACATTCAAATTTTTATAGATCGAAGGGCGAATCATGGGATCGCGCAAAATAAATGTTTATAAATTTATTTCTTAAAAATTACAATTAATTTATAAAAAATGGGTACCCAAAAACCTGGAGAATGGGCCAACTCACTTATATCTCGATTTGAAGAACAGGTACAATAAGTACTATTTTTATAAATCGTATGTGTTGACCTACCCATTAGCGATTTATTTATTTATATGTAAACAATGATGTTAAAATGCTCTTCACTTTTTTGCAATATTTTAATAAATTTTTAATTAGATAGTAAATTTTCAAATCTTATATTTGTGCAGTCGGTTTTTCATCTATCCACCTACGCAAATTTATACTACAAGTACATTATAAAATTTACAATTTCATTTAATAAAAGAAATCTGATTGCAGTTCCATTATAAAATGTTAGGCAAGTTATAAATTTAGACTTGAATAAAGTAATATAAAGGGAGAACACATACGATATAACTACTGCGATTTTATTTATGATCACTAAAAAAATATTACTTCTTTTAAATTTTTTCTTATAACTACTGTAAATATCTTTAAGAAAAATATAAAATAATATTTTTTGATAGAAAAATTAATTTATAGTGTAATTTTAAGTGGTTGGTACTAATAGATGATGTTATTTGAAATCTTTTTTTTATAATAATTACAAAAAAATCTCTTATATCAGCTTCCCTATAAAACTGGTGCCCAAAACCTTCATTCTCGCATCAATGAAGAGCAATGCAAAGCCTGTCTGGTCCAGATCAGTCATCACAGATTCTCCCTAGTTATAGCTGGCCTAACAAAGATCTTGCAAAGAGTTAATGAGTTGGTAAGTAAACAATATATAATTATTAAATATGTAAGTTTTTCTGTATTTTATAGTGCATTCAACATCCTTAAATTAATAAGTAATAATTGCCTCACTTGTACATATCAAGTTTCTTTGGACATATCATTTTTTTTATACTTTAAACTGTAATAAGCATTCACGTTAAATTATTACAGTATCTTATATAAATTAATAGTCAAAAAATAATACAAAACTATTTTGTAGTGTTACAGAAATTAAAATAAATAAAAATAAAACAAAGATGTTTAATTAAATTTTATAAGTGTATTTAATTCACAGTATCAACCAACAATAACAACCTGTGTGAATCGACCCCAAACCGAGACTGAGAAGGGCTATCATGACAGTCTAGTTATAGTTTTAGATACATTGGAAATATGTTTAAGCTCACAACCAAAAGATACAGCGAAATATGAAGAGGCCATGAATGTTAAGATTTTGTTACGTGAAGTGTGTCAGTTTATTGGTAAGAGATATTTGTGCTATATATATAATTTATAGAATTATTGAGATTTAACTTGGGTTTATAAGTTAACAACTTCAAATGACATCCAATTTGTTTGAAACACCATATTAAATCTTTTTTTTTTAAGTTACATCTCTGTTACTGTAAAGGTGTATACTGCAATATTATCTCTTTAAACAACAAAGAACAGACACACACCTTAATTTGGGCTATTCTTAAGGCTATATTTCTTTTTTTATGTAGAATAGCTGATGTTAATCTGCAAGCTATTACAGTATTTCAATTTTAATATGTACAAGTATGTATTAAAATACAAAAAATATATATATTTTGAACTTCATATACAGCCCCTTTTAATACCCCGCCTTGTGACGGGCCCCCCTCCAATATGAGGGGGATCAAATCATAGTCCACCACGCTAGCCAACTGTGCTTTGGTGGACTTCACATATCTTTCGAACTTCAGTGCCTAACTATTTTTAAGATTACTAAAATGCAAACAACACCATGTAATGGCTGATTTTTCAATTAACAAGTAAAATTACAAAAAAATCTGTGCATTATTTCCTTTTTTGTACAAAGTTTTTTTATAAAGCAGAATACCTTTTTGGGACTTTTTTAAATTTATTTTCGATTCATAACGCCATCTTTTGACCAATACTTGAACTATTTTTTCTTAATTCTTGATGATGGTATGGTATGGTATGCTGCGCGCCTATTTTGCGTGTGTGGGAAATTTTCCATTCGTGTTATTCTTGGCAACCCAGTTCCTCCAGGAATTTCAGCAATCTCTTCGTCTTTCTTGATGATTCTTTATAATACATATAATGATATTTTTTTTAATAATATTTTTTTACAGATCTCCGAAATGAGACTAATGTCAACAACACACTGCTACGACAGTTGGCCAGCAAAGTTTTGTTCGCTCTCAGTCTTAATTTTTTCAATGCTGTATTTAATAGAATTAGTGCAAGATTACAGGTTTGTATTTTAAATTTTGTTTTTTTTTCTATTCAATTGCAATGGTTGTTTTTTTTACAATTTTACTGTGATAGGTATAGAGGGTAGTATTAAATTAAATTGCTTCACAGCAATTGTGGTCTGTGGTGTTTCAAAACATGGAGCACAGAAGTAAACTCTATCTGTGTGATGATAAAGTGTCTGTCAGTACTTCTACGCTCCATGTTCTCAAAAGTTATTATATAGTTTATTACAGATGGCATCTATATTAATTGTGTACATTTAGTTTGGAGATTTAATAAAAATATATAATAATTAATGTTTCAATCGAATGCTATTTTGTTTAATATTTGTATAAAATATAATTTAATAATATATCTTTTTTAGGAACTAGCATCTAGCTCAGAAGAAAACCCCGACTACACTGACATAGAGTTAATACAACACGTTAACGTCGATATACTCAGGCTTATACGGCTGCTTACTGGTATGTTTTAGTCTTAAAATAGCAGAACCCGCAGCTTCGCTCGCGCTAAAACTACAAAAAAATCTCTAAAAAGGTAGTTTTATACAAATTATCATCCCCTATTTTACTCCCTTTTAGGATGAGTTTTGAAAAACTCTAAAACACATATTTATTTAATTGTATTGAAGAGCATTAATACAAAAGTTTCAAGTAATTCTGATCATAAATAATTTTTTGGGTTGTATTTTAACGTGTGTTCCCGTGGAAATGAGTAAATCTCCCGCGGTAAAAAGTAGCCTATGTCAATCTCCAGCCCTCCAACTATCTCCACACAAAAAAAAAAAACGCCAATCCGTTTCGACTTGAAAGAAGGACCAACAAAGACACAAACGCATTTTCACATTTATAATATTAGTATGGATTTAAAGGTGCATACACACAACAACTTTCAAACGCGCAGTCGCTCAAATATTTTTGTATTGGAGTATACACACGACTGTTTTACGCAGATATAACGTAACAAAAACATGCCAAATAATGTGTATTAACACGATACTATAGTTGCAAAATTCAGAATTATTTACCCACAAAGAAGAAAAAATTTGACAATGTCAATACAAAATTTATTGTGTAATCGAAATTTATTTTAAAATATATCCAAAAATAACATTAATAATTGAATTAATAGTATAAAAAATGTTTTAAAACACAACAAAATCGAAAGTGCATAATATTTAACACCATTCAGACAAAGAAAGACAATAGCATTCCCAAGGAGGGTTGACGTCAGGCAGGCGGCCGGTCGTAAAACTTTTGCCAAATCCTATCAGCAGTACACTGAAGATGTACTGCGCCGACCCCAAGTGATTTGGGAAATGGGCAGGGAGAAGAAGAAGAAGAAGAATGGTATTACAGTCTTTCTGGGTAACATTAGACCTAGCGCTGTAAATTTGGACACATTCTGAACAAATGCTTTTCAATTTTTAATCTTCGAAATACATATAATAAAAAAAAATTAAAATTGAAATGTTTAGCCATATCCGAGAAAAGTATGTTTTATGGTCTCGAGAGGCTGAAAATCACCCCTTCTTCTTGAATTCTACTTTTTGAAGAAATAATAACATCGTAAGAACTTTTAAAAAAATTAAAAATTTGACAAATCAATAATTTTTACTTTGTAAACTACATTTTTTTTAATTATCATTGAATGAGTGTGCTTTATTGACCAAAATTTTTATAAACTGATTACAACAATGTGTTTTTCGGGAAAAAACGAAAAAGGCTGCAACCTCAAGTTTTTAATTTGACGCTTAGTATTAATACAATGTCGCCGTAAACATTCCAACTTTGCGATTTGACGAGTCGTCAAAAAAATTATAAAAATTGAAATTCCTGTAAAGTTTGTTTGGAATTATTTTTTTTATTATTTTTACAGAGTCTATACAAAAATTTAAGTTATTAAGGAAGTCAACGCACATAGTGCTGGTCGTGTCCTTAGAGAAGGCGGTTTGGAATTGGATGGACACATACCCCCAGGTTTGAGAATTTTACCTATATTTTACAGATTTCAAATAAGGAGTTTTTTATTTTTATCTGTGTATCGAGTATACATACGTAATAGGTATTTAATTTTTGTAAAAAACGTCCTAATATGTCTAAATGCTCATCTTAGCAATATAAGAATTTTTGTGCAAAACGCCATACTTAAAATTATGTTTTCCCCTCTTTCTTACTTACTCATTTCGCTTGGGTTCGCCTATAGAAAAACAAATCTATCTCACGGAAATCATACATTTTTCCGGGATAAAAAGTAAGTAGCCTATGTGTTATTCCAGACTATAATCTATCTGTGTGCCAAATTTCATCCAGATCCGTTCAGCCGTTCTGGCGTGAAAGAGTAACAAACATCCATACTCACAAATTTTCATATTTATAATACGGACTAGAAACTTAGACGACCTGCATCCTTAGATATTTTTTACATTTATTAAATTGTATATAGGCAGCGCCAGCTTTTAGCAAATTTTATTACTAACAGAAGTCTGTGACGTCGGCCATAGTCTATTTTTAAATCGATTATCAAGAATTTTTTTTTAAAGCGAAACAATTTTAATATTACTAGAATACTATAATAGAAAAGAGACAGTGGTAGCGCAGTGCAACACGCTCGCTTGTGAAATCGCGTGAAGCGGGTTCAAATCCCGGGTCTCGCACCTCTGATATTCTCATGTGCGAATCATTTCCAACATGATTACCACTTGCCTGACATGCTCAGTCCTTCCGCACTTGCCCAGCGCGGTGGACTATGGTCTGATATTGTATTTGTATCCCCTAAGTATTGAAGGCAGGCCCACTCCCAGCAGTGGGACGTTAAAAAGGACCGAATATACTATAAATAAATAAATAAATAAATATGTTAAGACATTACACACAGCACCATCTAATTCCATGGTAAGCTACAAGCTTGCGTTATGGGTACCAGATAGTTGACTACACATACATATATAATTTTAAATACATACATATTATAAATATAAACACCCATGACTGGAGTACAAACATTCGTGCTCATGACACAAATGAATGCCCCTATCGACTGAGCCAAACGTCTCGTCAAACTGCTATATTAGATAAAAAAGTTTATTTTCCTTTTGTTTTCAGGAATTCGCAGAAGTCCAATGTCGGCCTAACGATGAACTAAGCAAGTGTTGTGACACTCTTTTTGATATATTGCAAGACAGTTTCTCAGATAATAAGAAGTCACGTGTTGCGATGTGGCCTTTGCAAATTATGTTGCTCGTTTTGAACCCTGTGAGTATACCAATAAGGTTTATTTTGCTTCTAACATCTTGTGTCAAGTGTTTTTTTTTAATATTATTATTATTAATATTTCCTATAAATTTGTATGCGACGTTTTTAACATTTTAGAATGCAAAGATTTTACATTTAAAAGCTTTTTTTGGTAGTAGGATAGTGTCATATTCGGTCTGGGGCTTGAGCGATAAGTAAATATGTAGTAATAAACTTGTATAATAGAAATAGTTATACTAGAGCTATTTAATACGTTGAAAATATTGTTTTGCTGCAAGCCCTGCAAGTCCTGAGGTTCTGGGTTCGAGACTTGGGTCGGTTCAAAATAGTTTTTGGTGTTTCCTATCAACCAATTATTAGTAGTGGGACGAAAATGATAATTATCATTTTACTACAATATAAATCTGAAAGGGACAGTGAGTGCACGTTGTGTGTCCGCCGTGCTATTTTACGAATATTTGACATATTAAATGTAATTATCTTATCGGATCTTGTCGCAATATTTTGGTTTTTGGTTCCAGACGTTTCGAATGCTTTACAGCAATCACGGTCTCCAGGCACTCCCGTGACCGTGATTGCTGTATATCGTTTGAAAAATCGAGAAAATGAAGAATTCTGGAAATACAAAAATGGTTTTGGCATTTTTGTATTGATGGATTAAAATCCAAGTTCTATTCAATATATGTTTTGTACAGAAAGTTCTGGAAGAGATAGTGAACGCAGACAGTGGCGCGCCCTGCAGTCCACGACACTCCAAGAAGAAACACTTCATAGATGCTGTCAAACGTGGGCTAAGTAAGTGACTTGGTATTATTGTAAAACTTATAACTTATTATAGCGAATATCTTTGATCTATTATAGTTATTAATCACTTGGTTGATTTCCCATACAAACTTTCAATCCTTATTATCACCTCCTTAAGGGATGATTTCTGGGATAAAAAGTTTCCTTTGTCCTTCCCAGGACCTCAAATTATCTTCTCACCAAATTTCATCTAAATCGGTTCAGTAGATTTAGAGATTACCCCCTACACCGTCAAAAACTCACAAACTTAACGTCTTTATAATATTAGTATAGACTTAGTACCGGTACTTGGGATCGAGCCTTGCTCGGTAGTTTTTCGGAAAAGATAAAAATTGTGTTTTACAGAAAAGATACCTGTAATATAGACCTATATAGATAATTTTTTCTAGTAATTTCTATTCCTGTCTGGAAAATGATTTGTTTTTTATTTCTTTAATTCAATTCAAATTTCGCGCACACCGATAGCCAATAAGCGACACGACGAAGTTAGCTGCATTCCTTTTACAAACGGAGAGTTTTAACTATTTTTCTTCTGTTACGCCAAATAAGTATAACTTCTTACGTGCGTACATAAGTACACACACACGTTTTTTATTATTATTATATATTTATGTATAGTAATTTGGAGTAGTAATAGTAATAATTATTTTTCAGGTCCACAGAATAATTCAAAGCAAATGACAGAAGCGGCGGTGGTCACTTGTGTGAAGTTGTGTAAAGCGTCGACATATTTGAATATAGCAGATTCTGGCAATGTCACATTCGTTTTGGTGAAGTCCGTTATAAATGATCTGAAGGTATGTAAAAGGATTTTGTATTTTCCATATATTATATGGTAAGCTACGAGGCTTGTGTTATGGATACCAGATAGTTGATACACTACACATATATCACTTTAAATACATATTATAAATATAAACACCCACGACTGGAGTACGAACATTCGTGCTCAACACATGAACGCCCCCCAGCGGGACTCGAACTCCCGACCGCTGGCACAGCAAATAGGGTCAAGACAAACTGAGCCAAACGTATCGTCGAATACGGTAGTAGTGATACATAAATACATAAACATGTACGTGTGTGAACAGTCGCTGCTGTTCAACCCGAGCAAGCCGTACGCGCGCGGCGCGCCGTGCCCCGGCTACAGCGAGCTGGACCTGCTCACCGACTGCTTCGTGTCGCTCTTCCGCATCATGCCGCACTCCAACGACGCACTCAAAGTGTGTCTCAATCTCAACACGCATATATCCTATCATTATGTCATCGTCAATTCGTTGCTCAGGTGAGTTGGTATATACTGGTATATAGGGGGGTTGTGTATATTTTAAACTAGCGACTCAGCTTCGCTCGGGTTCGTCCCTAGGTACGTTTTGATTTTTTTGAGCGGAACCCTAATTCATTTTTCTAAAATAAAAATAGCTTATGTTGCTCCTTATAATATCAGCTATCTTCCAGTGAAAGTCCCGTCAATATCATTCCAGCCGTTTCAGAGATTATCCGAAACAAATAGACAGACAGACAGACAAAAATAAAAAAAAAATGAATTTTTCTTATAAGTACCGTAAAATTAATATGCATCTAGTAAAACGCTGTTATTTTGACATTACAAATGTGACACTTCAATTTTATTCATCGATCAAATTAATCACAGAGGGACAGTTCTATTTTATTTATTTGTATAGAAGAAAATAACTTTTAGGATTATGTTGCAGTTTTATTTTATTTCTTAGTTCCCGACGTTTCAAATGCTTTACAGCAAACATGATTACGGGAAAGACTAAGATTAGACGGGCTAAAATGTAGGTTGCAGAGTTGGCAGGCACCTGGGTTCGAGTCCCCGGGTAGGACAACGGGTATTGTTTTTACTATAATTACTTTTACAATGGTTCATTTTTAGGATAATTAAGCAACCTAGGCTTCCTTGGTGGCCTCAGATTGAGCTGTTGTATCCCAGAGCGGCCGAATTAAGGGTGATGTTCACGGATACATTGAATAAAGCGACACAGGTAACATATATAAGTACCTATATAATGGAATATAATTTTTATTTTTATAGTAGGGAATATGCTATAGCTTTATATAATAGTAAAAAAAATTATCCAGCTCCAACAAACTAAAATTTAATATATTTTTTTTTTATATTATACCGCTTCGGATACTGTAAACGCTCGCCATTTCAATCGCTAATCGCCCTACGCACTTTAACCGCTCTACGCACCCGCCCTACGCACATGATGGCATAACGAACTTTAACCGCCCTATGCAGTTTGACCGCCCTACGCACCTTGCCTATGTCACTTTGCAGTAATAACTTTTTTGTTTTATTGAATTTTGTTCTCTGTTTACTTTTTTTTTAAATCTTCATTTTTTAAGCCAATGGGTATCTCATTGAAATTCGCAACTTTAATATTTTTTTTCTAAAGAAACTTTTCATGTTGTCGGGAAATTGCAATAGACATCCAGTTACACGTCTAGTTAGACATAATGTTCCAAAAAAAATTACATTTTCGCTATATCAATAAAATGGCATAAATTATACGTATTAAGGTAATCAATTTTCAATAAAATCATGAAAGTCAGAAAATCTTGAAAATCGTAAAATTTTTATTAAAATTTTTTTGGCTTTTCTCATAAGGCACGATCTCATCTCTCGACACTTTTCGTTTGGACATTTCATATTAACGGGACACCATGTATATTTGATTATTATTGGATATGACACAATTTTTATAATTTTAAAAACATATTTTTTACTATTGGCTTGAACAGATATAACACTTAAAAAAATCTAATTTTTATGGGCTTAATGAAAAGAAAATTATATTCAAAGTCCTGTGTATTGTTTATTTTATTCCACTTGCTTGCTTTATTTTAGGAAAATCATTATAGCTTTTTAAGATCTTTTTGTTGGAATTTTCGGTCAAGCGCGAGTTTGTCGCAAATATTAATTAAGAAACCAAATCATTATTATTATTATTGTTTTTATTTTTTTCTATATATAAATAATAATTTACATATTCTTATTAATGTTATTTTGGATATATTTTAGAATAAATTTCGATTACATAATAATAATAATTAATAATTTACATATTCCAGGGTTATATAGTTCACACTCCGTTAAGAATGATCTCACTTTCGCTCAAATCTAAGGAAGTTCAGTCTAAATTCAACAAGTCCGAGGAAATGCCAGTCTACAGACACCTCTTGCTGTTGCTTGTGAAACTTATACATGCCGACCCCATGGTTATGTTGAGTGTAAGTGATTTATATTGTATATATGTGCTGTGTAGATAAAGAATGGGATTAGAAATGGCGGCTCACTGCCAGTACCGTCAGCATCATAGACTCCAGGGAAAACTATGTTTTTTTGGCATAATTAATATTGTTTAGATGATATTATGTGAAGGAGTAATAGACATACATACACATACACACTATTAGGACGCTTCTAAATGAAATGAGGCTAAGTCGCTAGTGGGAAAAATGATCTTAAACCTGATATGTATTTTAATCTATAGTATAATTTTCTAATATATAAAATTCTCGCGTCAGTGTTTGTAACAAAACTCTTCTAAAATGCCTTGACATGATGACGATCCTCATGAAATTTTGTGTGTATGTTCAGTAGGTCTGAGAATAGGACGTAAACTATTTTTCATAAAGCGATAAGGGTGTTTCCACCTCAAAAAAAGTTGGACGAACCCAATACTAACAAAAAAAAGTAAGTTTACGATTCTACAAATTCTATCACTAATAGGAAGCTACATTGCCACCGAGTGTTATGGGTTGTATCTTATTCCGATAAAAACGTGCTCAGTGTCAGAAATCATAACAACTTTAATTGAAGTCGGTAAAAAGCATCTATGTATCTAAGGAACGCACCCAAAATTGAAATATTTTGCAAACAGAACCCAGGACGTTCCGGTGTAGAGATACAATCCTCCACAACAGAACTGATCAACGGGCTGGTGTCGCTCGTGCACAACACCGGCATGGGGGACATCGCGCAGGAGGCCATGGACGCGCTGCTGGCGCTGCACCGGCCCGACCGCGTGCACATGTGGAACCCAGAGGCGCCCTTGAACACCTTCTGGGATATCAGGTTTGTTATGTTATGCTCATCTATACTTGATATTATAAAGAGGAATTGAATTTGTTTGTTTATTTGTACCGAATAAGCTCTGAAACTACTGGACCGACTTAGATAAAATTTGGTATGAAGATAGTTTGGGAAAGACAGGATATTTTTTATCCCGGAAATCATCTCATGAAGGGACGAAAATGGGGATTGAAATTTGTATGGGGAATCAAGCTAGAGACGAACCCGAGGGAAGTGAGGGTGGATGGAAAGAGCATCTGTCTCGTCTCTCTTGGGCTTTTCTCAACTAAACTGTTTTCCGAGCCGGTGATAGCTTCCTGACAGATTGACTAAACTGACCTCTGACACTCTTTAAATAGAATTGACTATTCAAAAATGCTTATAATAAGTCTATTTCAATAAAGTTTAATTTCATTTCATTACAAAACATTAAGCACCCCTCAACACTTTCTGGGATACCAGATGGGAAATATTAAAGTGCTCGGTAAATCGATCTGGCAGGGTCCATATTCTGAGGCACTTCTTGAGACTTTTGGGAGTATAATGTGGAGAACATCACCGAAATACATTTTTTATTTATTTGTGAAATTTACGTTTTAAATGAACAGATTGAGTTTCTCGTAAGGATACCTTCAATCTACTAATCCATACAGTTTTTTGATGTAGACAGTAGAAGACGTAGACAGGGTTATCGTATAGGGCGTGCGGGGGAAGGCGCACCCGAATCTCATACTTACTTTTATATGATAGTCGGGAGACGGTTTTAAAGTTTATGTGTTTAATTATAACTCGATATACCACCATGGTTTAACTTCGAACCATTTCCCATGAAAATTGATAATATTTGCCTATCTGCCTATCTATGCACCCAGAAAGTGTTAAATATATAAAAATTGTTTAGCTTAGCTTAGCTTACCTTACCTTCTTATTAAGAAATGCATCTATAAACTCATGTATGTTTGTCTGTGCACAGCTCTCAAGTCCTCTACAACATCAGCCAAAAGCTAATACAACGGCAGATTGGGAATTACCGAGAAGTGTTAAGATGGCTACGTGATGTACTGACCTGCCGTAATGAGTTTTTGGTTAAACACAAGGAATACGCGAATGTAGGCTCTCACATACCTATATGTAAGCAGGCCCATATCAAGTTGGAGGTCAGTAGTGTTAAATAATTTCTTTTTTTCTTTGATTCATCCCGAATATTTGACGTTTTACTCGTATATGAAACGGATCTTGTTTGGTTTTTTTTTGGTAGATTTCGCGGTCTTTAATGTGGCTCGGCTTGCGAAGAAGGTTTTGAAATTTGGGGAACCGAAAATTTAAATATAGGATGTATTATTGTTTAAAGGTTTGTAAAAACTTGCAGAGTCCCCGATTTTGCCTATTGAAATATTGCATGCTGTATGATATTTACTCAAGTTAGATCTATGTACTAAAATCTAAATCCGTCCATCGTCTAACCCAAGTTCGCGATAAAGTGGTTGATTTAATTTAGTTTGAGAAAGTTAAATTAATATTTTGCATAAAAAACTTTCTCCACACAAAAAAAGATCGTCAATCCGTTACTCTGTTTCGACGTAAAAGAAGGACAGACAAACAAACAAACACACTTTCATATTTATAATATTGATAAGTATAGTATGGGTGTATGTATTTATATTTTGTATATCAGGTGGTGTTCTTCATGTGTCTCTGGTCGATAGACACAGAAGCAGTACTCGTAGCGATGTCGCGTAAGCTTCGTCGTCCCTGCGCCGACACTCCGCTCGAGTGTCTCGACGACCTGTTCCGCGCACTGTATGAGAGTGCCTAACAGCGGTGCACGTAGTGTCTGCGCTCTCACCTCACACGTGCTGCACCACGGTGAGATGATCTCCTGTCTATTTAATGGCTAATACTAATGAGATTGGCCCACAATCGCTTCGCTGGGGTCGTGCCTAGCTTGATTCCCCATACAAGCATTCATCCCCATTTTCATCCCCTTAAGATATGATTTCCGGTATAAAAAGTATCCTATGTCCTTCCCAGGGTCTCAAACTCATCTAAACCGGTTCTCTTACCAAATTTCATCTAAACCGGTTCAGAAGATCCAGAGCTTACAACACACACCCTACAACGTCACAAACTCACAAACTTTACCTCTTTGTAATATTAGTATAGATATATTAAAGAGGTTCACTTGTTTGTATGTAGGGGGTAATAACTGGAACTACCGGACAGATTACAAAAATTCTTCACTAATAGAAAGCTACACCATCCCTGACCTACCTATATTTTATATATTTATTTTGATTTAAAAAGTTTGCAGTTTTCAAAATCAAAGACGTGTAGACAATCAACGTCTGTCGCTGCCCAAGTTCTAGTAATAGTAGGTGGAAGCCGAAGAGGGGATTTCTGTAGTTACGTGACGCGGCAGATTAATATGACATTTTTTTACCCATTTTAATTTTTTCCACAAAACATGAGGCCCATATATAAGGCTCACGTGAATACAGGATCAATTTGAAAAAAAATTGACCACCAGAAATTCTCGAGCGCGTCAAAGATTAAGGTAGGGTGAGTTAATTACACCCTAAAAAGTGTATATTCCACTAATCTGACAATTTGAGAGTGACGTAAAAATGGAAGGGCAACAAATATTGTAAAAAAAACGTCATTTCGACATTCTCGAGCGTAGCTATTTTTTTTGTAATTTGAAGGAAAGCTAATGCAAGAATAATGAACGATATAACATACATTTCCGCAAGCCGAAATAACAAAAATTCGTCGATAAAGTTAAATGCGTGCGCTGCATTATGGCTACATTTCCTTCTCCGCGTTTGTAATTTTAGGTATACTCTTTCTCTATCTATAAATATTGCACTCCGTCCCCACTCTGGTTTCTGGCTGAACATCACAGCTGATTTATAAAGAGTCTAGGGGTGTGCGAACATCGTTCTAACCCGAAGTTCGAATAAAGTGGTTGATTCGAAATTTGAGAAATTTCGAAATTCGTAATATTTTGAATAATTCGTAAAGTTTTCGAATAATTCGCGAATTAATGAAATATCTCTGATCTTCATTGTATCCATTTACTTCAAATCGTGTGTCAAATAGTCTACGTAAAGAAAGGACAGACTTTCGTTTAAAAATAAAACAAACAGTGAAAACACACTTTCGCATTTTTATGATTTGATAAGTATAGTATGGGTCGAATGTATTCGAATTTTTCGAATTATCAGGGAACTTTCGAATAATTCCACTCTCTGGTCGATATTCACAGAGGCAGTTACTGCAGTTTGAAAATGTCGTGTTCTATGAAACTTCACAGACTTTCGAGCTGGGAGGCTCGCATAGACATTTCTTTGAACTGCTGCGAGCTCAAAAATCACTAAATTATATTTTGAGCTCAAAAATGCCATATGTACAATTTTAAGCGCACGGAATGTCTAAGTGCGTATAGGGCTTTAAGGTGAACGGTCTTCCAGATTTTTTTTTGTCAGATCAGGCGAATCCCTCCACCGTGCTGATTACGTGAGACATGATTTAATGTCTATTTAATATATTATATCTTAATCTAGCGCTTGAGTATTTCAAAATGGGTCGATTTTTTTTTTTGCACATTATGAAAATTCGTCCCATACAAGCATTCATCCCCATCGATCCCCTTAATATATGATTTCCGGTATAAAAGAGCTTTTTTTGGTGCACTTAACAGGGTCTCAGAAAATCTGACGCGCTTCTTACCAAATTTTTTTTTTTTTTCATTTTCTAACCTTCAGTAGATCCAGAGCTTACCCGCATCATGCAACGTCACAAACTCATACGTACATTTACCCTCCTTGTAGGCATATGCTATAGATATATTAAAGCGCTCGAGGATGTCTATGCAACAGTTTTTTTTTACATCACTGGAACTACCGGACAGATTACAAAAATTCTTCATTAATGGAAAGCTACACCATCCCTGACCTACCTATATTTTATATATTTATTTTGATTTAAATCTAAGATTTGCATCCCAATAGTCTCTACTATTCGAGCAAATCCCCATTTAGCTGCGTGGCTCCCAGTTGTTGCCTGTAATAAAAAATGTTTATAATTAGTATATAATAACTTTAGAGTGAACTTTAGAGCCTAAACCATGATTTAATGTAAAGCATTGGAAACGTTGGAAAGCAAAAATCTAAATAAATTTAGCGTTATTAAAATATCCATTTTTTATAATACTTTCTTAGATTTACGCGAATATTTGACATTTTTAATAAGACTATCTTTTCGGATTTTTTCGCGGATTTATTTTGATTTTTAGTTCCCGACGTTTCGAATGCTTTACAGCAATCATGGTCACTTTTGTCTCATCATGGTCAGTCTCTCCCGTGATTTTTTTTGTTATACCATCGACCACCACGGTGTGCTATAAAATTATATACCAATTGAATATACTCTTTTTGTGAAGTCGGTTAAAAGGAGTCTCTCATATAATTTTGTTAAATGTGTCTAATTAAATATAGGACTGTTTAAAATTATTTCATTTGTATGTAATAAGGTTTTCGCAATTCTCTCAAGCAGCTTGTCAGGACATGGTCAGGGGGTGTTTTTACAAAAACATACACAGTGAGTATACATTTTTTTTTATATTTTTTTCCTACACTATATATAGATTTTTTTAATGCAAAATATTAATTTTAATATTTTTGTTTGATCTTCCATTAAATTATCATTCAATTGTTCGGAGATTTTATTGAAATAGTAACAAACATGCATATACAAAATTTCACATTTATAATATTTATATTTATTATACAGATTATTATTATTATATATCCAGGTTCTGCAGCTCTTCAGAAGCGTATAATGGTGCTGCTGAGGAAGATAGAGCACTGCGTGAACGGCGTGCAGCCCGTGTGGGAGGAGACCTTCAGATGTTGGTCTGTAGTATTATTACGTTATCACGCTATTATGTGTGTGTGTGCGTGTGTGCGTGCGCGTGTGCCTGTGTGTGTGTTACTTTGTTGATTAACTTGAAGACATCATGAGGAAACCTGCATGTCTGAGAGAACCTAGCAAGTTTTCAAAAGACATGCTCAGTCACCCGTACTTGTCCAGCGTGGTAAGACTATGGCATGATCCCCCTCGTTCTGAAGAGAGGTCCAGCAGTAGGACGTTAAAAAGGTCTGAATATATACATAGAAATACTAATAATGATATCTCAACAGGGATTCAGTATGCAAGCTGCTACAGAAGTACCCGAAGGGTGTGGGTGGTGCTGATGATGTACAGGAGCCCTTGCACCGTGTGGCTGCTAAGAGGCGGGTTTCGCACCATGTTAGCAGCGAACACGATATAGAGGTACATAGAGTTTTACTGTACCTAGAATCACATTAACATGTCTGAGAAAGTATTATGTATATCCAGTGGCGTAGCAAATGTAACCAATACGGTCGCATGCAGCCATTGATTCAAGGGGGGCCCAGCGCATGGTGCCACAAACAATTCTTTTATTTCTAAACATTTATTCGAGGACGGCCTTTATAAAATTAAAAAAAAAAACGCAAGAAAAAAGTCAAACATTCAAGACAATTGACTTGTAATATAAAACGGTATAAAATATATTTTTTCCGAATAACAGATGCAAATACAAGAGTGGGCGAACATAACGTCGTTCCTGTGCGCCCTCGGCGGGGTGTGTCTGCAGAGGAGGCCCACGCCCGTGTGGTCGCAAATGCACAGTCACGGTAAGGTTTATGTATTTGTTATATACACTGAACAACTATTTTATATATGAATTTGGTATATAGGGTCATTTTTAATTTACTGAAAACCTTTTGGGGATATACTATCTACATCATAACAACAACATCTGTAACAAGAAAAAATAATATTTCTAAACTTTTTATTTCAATACAAAAATAAAAATATTTTACTGCACATTCTAAACGGCATCTGGTCAAGTTTAAATCTCCACCCCTTCCACTCCACCCCTTCTCCTCCACCGGCCACGCGCTTTCTTTTGCTAATGCTGGACTATTACCGTTTAGAAGGTGCAATAAAAATATTTTTATTTTTGTTAAATTTAAGATATATCTTTTTTTTCTTACAGATGTTGTTATGTTGTAAATAGTGTATTCCCAAAAGGTTTTCAGTAAATTAAAAATGACCCTGTATATGAATGGAAAATATTGATTTTATTTAAATATTATGTTATGTTCTAACATAAAGGAGATATTTCAAAGAAAAAAACTTCTTCTACGTTCGATTACGTAAATGCTTACACCTCAAATAATAGCGCTATGATGTTGTTTATTCTGATATCTTTACTCTGATACCAGATATAAAAAATTGATTTCCCACTTCGATAAAAGCGCTTGTAATTGGCAATTTTTTTTTAATTTTTTTATACATGTAATATGTTGTAATTATCTGTAACGTTACTTGAATATCCATACTTACATACTCATATTATAAATATGAAAGTTTGTGAGTATGGATGTTTGTTACTCTTACACGCCAGAACGGCTGAACGGATCTGGATGAAATTTGGCAGAGATAGATTATAGTCTGGAATAGTACATAGGGTTACTTTTTATCCCGGAAAAATGTATCGTTCCTGTGGAATAGATTTTTGTCTAAGCACGAACCCAAAGCAAAGCGAGGGTGAGTCTGTAGTAAATAAATATAAATAAAATGAGTTTAGCTCTGCATGCTTATTACATGTTTAAAATAAATGTGTTTTTTAAATAAATAAAAAATGTTTTTATTGAAGTTATACTTCTTTTGGCACGCTTGGAAAAAATTATGAGAGTACAATTTTTACGATGCGCGCGCACACCGACAGCCAAAAAGCGACATGATGAAGTTAGCTACATTCCTTTTACAAACAGAGAGTTGTGAAATACGGGATGAAATCTTTAGCTATTTATGTTTTGTTACGCCGAAGAAGTATAACTTCTTACGTGCGTACATAAGTACATACACGTTTTTTTTATATTTTATATTTTTAATCTAAATATCTATCTCATTTCAGATACTCGAAAGTATAATGTCCTCGCAAACAGTTCTCAAGAAGTGCAATACTGTCCCGTTACACAGTAAGTTTTATTTTCTAACATTGCTTATTTTGATGTCGTTCTAGTTTGTTTGATATCTAGTGTTAATTTTCACTGCTTTAGCTTACTTCAGAATATATTTTCACATATAAATATTTGCTCTAAATACGAATCTTATACTTTTTTGATATATAATAACGTAATCTGTAACTTTGACAAAAGATATAACTTTCAAACTTAACCTTTAACTAGTCGCGCCAAAATACTCGCATTCTTAGTCTCGCGGAGTCCATTGGACCCAAAGCACCTTCGTGTGGCACATGTAGTCAATGCCGCGTTTAGTGGAACACGAGGGTAAGTGAGCTATGAAGCGACTGGAGCGAACAGGCATGTAGATATAATATTTGCCGAAATATAATATAAACAATATCGTGTGGGGTCCATTGGACCGCGCGACTAATTAAGAGTTAAGGAGTTATGGTTGATTTTCGACCACAAGGCGATTACTTGTCTATACTAATGTTATAAAGAGGAAAGATTAGATTTTTTGTTTGTTTGTTTGTTTGTTTGTTTGTTTGTTTATATAAGGCATAGGCCGCATAGGCTCCGAAGCTACTGGACGATTTAGATGAAATTTGGTAACAAGATAGTTTGGGACCCTGGGAAGGATATAGGACAGTTTTTATCCCGGAAATCATCCCTTAAACTGGTGAAAATGGGGGTGTAAGTTTTTATATAAAATAGAAAATCAACCTAGGGACGAACCCGATCGAAGGTGAGTCGCTAGTACAAAATAAAGTATAAATTTTCTTTTATTTTTCATTAATTTTGTTTTTTTTAGATTCATCGGCCAGCTCCTAAGACTGTTGTTATACAGCCACGAAAGATTCGGCACTCAAATACAAAGTCACGTGAAGGAGTTGGTCGGGAACGAGATGTCGCCAGCGCTATATCCTATACTGTTCGATCAGATAAAGGCAATTGTTGATAAGTTCTTCGATCAACAACAGCAAGTAGGTACTTTATAATTAAGTAAGAAATATTGGGATGTTTTTAAATTCGATGTGTGTATGTATGTTTCCTATGGAGTTCAAAACAGCTGGAGCGATTTTGATGAAATTTTCAGGCTATCTTCAGATTAACTCAGCGGGTAATCCTGTGAAGTTTAGTAGCGATAAGGACCTCGAATGCAGGCGAAGCCGCGAGTACTGCTAGTCTATTTTTATTATATAAAACAATTTTGTATGATCTTTGATTTGTTGGATTTGTCTCTGTCCCGAATAGCAGAATAACTATTAAAACATCGGAAATAAATCACGAAAAAATGTTTTTAACCTATACGGCTAACGCTGGCTAATAACTATTTATATCTATTTAAAACGTACCTAACATAGGCCTCTAGTTTTAAATTAAACTATTTTTCCATTTCTTTTTGCGGCCGGTTTTATTATAATTGTCAAATAGTAAGTAAGTGTAACAAAGTGTAATGTTTCCAGGTAATGCTGACAGATATAAACACACAGTTCGTAGAACACACGATATTTATAATGAAAAGTATTCTAGATAACAAGAAAAGCGACCAACCGTGCGAGCACCTCAGTACCACCTCAATCGAGGGGCTAATGTTGGCTATAGTTAGGTTTGTATTAAAATTGTTCTATTCAATCTCAATACCATGTGTTCAGCCCTTTTTAACGTCCCATTGCTTGGGGCGAGCCTCCCTTCAGTACGAGGGGGATCAGGCCATAGTCCACCATACTGGGCAAGTGCGGGCGGACTGAGCATGTCTTTTGAAAACTTGCTAGGTTTCCTCACGTTTTTGTTCATCGTTAAGACAAGTGGTAATCAAGTTATAAATGATTCGCACATGAAAATATCAGAGATGTGAGAACCGGTAATCGAACTCGCTTCACTCGGTTTCCCAAGCGAGCGCATTACCAATGGGCTACCACTGCTTTAATCTCACCACCATACCTCCATTTAAACTAACAACTCATTTAAAAAAAAATATATTTCTCATTAAACTCCTGAATGAATAATTATGTCAATAGTCCAGTAACTGGGTAACGAAAGGTCAAGGTGAGTTCTAATTTGGCAGTGTATTACAGTTTGGTGTCCTAATTAATATTCCGAATCTGTGACCTTGAGCGACCATCGCCATATTAAAAAAAAATGGTACGTACCTAAATGCTGTTTTTTTTTGGGAATATCTTCTCTCCAGCGTCATTTAGGTCATTACAAAATAATGGTCATTACAAAATATTATTGAGCATGAAATTTCCTGCAATTTGCGTGGGAAACGTTTTTTTATCAGAGTTTTAGGTCTTACAGCAAAGGGAAGCCAAGGGCAGCAAATTTTTGCATTTCACAAAATCGCTACATTTTTTCTCAGAATTTCAGCAAAGATCAGATCAGGTCAGGTCAGGTCTTTTTGTGAAACCGAGTGAAGCAGTTTCAAATCCCTGATATTTTTATGTGCGAATCATTTCCAATATGATGACCACTTGTCTTACGATGAAGGAAAACATCTTGGTTGTGCGTACATGTCTGAGAGATAGCAATTTCTCCCAGATAGGTCCATGCCCACCAGTGGGATGTTAAAACAAGAGCTGCAAATATATAGATTGTTTTGTTTTGTGTTGAGAAAATAAAGTTATTATTATAATGTTAAAATAACAGGTACGTCCGCCATCTCGATATGACGGTGCTTTCTGTGCATATAAAGACAAAGCTGTGTCAAGTTGTGGACGCTATGATGAGGAGACGAGACGATCTGGCTTTTAGACAGGTATCTTATACTTTTCTTCTTTTTTTTACTAGATCGTTTGCTATAATTACAAAGAGATTTTGATATTGTAAGGTTTAACTGTATGATTAATTACTTTTAATTATTTATTCCGTATTCGAGCGTTTGGAAAACCATATTATGCGTTACCATGGTAACAAACAACCAGGACATTTAATGAAACAGAACTTATACAGATATCTAAACTCATACATACACTAATACGAAAATATTGTTTAGAAAAAGTACAAAATATATGCTCTTGCGCTCTTATTAAGACGTATTGTTTTTTGTTTTATACAGGAAATGAAATTCCGAAACAAAATGGTGGAATATGTGACCGATTGGGTGTTGGGGACTTCCCATCAGATAGCGCCGCCGCTGCGGGCCGACGCCTCCTCTATCACCAGGTAGTGTAACACCATGCTGAGGTTTGTTTGTGTTTGTGTGTGCGTGTATGTAAGTGCGTGCGTGTGTATAAGCACGTGCATGTGTGCGTGTGTGCGTTTTAAAAATAAATACATATATATGGATTAAAAAATATTCGAGGGGAACGCGGGCTAAAATTACTGTACAAATAATGTTACGCACTAACGTGATTTGGTTATCGTATACTTGCGAATATCATTAACAACAACGTTTTTATTGAAATTATTATATAATAATATTGTTCATAGTTATGATAGATTAGGAGTTCAATCCTGAAATGCAAAATGTTTGTAGGGATCAAATGTGTCTCTGGTTCTAGTTGAGATTAATCTATACTAATATTATAAAGAGATAAAGTTTGTGAGTTTGTGACGTTGTACGGGGTAATCTCTGGATCTATTGAACCGATTTAGATGAAATGGTGAGAAGATAGTTTGAGACCCTGGGAAGTACATAGGATTATCCCGGAAATCGTCCCTTAAGGGGGTGAAAATAGGGATGAAAGTTTGCATCGAGAAGCAAGCTAGGGACGAACCCGAGCGAAGCGAGGGTGAATCGCTAGTAATATAATAAATACGACAAAAATAGCGTGTAACTTCTAAGTGGCTGCTACATCCTTCGGAGCTTATGGAACAAATAGCCATAATACTCTTTTAGATGTGAATATTTGAAATTTTAAATATAACTACTTCGGATCTTTTTGCGGATTTGTTTTGTTTTTCGGTCCCGACGTATCGAAAAATTTACAGCAATCATGGTCGCGGGAGAGACTTAAGGTTTTGAATGTCTAAAAGGTCCATTATATAGTTGTTACAAACCAACAATGTGGAAGAAAAGAAAAGAGATAAATATGACAAATAGTGATACAAACCGAGCATACGTCAACATTGGGATAGGTGTTATGTGTCCAGGGAGCTGGACCAGGCCTGCATGGAGGCGGTGGCGGCGCTGCTGAAGGGCCTGCCGCTGCAGCCCGAGGAGTCCGACCGCGGGGATCTCATGGAGGCCAAGAGTCAGCTGTTCTTGAAGTGAGTTCTCACTCTTTTTCTCTATATCTTTAGTGTTTTTTGCATCCATCAAAAAAGTACTAGATACACAATCAGTGACAAAAAATGTACTCGCCGAATTAGCGCCCATTTGAACATTTGAGCGCGCACTTTTATTTCTTTTTTCTTTTTTGTGAAAACAACTTTAAGTGTTGCATTTAAGGTTCAATTTTCATTGTTGTTTGTATACTTAATTCAAAAGTTCTCTTAAAACTGTCATCAATCGTGTTTAGGTAATTATTCTAGTTGATATAAATATACAACAATGTAAATTGAACCTTAAATGCAATGCTTAAAGTTGTTTTAACAATTTCAAATGAGCACTTATTTTAATGAGGACATTTATTGTCGCTGATTGTGTATCTAGTACTTTTGATCGATGGTGATAAGCTACAATTTTCTCTCTTTCAATTTGAGGATTTAGTGATGTTAGCAAAAGACGTCTATCTCTTTTAATATTTTTAATACATTCATAAATTAATATCTAACTTTGAACCAAATACTTTTATTTATACAGATATTTCACGCTGTTTATGAATCTTCTGAACGATTGTAATGAAGTGGAAATATCAGAGGGTCCCGGTCGTTTGGAGACGTTGAGAAATGCGACCATTCAGGCCATGTCTAACTTGCTCTCTGCTAACATTGATTCAGGGCTCATGCATAGTATCGGTAAGTATTATTACACATTATAAAAAAAACAAAACTATCCCACGGGAACTTTACATTTTCCGGGATAAAAAGTAGTCTATGTGTTATTCTGATGTATGTATGATGTATCTATTATTGTAAAGTTTCATCAAAATCCATTTAGTAGTTTTTGCGTGAAAGAGTAACAAACATACATCCATACATACATTCTTACACACTTTCGAGTTTATAATATTAGTAGGATATAAATATGAGAGTTTTTTTCAAATCTCTTTTGTTCTTTGCTTTTCGGATGAAAAGTAAACGAATGTTGTTTCGTTTAAAAACGTACTTTATGTGGTGTGCGTAAGTTCGAATTTGTGTTTAGACAATTAGAATTTTCGATTTTTGAATTTCATTCTTTGGTTTGATGTAACGTCACATGTCGACGCCACTTTTTGAAGAGGTATTTGTTAGGCAATATGTATGTTTTTGTATATCAAAACAGGATAGTTTTGGCTTAAACAATAAATTCTTGGTGACTGACGTCGGTCGCACACACGAAATAACTATTCCATTATCGAAATTTACCTTTTTTGAAGTTATACTTCTTTTGGGACGTTTATAAAAATTATGAGGGTAAAATTTTTACGATGCGCGCGCACACCGACAGCCAAAAAGCGACACGATGAAGTTAGCTGCATTCCTTTTACAAACAGAGAGTTGTGACATACGGGATGAAATCTTTAGCTATTATTGTTCTGTTACGCCAAAGAAGTTAACTTCTTACGTGCATACATAAGTACACACACACGTTTTTCTTAAACCGGTTCTGAGCCCTGCTGATGATAACCCAAGAACATGATATAAGCCATTTAATTACACTGTTTATAATTTTAATCAGATTTGGGCTATCACCGAGATCTCCAAACGCGTGCAGCCTTCATGGAAGTATTGACGAAGATACTGCAGCAGGGTACGGAGTTCGATACCCTGGCGGAGACAGTTCTGGCTGATCGCTTTGAACAACTCGTTCAACTCGTTACCATGATATCTGATAAGGTATTTATAGTATTTATTTATTCATGTTTATTGTTCCGTCCATCCGTAACCCCTATAAAACTATTATTCAGTCTTATTTACCGTTATTAAAAAAAATACACATTACAACTATTTTACCTCCAAGTTGGTGAAAGTGAAGTGTAAATTAGAAAAAAATCTACTATTTAATTACTATATGTATACAGAAAAATAACGTTATTTCAATAATAAGCCATTCACGCTTTTAAAAGCCTATCTGTGTAGTAAATTTTAGTCACACACGCACATGCGCATACGCACGCACACTGAACACCCGCACGCATGCAAATACACGCACTCACACACACACATGCACGCACACACGCACACACATGCACGCACGCACACACACATGCACGCACACACACACACACATACACACACACACACGCAAACACGCACACACATACAAACTTTCGCATTTATATTATAAATGTGATTATTAAGAAGCTCTCACGATTACTATCTGTAACAAATATATATGTAATGGCCTTTGAGACGTCTAAAACTATAGTCTCTCTTGCAATCATTATTGCTGTAAAGCATTCGAAACGAATTAACCAAAAATGTAAATAAGTCCGTGAAAAAATCTAAAAAGATAGTTTTATTTAAAACTAGCTCAGCCTCGCCTCGCTCGGGTGCGTCCCTAAGTACGTTTTAGTTTTTTTAAGCGGAACCCCAATTCTTTTTCTAAAATGAAAGTAGCCTATGTTACTCCCTATAACATAAGCTATCTTCCAATGCAAGTCCCGTCAAAATCGGTGCAGCCGTTTCAGAGACTATCCGGAACAAATAAACAGACAGACAGACAAAAATTTAAAAAAATGTGTTATATATACTGTATATAATTTAAAGTATATTATAAGTACTGTATATAACTTTATATGCATTAAGTAAAACGCTATTATTTTGACATTACAAGCAGACACTTTAATTTTATTTATCTGTATACTAGATGTCAAATATTCGCGTAAATCTGAGAAAATGTTAAGTTTTAACGATATGAGACATGTTTGTCTTATAATGGTGTAACATTTATAGGGGGAGTTGCCAATAGCCATGGCGCTGGCGAGCGTGGTGGGGTCCGCACAGATGGACGAGCTCGCGCGTGTGCTGGTCTCTCTGTTTGATGCCAAGCATTTGCTGGCGCCGTTGCTGTGGAACATCTTCTATAGGGAGGTCGAAGTTTGTGCGGTGAGTTGCCTTATAATATTTATAATTAAATCCTTTTTAACGGCCCACTGCTGGGAGTGGGCCTCCCTCATTGCGAGGGATCAGGCCATAGCCAACCAAATTAAACAATCGTTTTTTTTTAAATTTGCTAGATTCTCTCAGACATGCAGGCTCCTTACGATGTTTTCTTATCACCATGTGGTTAATATTTGTCTAATTAAAAAAAAAAAGTTCTTTTAAACATAGTTTATTGAGTGCTTTGAAGGGGAACATTTTTTTTATAGGAACTTGATATGGGGCCATGTCTGATGTAAATAGATGTACAATTTATTAGTTGCTGTAGTAAAAGGCCAGCGTGACACCTTTGGCGGTAGATTAACGAATTTTATTTCATCATTAAAATTGAACTATTTTTTTTTTAATATACAATCGTTATGGTCTTAATCGTATTTTTTTAATATAATCAATCTAATGTAATAATCGTAATTAATTAAATTTAATTTTATATACGAGATGTGTATTGATAAGTTTGTAATTGTTATTTTAGTAGTAAAGGATTCAAGTATCATGACCAAAAAATACTTATTTTACGTCTATGAAGTCATGTTTGTGTATGTATTTATTTTTAAACTGACCTCGGTGGTCTAGTGGGTAGCATACGGCTGAAGATCCGGTGGTCCAATGTGATAACCAGCTAACACCATACCAAATTTCCTTAAAATCCCTCCAGTGGTTTTTGTGTGATGCGTTAACAGACAGATAGGCAGACAGAGAAAAATTCTAAAAACCATAGATTCGGAATCTGTATCGTAAATAAATAATAATTTTTATTTTAATAAGATTGTCCAAAAAAATATCTAATGTACAGGTTCGGCTTAGTTACAATTTTATTATATTATGTATAGATAATAAAAAAACTCTTTTATTTCCAGGTATCAGATTGCATGCAAACATTATTCCGAGGCAACTCGTTAGGCAGCAAAATAATGGCGTTCTGTTTCAAAATATACGGATATGGATATCTCCAGGGTCTGTTAGAGCCTTTGATCAGTGCCCTACTAGATCAGGCCGAGACTAATCCTAATTTAAGCTTTGAAGTAGACCCTGCTAGGTGAGACATATACATATAATATTAGATGCACATACATACAATTTAAACTCGTCGTCTTACAGTTGAGAGAACCAACTCTAGAAGAATATTTGAATAGAAGAATAGTTAATTTCAAAATTTTCTCTAGAAGAATAAACTGAAGAATATTTTTGATATTTTTGAAATATTCTTCAGTGGATTCTTAATATTTTTTAACTCTGTAATATAGGATTATAATATAGATAGATATAGGTTTGTGTTTCAAGGTTAAACATAAAGTGGGAATGTTTTAATACACGATCATCGGATCTTCTTCGAACTGTAGATATATACATATTTGATTGGACTCTGTATATGTGTAATATGTGTTGTACACAGACTGGACCCGAGCCAGGACATAATGATAAACCGCAACAACCTGCGCGACCTCACGCGCGAGGTGTTCGAGCGCATCGTGCACTCCGCCGACCGCTTCCCCTCGCAGCTGCGCAGCATGTGCCACTGTCTCTACCAGGTGCGGGGACACACACACACACACACACACACACACACACACACACACACACACACACACACACACACACACACCCACAGATACATATAATATGTACATACAACATACATGTATATTGTATATACACACATTATGGTTTTTAGTTTTGAGTTTCGTGACTTGTGGTCAATCAATTAAACTTGTTTATAAAAATTATTTTTTTAGTTTTTTTTTGATATCGCAAATGTCGAAAGTGTTACACACTGTGTCTACTCATAAAAGAATTGTGACAATCGTTACAATTTAAAGATGCGAAAAAAATAATCTATTTAAAATGTCAAATATGAGCGGAAATGTATGAAAGTTTATTTTCTTATATTTATTTTGAAGCGAATATTTACCATTTTAAATAAAACTTATCTTTTCGAATTAATTTTGATTTTTGTTTCCCGACGTTTCGAATGCTTTACAGCAATCGTGGTCGCGGGATAGACTAAGGTTTTAAACGTTTCAAAAGTTAATATAGTTATTCCAGACAGTACCATGAAAGTTTTGCAATTATATTTATATAAATAAATGATAAATGGTTTTTAATTATGTATTTTTTTAGGTGCTCAGCAAAAGGTTTGTCCAGTTCCCTCAGACGAGCGTGGGGGCGGTCGGCACCGTTTTGTTCTTGCGTTACATCAATCCCGCTATAGGTGAGTGCTATTTATTATGTCGATAAACAAATATAAAAGGCAATGAAAAATATAGTATTGAAAGACATAGTTAATTTTTATCAGTCAGTTTTCTTTGAAAATCTTAATATTTCTATAAAAATATTAATATAGGTACAAAAAAGGCTGTGTGAGTCGCAATTATTATCTTATTAGTCCGTATATATATATATATATATATATATATATATATATATATATATATATATATATAAATATTATAAATGTGAAAGTTTGTATCTGTGGATGTTTGTTACTCTTTTACGCCAGAACGGCTGAACGGATCTGGATGAAATTTAGCAAAGAGATAGATTATAGACTGGAATAATACATAGGCTACTTTTTATCTCGGAAAAATGTACGGTTCCCGTGTTTTTCTGCTAGTAATAAATCGGTCACAAGAAAGGTAACCAATACTAGACTATATGTTACTCCCGGTTAAAGTATCTACGTACAAAATTTGAAACAAATCCGTCTAGTTGCTATAGCGTAAAGGAGCAACAAACATACACACACAGAAACTTGTGCATTATATACACAGCGAGTCCGATTATTTAGTTCCGACAAAATATATATCTTTTTTAAAACAACAATTTAGAGTACTGTCTTTTGAAACGAAGTAGGGTTTTTTCTATAATACATTATACGATTATAAATAAATAAATAAATATGTTGGGACATTAACACGCAGCACCATCTAGTTTCATGGTAAGCTACAAATCTTATGTTATGGATACCAGATAGTTGATACATATATAACTTTAAATACATACATATTATAAATATAAACATAAGTGCTCATCACACAAATGAATGCCCCCAGCGGGACTCGAATCCGCGACCGCTGGCACAGCAAGTAGGATCACTACAAACTGAGCCAAACGTGTCGTCTACTATATGTACCTATTTCCCCCAGTGTCCCCACAAGAGATGGGTATAGTGAGTCGGCCCATCCCTCCCCACATCAAGCGCGGGTTGATGCTAATGTCCAAGATATTGCAGAACATCGCTAATCACGTCGAGTTCTCGAAGGAACAACACATGTTGCCCTTCAATGATTTCCTCAGGGAGCACTTTGAAGCTGGGAGAAAGTAAGTCAGGCTATATTATTATTTTTATAATTTTTAAATGAAAATATTTTTTTCCTCTTATTTTGCGTTATTATTTTGATTTAAAAAATTAACATAAAATCTATATCTGAAAAAAAATGTTTTATTTTTTATGACAAATTTTTGTTTGAATATAAGAATCTATTAATTTATAATGTAATGAACAAATATACAAAAAGTACAATCGATGCAGGCTCTTTGTAGAGATTGAGCGTTTAAAAAAAAAAAACGTGAACCTTTTCCAGAACCTCGTTATTTCCAATATCAATAAAAAAAAAACACTCGTCCATGTGTTCAGGTTCTTCATAGAAATAGCATCGGACTGCGAGACGGTGGACCAGACTTCCCACAACCTGTCCTTCATCAGCGACGCCAACGTGCTGGCGCTGCACCGCCTGCTGTGGAACCACCAGGAGAAGATCGGTGACTACCTCTCCTGCAGCCGCGACCACAAGGCCGTGGGCCGACGACCATTCGATAAGGTATCACTTTGTCTGTTTGTTTGTGATAATGTCTAACGAAATATATGGCATTTTTGAAGTCTCACTTCTTTTGGTATAACTTACCCATCTCTTGTGGGGACACTGGGGGAAAGAGGTACATATTTGTATAACGTATTATAAAAAAAACAACTTCTTTCGATAGACAAGTCCCTAAATTGTTGTTTTCAAAAAAAATAATATTTTGTAATAACTAATTAATCGAACTCACTATGTATATAATGCGTAAGTTTCTGTGTGTGTATGTTTGTTGTTCCTTCACGCTACGTTTGGAAAAAATTATGAGAGTAAAATTTTACGATGCGCGCGCACACCGACAGCCAAAAAGTGACGTGAGGAAGTTAACTACATTCCTTTTACAAACTGTCAGTTGTGGACGGAATACGGTACGGGATGAAATCTTTAGCTATTTTTGTACATAGTACACACACACGCACGTTTTTTTGATGTGATTCTATTGGTGGGCCTTTCAGTAAAACTGAGTCGTATGGTGTGACGGCAAACGTATAACGCTCTCGACTCCCTTGTAAAACAGTATCTATTAAAGATACTTACATATTTTCTATTCTATTTATGAATATATATTCTGTTTTATTAAAATATTAAAGAAACTCAGTTAAACTCGCATACATTTTTAAGGAAGGTATTAATATATTTTTTGTAGAAAAAACAAAAAAAAATAACGTTCTGATAACATTAACTAATATATATTTTAATAATAATAATTATTTTTTTACAGATGGCAACACTGCTCGCGTATTTGGGACCGCCAGAGCACAAACCAGTCGAATCGTAAGTTTAGTTATTTGTAGTTTATTGTAGTAATCATTTACTTTATACATTTCATGTTGGAAATTATTCGTACATGAAAATATCTGAGGTGTGAGACCCGGGATTTGAACCCGCATCACTCGGTTTCCCAAGCGAGCGCGTTACCACTGGGCTACCACTGCCTTTTGCTTTAATTTAATAATGTGATTTTTTTTAGTTTTGAGACAATGAGAAGTTGATTCTTTTAATATAATATTATAATGTACTTAAATATATGTTAATTAAATAAGAAACTAAATCATATTATTGTGAAACCGAGTGAAGCGGGTTCAAATCCCGGGTCTCACAAATCTGATATTCTCTTATGAAAGTCATTTCCAACATGATTAGCAATTGTTTTCGGTGAAGGGAAACATCATGAGGAAACTTGTATGTTTGAGAAAACCTAGCAAGTTTTCAAAAGACATGCTCAGTCCGCCCGCACTCGGCTAGCGTGGTGGACTATATAGCCTGATCTCCCTTATATCAATCGAAAGTCCACCCCCAGCAGTGGGACATTAAAAAAAGGCTGAATACCTACCATAAATCATATTAGCAATGCTTAATAAGCTAAAATCTAACAAGATAATTTATTTTTCTATAAAATAACATATTGCTCTAGTACATCCGGTCTTCTCTTCTCGTCGTACGCACGCTGGTCTTCAATAGACATGTCTTCCACGAATTTCGAAGAGTTCATAGTGAAGCACAATATGCATCAAAAGGAAGAATTCAAGAGCATCAAAAGCCTCAATATCTTCTATCAAGCGGGCACCAGCAAAATTGGGAATCCGGTGTTCTATTTTATTTCCAGAAGATATAAGTGAGTGGAAATTATTATGGATTTTTTTGTTAGTTGTTTTCTTTAGTCTATTGTTTTTAAACGAAAACGTACAAATAGTTAAGAAATCTTTTATTTTTATTTCATTATTTATAATACTAGCGATTCACCCTCGCTTTGGGTTCGTCCCTGGACAAAACAAATCTATCCCACGGGAACCGTAAATTTTTTGTGGATGATATATAGCCTATAGACTTCGATAAACGGGCTAGCTGATGCAAAGAGATTTTTTTAAATCGGACTAATAGTTCCTGAGATTAGCGCGTTCAAACAAACAAACAAACAAACAAACAAACAAACAAACAAACAAACAAACAAACAAACTCTGCCTCTTTATAATATTAGCATAGACAAGATAGCTCTATTTCGAATTTCCCTATAGAAATTATGTAATATGTTCGTTGGTCATATGTCTTAGTTATTTTCGTTAGTCTATTCTTTTTACTTACCTACCTATACTTTTTATTTATTTATCTACCTAATTGATAGTTAAACAGAAATTACAAATGAAGTAATAAAATATTTAAGTAGACTTTTGCAATGTTTTTTTTATAATTTACTTTAAAAAGCGTTAGTGTAGTCAATTTTTGAAGAAACAACCACCGGTTTAGAAAGCAGTTATGCTGAGAAGAGCCCAAAAAACTCAACAGCTGCTCTTTTAAATATCGAGTTATGTTTATTTATGTTATTAACATAACATTATAGATATCCCTTATATAAGTCAATTTATCTTTCACACATTTTCATCGACGAGAAACTCTTGAATAGAGTAATATGCTTTATTTAGTGGTATATTTTAATTTTTGCTTTTTTTTTGAAATGGATACTTATGGCATTTAATAGACATGTAGTAACAATATTTTTTCATGGTAAAAAATCCTATAGCTAGTTTTTGTCCACGGCTCAAGTAGGTCTTTAGTTAAGTCGATAGAATCAGATTATGTCTTATATAGCCAGAATATAAGAAATGTATATTTAAAATTTTACTCAAATTCATTAAATAATACAGAAGTAACGAACATACACTCAATAAAACTTTCGAATTTAATATAATCAAATTGTAAATTCTGTATTGTTTGTCAGTCTCTAACAGCAACAATGTCTCAAGCCTGAGAACTTCAGAAATGTGATTGATATCAAAAAAATCATTAATCAACACACCTCTTTCTCAGTAAAAGTGACAAGACAGACGTATTATAAATATTCTATTTTATAATATTATTTTTATTTTGCCCACAGGATAGGTGAAGTTAACGCAGACCTATTAATTTACCACGTGATATTGACACTCAAGCCCTTCTGCCAACAACCCTTCGAACTGATCGTTGATTTCACTCACACGAACTCCGATAACCGATTCAGGTATAGTAATGAAATACATACATATATACTATACCAGCGGATCTGACAGACGTTTTCCTGCCCGAATATATTCTTTACAAAAATCCTAGAACCCGATTGCACACACAAGTTGTCGTGGACTTTTCTGTAGGCCATGTTAAGATCTACAATTTTTTAGTACATTATTTTGATGTACATACTCGTATGTACCTATAAACATTTAGCCAGCGTTAGCCATGTAATCTTACAAAAGCAGTTTTTTTTGTCAGAACACCGTCTAGATTCAGTCGATTTGTACAATATATTTACCAATTCGAGGCAGTGGTAGCCCTGTGGTAACGCGCTTGCTTGGGGAACCGAGTGAAGCGGGTTCAAATCCCAGGTCTCGCACCTCTGATATTTTCATGTGTGAATCATTTCCAACATGATTACCACTTGCCTTACGGTGGAGGAAAACATCGTGAGGAAACCTGCATCTGAGAGAACCTAGCAAGTTTTTGAAAGACATGTGAAGTCCGCCAACCCGCACTTGGCCAGCGTGGTGGACTGTGCCCTGATCCCCCTCATATTGAAGAGAGGCCCACTCCCAGCAGTGGGACTTTAAAAAGGGCTGAATACGTTTACTAATTGTATACACAAACCTTTCTTTATCGCTCTTTCTATTAGTGAAAACCTATAAAAAATCGTTACATTGTTTAGAGGAAGTAAGCGGAAAAACAGACAGATGCGGACATTTCTATTACATATATTCGAGCAATATCATTACACATATTTATTACAGTTTGTCAATACTAACACCTTAAAAGGTTGCCTATAAGAGATCGCTGTTCTAGCGATAAGGCCGCCTCTTATACATAGCTTTTTATATATTTTTCTTGTATATTTTTATATTTTTTTCTTTTGTGGGGGTACACTGAAGAGTAATTATAGTCTTATTATTATTATTTTTAAAGAAATTTCTCTTCTCTTCTTTCTTTCAAAAGAAGGTATTACTCTATCACATGGGCCTTAACCAAGTGTGATAGAATTAAAAATTAGTGTGACTGAAGTACCAGAAATTATTATTATTATTATTATACTCGATCTATCCCCAGAACGGATTTCCTTCAGAAATGGTTCAGCGTGTTGCCTGAGGTGGCGTACACCAGCGCGGTCGCCTGCTACATATACAACTGCAACAGCTGGGTGCGAGAGTACACCAAGTTCCACGAGGCCATACTCGCGCCTCTGAGGGTCTGTATCTACCTACATCTATACTAATATTATAAAGAGGTAAAGTTTGTGAGTTTGTAGGGGATAATCTCTGGATCTACTGAACCGATTTAGATGAAATTTGGTAAGAAGATAGCTTGTGACCCTGGGTAGGACGTAGGATACTTTTTATCCCGGAAATCATACCTTAGGAGGTGAAAATGAGGATGAAAGTTTGTATGGGGAATCAAGCTAGTGACGAACCCGAACGAAGCGAGGGTGAGTCGCTGTCATGAGATCCTAGGTTTGAGTCCCGAAAGAGGTTGAAGTAGTTACGATTTTTCTGTCAAGAAATATTAAGTGTTGAACTGTCGTCCCAAAGAACTTTGAAAGTGTGTAGTATAAAAAGTATACATTGCCTTTGCGCGCATTAAAATATCTCCTGCGCAATTGGCTAATCCCAAAAGATATCTCTTCATCTCAATAACTATACTGGGCCCGACTTCAAATCGAACCCAGACCCTCCAGATACGCAGCCGTGCAAACTCTCCACTACACCCACGAGGAATCAAACTGAGAAGGTACTAACTACTACTGCTTTTTGTAGTGAATACTTGTATAGGAAGGTTTGTTTGGATGGGGAGTAAATTCATGTAAGTCGTCATCGACATGGTCACGTGACGTGTTAACGCTAACAAAGCTTAACTTAAGATCAAACAATTAATTTGAATATCCAAAAATAACAACTGTTTGTTTATAGTTTTAAGTTTTCACCTGTGTCGGTAGTACTCTTGATTGTTTTTTTTTTCTTTACCAGGGCAACCGAAAGCTCATATTCATTGATAACCACAGTCGTCTCAGCGATTATGTGGAGCCTGAACAGCAAAAACTCCCTGGAGCAACCCTTGCCCTGGAAGAAGATCTCAAAGTGTTCAATAATGCTTTGAAATTGTCCCATAAAGACACGAAAGTTGCTATTAAGGTTTGTAGGGTTATGATGGGTTGTTTGAGGTTTTTTTTTTGTTTTGTTTATTTATTGATTTTTTTATTATACCAAAAAAAATTTTATTAAAGCTACATGATGTCTGGACGTATAGTATGGTTGGTTTTTAGTATTTTGTTTCACATATAACCTTTTTTTTTCTTCATCCTCGTAACAATTACTTGTATTGCCATCCGGATTTCGTTAAGTTTCATATAGCTATATGTGTATAGAAGAAATCTCTTCTTGGTATACATAAGTACGCTTTTGCGTTTGATTTTTGATAAAGGTTCAAGATTTGATCATTTATCTTATAGGTTGTATCAAGATACTTAGTTTTAGTGATACAAATAAAGATGTGTCAATACACAGACATTCCTTGTTCTTTCTTTGTTCATGAATACACGTAATCCATACTAATATTATAAATGTGAAAGTGTGTTTGTTTGTTTGTCTATCTTTCACGTCGAAATGGATTGACGGATTGGCGTAATTTTTGGGGTGGAGATAATAGATAAAAGGGTAAAATAGGGGATGAAAGTTTGTATAAAACTAGCTTCTTAGAAATTTTGTAGTTTTAGCGCGAGCGAAGCCGCGGGTTCTGCTAGTTATTAATATATATTGAACATACATATACTTGTAATTTTTAAATAAATTTTTATTTTTGGCGCATATAAATTATTATTAATTTGTAATTTATTAATAGTACAACAACTATTTGATGTCGTGATTCTCGCTCAAAGGTAGGACCGACGGCTCTACAAATAACGTCAGTGGAGAAAACCAAAGTGTTAGGTCTACCGGTGTTGTTGAACGACGTGTACTACGCCTCGGAGATAGATGAGGTTAGTGTGATTTACGAGTGGCTATTTAATTGTGTGAAATAGTAACTAAGCCGAATCTGAACATTAAATATTTTTTGGAAAATCTTATTGAAATAGACATTATTATCGATATAGAGGCCGAATCTATAGTTTTTAGAATTTTTGTCTGTCTGACTGTTACCGCATCACGGAAAAACCACAGGAGGGATTTTCATGAGATTTGGTATGTTGATAGCTGATTGTCCGGGTCAACATATAGGATACTTTTTACGGCGGGAAAATATTTCATTTCTGAGAAAAAATACAAAAACTGTATTGTAAAAGTATACTAATATGTAAAACCTAAGAATTTGGTTTTTGGTCATCTGAATGCGGGCGGAGCCGCGGACAGTGATAGTTAAATATATATTTACCTATTGTTCGTAAGAAGTTATACTTCTTTAGCGTAACAGAACAAAATACTTAAAGGTTTTATCCCGTATGTCATAACTATCTGTTTGTAAAAGAAATGCAGTTAACTTCATCATGTCGCTTTTTGGCTGTCGGTGTACGCGCGTATCATAAAAATTTTACTCTCATATTTTTTTTCCAAACGGAACGTTTGAAGATAAAAAAGATAAGAAAGAAGTGTAACTTTAAAAATATTACAGTACAATTTTAATTAAAAAATTAATTAAAATTCATTTATCTCATGTTTTTTTTTCTGACGGGTAACTCATCTTCGTGTATTGCTATATGTATTACGAATAGAAAAAAACAGTAATTGGCTTTATATTAGTACACATTGTTCTTACATTAATTTATCTCATGTGATGTTGTTGTTTTCTCAATAAATAAATAAATTAATATTCTATTTCTAGGTGTGCCTGGTGGATGATAACCAGTTCTCACTCTCTATTATCAACGAGGCAACACCTCTCAGTTTCATACACAACGACTGTGATAACATCGTGCAGTCCATTATACATATACGGAATAGATGGGAGCTGAGTCAGCCGGTACGTAGCCGTTATCATTGTATCCGTATACAGTTCTGGTTTTATCCGTATCTCGATTTGTGTTTATCCGTAACCGCGTTATGATTATATCCGTACTAGTTTTATGATTATATTACACAAACAGACTAGAGTTGTGGGCAACACTAGTTTTAACATAGTTTCTTTTATAGTAAATGGGTTGTTTGAATAACTTAATAGTATTGTTAAATAAACATGTTGAGTTAGCCTTTAATTGGTATATACTCGTACATACGAATTGACTTAAGATATTTTGTACATTCTGTCTTCCTAATTAAGTAAATAAATGAATGAATGGATAAATAAATGAATGGAGGAATCTATGCAGATAAATAAAATTGAAATGTTTGTATGTAATATCAAAATAATAGCGTATGAAATTATATACGGTACTTATAAGAAAAACACATTTTTTTAAATTTTTGTATGTTTGTGTCTGTCTGTTTGTTCCGAATAATCTCTGAAATGGCTGGTCTGATTTTAATGGGCCTTTCACTGGAAGATAGCTGATGTTATAGGGAGTAACTTAAGCTACTTTTATTTTAAAAAAGAATTAGGATTCCGCTCAAAAAAATTAAAACGTACCTAGAGATGGATCCGAGCGAAGCGAGGGTTAGTCGCTATTAAATAAATACCCCCAAAAGGACTCGGTGACGGTGCACCAGACTATCCATATTCTTTTTTACTATTTAACTGAATGAATAAATGAATGGTCGAATAAATAAATAAGTCCAACCTCCCCCAGGACTCGGTGACGGTGCACCAGAAGATCCGTCCCAAGGACGTGCCCGGCACGCTGCTCAACATGGCGCTGCTCAACCTGGGCTCGTGCGACCCCACGCTGCGCACCGCCGCCTACAACCAGCTGTGCGCGCTCACCGCCACCTTCCACCTCAAGATAGAGGGCCAGCTGCTCGAGACCTCGGGTACGGGCGGGAGAGTGGTGTATTGACGACACGTCTGGCTCGGTTCGTAGTGACCCTACTTGCTGTGCCAGCGGTCGAAGGTTCGAGTCACGTTGAGGGCATTCGTTTGTGTGATGAGCACGAATGTTTGTACTCCAGTCATGGGTATATATATATATATATATATATATATATATATATATTTTATATATATATATGTTAAGATTTAAAGTTATATAATGTGTAGTGTATCAACTGTCTGGTATCCATAGCACAAGCCTCGTAGCTTACCATGGAACTAGATGGACAGCCGGAGGCCTAAAAAAACCAAAGTCTTTACATAATACTTATTATTAAAATTACTTAAAATAAAAAAAATCACATCTAAACAATACTATAAAACAATAGTGCTCGAAGCTAGAGTCACATATTGAACACCAATTTCTCATTATAATCGGAATATATAAGATAATTAAATGCTGATACAGAGTTTTAGTTGAGAAGGAAACACACGCGTAGCGAAAAAAAATCGATTTTCTTAACGCGAATGGACTATAATAATATTTATAATATGCCCCCCAGGCCTTTGTATACCGTCCAACAACACGATATTCATCAAGTCGGTGAGTGAGAAACTCGCGCATAACGAGCCGCATTTGACACTTGAATTTTTAGAAGAATGTATACAAGTAAGTTTTTCTATTGCATTTTCACGTACTGTACCTTTTTTTTCGATTTTGATATCTCTTGTGTGTTTGACTGACTTTAAAAAGGAGAGATACGTGATAGAGTAAATAAGACTAAGTGTAATTTAGTGTGTATGTTTTTATGCCTTTCTCAATTTTGAATTGAACGTTATGATTTTAATTGAATATCTTTCACTTAAAGTTACAAAATTGGCAATAATCGAGATATTTAAATATAATTTATTAATGTCTTTTTATCAGTTTTTCTGGTGAAAATTGGTAGAAGAAACTCTTCAGCTAAAGAAACACAATTTATAAGTAAAATTAAAAAAAAAAAACAGATTACTAAAACGAACGTTATTTTTATAATATTATTATAATATTAAATAAAATTAATATAAAATTAATGGTTTTTATGTTAACAGGGTTTCAGAGGATCGACAATAGAATTGAAGCATTTATGCTTAGAATACATGACGCCATGGTTGGCCAACTTAGTGAGGTAAAATAATCATTCATTCTTTACCCAGACGTGATGTAAACAGGGCTTGAAACCGGTTTAAACAACGGTTAAATCCGTTAATGTAATGAATTGTTTTTTTCATTGTTCGTTCATTAACCGGTTAATAAAAATGAACGGCTTAGTAAACCGAAATAATAATGGCTAACGGTTATTCTTATAGGAAGGTTAGACTTAGGTTCATTCCTACTTCTACTAAGCAATTTATCATTAACAAAGAATCGCCAAATGTAAACGTACAGAAACTTATTTTAAGTGGTTAATTTCGATCATGGAACCTCAATTAGTCAAGAACCGTTTTTCGGGTTTTAACCGGTTAAAGAGCGTAACCGAAACCTTAAAACGAAAAGCTATCTTCCACTAAAAGTCCCGTCAAGATCAGTCCAGCCGTTTCAGAGATTATCCGGAACAAACATACAGACAAAAATTCAAAAAATGTGTTTTTCCTATAATCACCGTATATAATTTCATATGCATTTATTAAAACGCTGTTATTTTGACATTACAAACAGCCACTTCAATTTTTTTTATCTGTATAGATTCTGCAAACCCTCCGACGAATCGCGACGTCAAAAGCAAGTTGCCCAAATACTAGAGAAATTAATAACCCTAACAATAGAAGAGACAGAGATGTACCCTTCAGTGCAGGCTAAGATATGGGGCTCAATAGGCCACGTGCCCGAGCTAATAGACATGGTGCTGGATAGTTTTATACAGAGGAGTGTCACATCAGGTGAGTAGGGTTAAGTCACAGATCAAATAAACCACAGATAACATACAAACAAAATTATCTAAACGGGATGATAGTATTCAGCCCGTTTTAACATCCCACTGCTGGGCACGGGCCTCCGTTCAAGATGAGGAGGATCAGGCATAGTCCACCATGTCTTTCGATACCTTATTAAGTTCTCTCCGACACGCATTTTTCCTCGCGATATTTCCATCGCCGTAAGACGAGTAATAATCATCTTTGAAATGTTCCGCACATGTGATTTATTAGAGGTGCTAGACCCGGGATTTGAACCCGCTTCACTCGGTTTACCAAGCGAGCGCGTTACCACTGGGCTACCACTGTCTTAAGACGGGACAATCTACTTGGCGGCAACTGTGATTATCCACGAGATGGCATAAAAAGTGCACAGATAGACCATGATCTGGAAGTAAGGACTTACGTTAGAAGACTGTAGTTTTATAATTTGACGACACGTATGGCTCAGTTTGTAGTGACCCTACTTGTCGTGCCAGCTGTCGCGGGTTCGACTCCCGCTGGGGGCATTCATTTGTGTGATGAGCACGAGTGTTCGTACTCCAGTGTGTAGAATGTATATGTATAATAGTTTTAATTTGATATTATTGCAAGAGATGGCACTGTCATTGTAAGTGTAGTTTTCTGAATCGCGCTGTCTAAAGTTTCTGGTCGTTATATATAAGGCAATTGAAAGATGTGTCATTAGAGTTTAAATTGAGTTAAAAATATACGAGTGTCATCAACAAGTAGTATTTTCATTTCTAACATTGGTGCCGAAACCAGGGAGAGAAAAGGAAGGACAAAGTGTAGTGAGTGTAGAGTCACGAGAAAGACTTTAAAAAAAAATATATTGAAATTTTGGACTTGTAAAATATTCGAGATTTGGATTGTCTGTTACAAAAGAGATTAATTCGGAGGTACAACTAAATGGAAAATATACCGAGTGGCAATCCTTTTACGACATGTTTGTGTCAATTATACACGAGAATTCTGTGCTTACACCAGTACAAAAATTACATTATTTAAAGTCAAGTTTGACTGGAGAACCTGAAATGCTATTGAGAAATTTTCCCACTACAGCTACTAATTATAAAGAAGCATGGGATCAGCTAACTAAACGTTATAACAATAAAAGGTACAACTGTAACTCTATTATGAAAATGTTGTTTGGACAAAAAACCATAACACATGAGTCTGCAATTTCTATTAGAAACTTACTAGATACAACTAACTCTTGTTTAAAAGCATTAAATAACCTTAACATTAAAACTCAAGAATGGGATGCAGTGATTATTCATTTAGTAGTCTTAAAATTAGATCAAGAGTCACATCGACACTGGGAAAACTATTTAAGTACTGTACCAGATGAACTACCCAAATGGTCACATTTAGAACAATTTCTAGAGACGAGATTCAGAACCTTAGAGATGATAGATACAAACAAACAATCTACAAGTTTTAAATTACATAATAATCAACAAAGAAATGCAAATCAAGTAATAAAACCCAAAACATTCTATTCAGACGTAAACGTTAAACAAAGTTCAAATGAAGCAACTTGCGCAATGTGTAACGGTCCACATTTTATATATTACTGTACACAGTTTAAGAAAGAACCTGTACTTGAAAGGCAAAATATAGTGCAAAATAAGCGGCTTTGTTTTAACTGTCTCGCGCCCAGACTTTCTGTATTTAAATGTCATCAAAATTCGACATGTCGAAAATGTGGCAAAAAGCACCATACTTTGCTTCATTTTGAGAAAGAAGATAAGCAAACATATCAAAATTCGAGACAAACTGAGTCAACGAGAGATACAGAACATAAATCTAGTGGTGAAATAAATTCATCATCTAACGAGACAACTGTATTAGCTAATTTTTCGAGAGGTGATGTAAAAACTTATAGCGTACTATTAGCAACTGCTGTTGTAAAATCTAATAGTTCTAGAAACGGTTCTTCTTATATTTTAAGAGCATTGTTAGACCAAGGCTCTCAAGCCTCTTTTGTGACTGAGGACACCGTACAGTTGTTAGGTCTCAAACGTACTAATGTAAATGGTAGGGTGTCAAGCTTGGGAGATGGTCATAGTATGGTTATAAAATACGCAGTTAATATCGAAGTAGAATCCCGTAACGATCCTGGTAAAAATATTCGCGTCTACGCTTTATGTATTAAAGTCAATTACCTCTATATTACCGTCACGTGAAGTACATATCCCCGATTGGCTAGAGCTTAAAAACTTACCTCTTGCCGATCCAGGATTTGCATCTCCAGGGAAGATTGATGTTTTACTCGGTGCAGAAGTATACGGAGAGATACTGCTAAATGGAATGAAGAGAAGCCCATACGGAAACCTAATAGCTCAGAATACTATTTTTGGATGGATTTTGTCAGGTAAGGTGTCACGAGAATCTGGTAATGACAATGTTGTTACTTTACATGTTCAAGTTAAAGAAGATGAGTTATTAAAAAAGTTTTTGGAGATAGAGAACGAGCCGAATAGTATCGAGAAAAAATTAACTAAAGAGGAACAACGCTGTGAGCAATTCTATACTGAGACAACATCGAGACGTAAAGATGGGAGGTTCGTAGTAAGATTACCATTTAGAACAGATAATCCCCAGAGTCAATATGGTCGATCATGTGAGATAGCTACGAGAAAACTAATTTCATTAGAGAGAAGATTATGTAAAAACCCTAAACTTTTAAATGAGTATGGTAAAGTTCTAGAAGAGTATACTGCTTTAAATCATATGAGGCTAGTCGAAAGTGAGGATGTAGATAATCCTTCAGCTGTATATCTTCCACATCATGCAGTTATCAGAGACGATAGGGAGACAACAAAAGTGCGCGTTGTCTTCAATGCCTCCAGTAAAGGAATCAATAACGTGTCATTGAATGATGATCTACTTATAGGGCCAAAACTCCAACAAGACTTACGACATCTTTTACTCAGATGGCGGCAGCACCCTATATGTATTGTTGCAGATTTAGTAAAGATGTACAGGCAAGTGTATGTGCATGATATGGATACCAATTTTCAACGAATTGTATGGAGAGCTAGACCTGATTTACCAATTCAACATCACAAACTATTGACATTAACCTTTGGAACCGCCTGCGCACCTTATCTTGCAGTAAAGACTTTACAAACATTAGCCGAATTAGAAAGCGAGAATTACCCATTAGCAGCACAGATTACAAAACGAGATTTTTATGTAGACGATTTAATGACTGGGTGTGAAGAAGAGTGGGAAGCGATACAAATTTATGAGGAAATGAGTAAATTAATGAGTGCGGGAGGTTTTCAAGTGCAAAAGTGGAGTAGTAATAATCAATCGTTTTTAAATCACATTAAAACAGAGAAGTTAAACACAGAGAACGCGATATATATCAAAGAAGATAATATGGTCAAAGTATTGGGTATTTGTTGGAACAGACTTACAGACAATTTTGAGTATATAGTTAATTTACCTGAACCTACACAACCGGTTACAAAACGAAATGTTCTATCAGATATTGCGCGATTATATGACCCTATTGGATGGATTGCACCTGTAGTAATTACTGCTAAAATTTTTATACAAAAATTATGGAAATCACACCTGGATTGGGATAATGAGTTACCGAGTGATCTTTTGGCAGAGTGGCTTAAATATAGACAAGAATTAACTCATATTAAACATATTTTAATACCCCGATGGCTTTGCTCAACCAAGAGATCTAAGTTAGAATGAAACAAGATTTATATGCCTGGACTGATTCTATGGTAGTATGGTAAGTCGGTGGGCTACTTATGTAAGTAATAGAGTATCACACATTCATACAATCTTAGATTTTGAGCAATGGCGACATGTATCTACTCAGACGAATCCCGCTGATTGTGCATCGAGAGGTCTCAAGCCGACCGAATTAAGCAGTTATTCACTCTGGTGGAACGGTCCTGAGTGGCTAACAAAATCGATCATTGATATTGAAAATCCAATTATAGGTGATACTCACGAGGAAGAGAAGGTTAACCATTTTTAGACAAAAATAAGATATTAAGAGTTGGTGGACGCATTAGCCAAGCAGAAGTGAGCTTTGATCAAAAACATCCAATTATCATGCCAAATAAAAATCATTTAAGTCAGCTGATAGTCGCAGATGCTCATAAGAAGACACTTCATGGCGGGCCTCAATTAATGATGAATTTTTTGAGATCTAAATTTGAGCACGTGATATGGTCAAACAATATTATAGGGAATGTACAACTTGCTTAAGGTACTCTAAAGCAGCAACAACCCAACTTATGGTTGTTTTGGAAAAGATGGTCTAAAGAATATTTAAGCAATTTAAATCAAAGAAATAAATGGTGTGTAAAGAGACCAGAAGTAGATATTGGTGATGTGGTTGTAGTTAGAGACGACAATCTTCCGCCAGCTAAATGGATTTTAGGAAAAATAATAAAAAAGCATACTGGCCCCGATAATGTGACACGAGTTGTAACTCTAAAATCTAAAAGTGGCTTTCTTAAACGCCCAATCAATAAAGTTTGTATTTTGACTAAGTCAAAGTGATTCAAGTTGCATTATCAGGGTGGGCGGCTATTTTATGTACTTCTTTATTTGTGATTAGTTTTATTGTGACAATATTAGAGTTATTTTACTTTTGTTTGTTACATCCATATGTTATGGTGGGCGGCAAATAAGTAGTACATTAATTTAATTTTGTGTTTGTTCTTTATTATTTGTTTAAAGGACAAGTCCTTGGTGGGCGGAATGTGTAGAATGTATATGTATAATAGTTTTAATTTGATATTATTGCAAGAAACGGCACTGTCATTGTAAGTGTAGTTTTCTGAATCGCGCTGTCTAAAGTTTCTGGTCGTTATATATAAGGCAATTGAAAGATGTGTCATTAGAGTTTAAATTGAGTTAAAAATATACGAGTGTCATCAACGAGTAGTATTTTCATTTCTAACACCAGTTATGGGTGTTTATATTTATAATATGCATGTATTTAAAGTTTTATATTTGTAGTGTATTAACTATTTATTGTCCATAACACAAGCCTTGTAGCTCACCATGGAACTAGATGGTGCTGTGTGTTAATGTCCCAACATATAACATATAATATGAGACGTGTTTCCAGGTCTCGGATCGCCGATGATAGAAATTATGGCGGACACGGCGGTCGCGCTCGCGTCTGCTAATGTTCAACTCGTGTCGAAGAAAGTTATCGGTAGGATGTGTAGGGTGAGTTTGTTTTGTGCATTGGTTGTTGACTGATTTCCAAAAACAAGCAGGTTTTTAACGTCCCACTGGTGGGCGTGGGCTTCCCCAATGCGACGGATCAGGTCATAGTCCACCACGCTGGACAAGTGCTGGCGGACTGAGCATGTCGTTTGAAAGCCAGCTAGATTAGGTGAGGAGAGTAGTGACCATGTTGAAAAATTATTCGCACATATTTGACTTTGGCAGCTTTCAATAGTGCGTCATATCATTATGGGATTTTGTCTTTTTTTATATTAATTTAATAAGTATTTATTTTTGTTGTTATTTTTACTGTCTTTATTTGTTGTATAATAATTATTTTATTTTTATTTTTTTATTTTAGTTAATTTAATTATTCCACAGGCCCTTTCTAAACTGCCTAATAATATCCTGAGCCCCGTAACCCCGGCTAGTGTGAGTGATTATTTCTCATTTTTTTTGTTTTTGTTTTTTTTTGTTGTTTTATTTATGTAGTTGTGTTTTTTTTATTAAATATTCCTCGTTAAGTTGTAAAATTTCAGATTAAATGATAAAATATACAAACAAAAAACATATTTCTAATAATTTTCCAGATTTTTTATTGTTTTTCTAGGTTATAGACATAAAATCTGTCGGCTTATAATTTAATAACAATAAGTTTCTATTATCTACATTTACTTCCATAAAAAATAATTTGCAATATTTTTCTTAGATATTCATTATATTTATACAACTTTTATTGTATCTTTATAAAAATGTAAATTTTATATAATTTTATTCAGGTGGTGGATAAAACATGTCACTCGCCGACGGCCATGTTGGAACAACACATGATGTGGGACGATATCGCCATACTTGCCAGATATTTGGTGAGTCAGTAATCATTTGCTTATAGTCCGTTCGCGTTAAGAAAATAGTGAGTCGTCAAGTGCAACGGCGGGTAAAGGGGTATACACAGTGGGAGTGAAAATTCAATTCAAATTCAATATTTCTCTTATTTATTTCTTAAGTTTAATGGATAAAAATGAACTTACTTATCTTACTTATCTCAAATTTTGTTTTTGAGTTGATAATGATTCCTCGAGAACCACTGCATCTATTGGTGAAAACAGCACGAATATCGGTGCAGTAGTTTTTGAGTTTATCGCGAACAGACAGACGGACGCGGCGGAGGACTCTGTTTTATAATATGTATTTATTTATTGAACACGCCAGCTGATGCTCTCGTTCAACAACTGCCTGGACGTGGCGCGCCACCTGCCCTACCTGTTCCACACGGTGACGTTCCTGGTGTGCTCGGGCGCGGTGTCCATGCGCGCCGCCACGCACGGCCTCGTCATCAACATCATACACTCGCTCTGCACCTGCAATTCACCCACGTTCGCTGGTCAGTTGCTCGGTTGATTTGGGTTCGGTTTTTGGTTTAGGTTTTTTATGTATTTTTAACATTGCAAAACTAAAAGATTTTTTCCCACGACTGAAGGGTTTTTGAAAGAATTTTCTATAAGAGCTAGGTAGTCCCTTATACACATTCTGTTCCTTTATTTTGTAAAATCGTATATTTTGTAATACATAAATATATAAATAAAATTGTTAAATTAAAATTCGAAATTGAAATAAAAATATTGTTTGAATGTATACATACATACTAGTAGATTGGTGTAACTGTTAGATTGCGTGAATATATGCAAAAAAATTTATCGCACTATTATTTTAACACCTTCAGGTAAATTTCTAAGAAATCTATTGTTAACTGTAACGCCGGCGTGTCCGCGGTCGCGGAGGGATTAATACGAAAGTTTGTAATACACATCAATAAATACTGCCAAATAAATATTATATTAATATATGGGACATTGAGAATAGTATGAAAATACCACTTTCACAGTTCACACTTTACAAATAATTAAATGTCTCTCCCGAGGACATGTTTTCTGTATAACAAAAAACCTAAATAAAACTGCGAAAAAATCCATTTTTTTTAAAATATGTATATTTATATGTTTTACGCCTATTGTATAAAATTATTGCAATTATCTCAATTTACACTTGATATAAGCAAAAATTAATTGAAATTAAAATCGCTGAGAAAAATATTATATTTTTTTTTATTATTCAGAGGAAACTCAACGTGTGCTGATGTTGTCTTTGGACGAGTTCGCTTTGCCGAAGTTCTATCAGATGTTCGGAATATCCAAAGTGAAGTCGGCGGCCGTCACCGCTTTTAGGAGTCCCTACAACAGACATACAGGAGATTGGTGAGAATTGATCTATTCTAATATATGAATAATATTCCAATATAACAAATTTATCCCTCGGGACCGGTATATTTTCCGGGATATATTCCAGACTATAATCTATGTCTGTGCCTAATTTCATCCAGATCCGTTGAGCCGTTCTGGCGTGTTTGAGTAACAAACATCCATACTCAGAAACTTTCACATTTATTATACATAGTAGTAAGATTGAAATGTTTATATCTAACTGTTAATGACGATAATTAAGCCTATTAAGTATTTTATGTAATAGTTTTTTTTTTAAGTTTTTATTATCTATAACTAGACTAGCGACTCACCCTCGCTTCGCTCGAGAAAAACAATTTCTTAGTGCTTAAATCTTTGTATCTAATTTGTTGAATATTTGTGTTTTTGCCATTCTAAACATCAGTTCGTTTTATAATAATATAATACTTATAATTTGACAATTTATAGTAATATTATACAGAGGTAAAGTTTGTGAGTTTGTGACGTTGTAGAGGGTAATCTCTGGATCTACTGATGATTATTGGTGATTTAGATGAAATTTGGTAAGTAGATAGTTTGAGACCCTGGAAAGGATATAGGATACGTTTTATCCCGGAAATTATACCTTGAGGGTGTGAAAATGGGGATAAGAGTTCGTATGGGCAATCAAGCTAGGGACGAACCCGAGCGAAGCGAGAGTGAGTCGCTAGTATTTAAATAGATCTATAATATCCTTTTTAGGTATTCGGAGCATTCCTACACTTGCTCTGAAGTGAGCAGCAGCTGCCCCGGCGCGGCGGCCGGGGGGTCGGGGGGCGCGGCGGGGGGTGTGGCGGGGGGCGTGGCGGGGGGCGGGGGGCAGTCGGACCGCGAGCGCCTGCCGCTGCAGTCGTTGGAGACGATAGCAGACGCGCTACTGGAGATTATGGAAGCGTGTATGCGGGATATACCCAATTGTGATTGGCTCGACACTTGGTGAGTATATCGACTGATGGAATATACCATTCATTCTTATAAACCAGTCATGGCTTACGGCTCAAAATAGTTTTATTAAATACGTTGAGTCGTTTAGCTTAAAGAAAAAACATACATACATATCATGACGCACAAATACACACACACGCACACACGTACACACACCACTACCTTTTAACAAATTCTATAGTAGCTTATGTGCTACTCTAGTTTATACTTTTATTTGTTCGTTGTATTTTTCTATGGTGTTCTACGGTAATTCCAGCCATTTTAGCGTAAAGGAGTAACAAAAAGATACACATACAAACATTCGCATTTGTAATAATAAATTTTATAATACGATTGTATATTTCAGGACATCCTTAGCGAAAAGTTTTGCATTCTGCTTCAATCCGGCCCTTCAACCGCGAGCGCTCATCGTCTTTGGATGTATAAGTAAGTTATTACTAATATCTAATAGATATACACTAAAATATGAAATAGAAAGAGCATCTGTAACCTATATAATAGAAACACATAACCTTTTCCATTTTGGAAGTCGATCAAAAATGGTGCCAAACAAAAATCTAAGAGGTATTATTACTTTGTAATTTTTGAATGATAATAGCTAAATTATAATACTATTTTAGGCTTCATCCACTGCATATTATTATTAACTAGCGACTCACCCTCGCTTAGCTCGGTTTCGTCCCTACTTATTACGTTTTAGCGTTTAATATATATTTCTCAAAGATGAAATATTTTCCCGCAGTAAAAATTATCTTATATGTTGACCCTGATAAATAAATTCCTGGAGGGATTTTGATGAAAATTATTATGGTAATAGCTAGTTATCCGGGTCAACATATGGGATACTTTTTGCCGCGGAAAAATATCTCATTTCTGAAAAAAATACAAAAACTGCAATGTAAGAGTATACAAATATGTAAAACCTAAGAATTTGATTTTTGGTCATCTGAACGCGGGCGGAGCCGCGGGCAATGCTAGGAAAACTATATCGTAATAACCGTTTCATTTGTATTTTATGAACTCTAACTTCTTACTTCTCTGCAGGCAAGAATGTGACAGATGGCGATATGAAGCAACTTCTTCGTATTCTAGTGAAGGCGTTAGAGTCCTTCAATGATCTAGCTCTTTTGGAGGCTATCATCATGTGCCTGACAAGGTTGCAGCCGCTTTTGCATCCGGTGAGAACTTTATCTCTTTCGAAAAACCGGTTTTTAGTACCATTTTTGCAAAATGGCGGCGCGAGCGGCACTCGTTCGAAGATGCGAATTAGGAATATTAATTGGGACACCAAACTGTAACACTCCGCTAAATTTTAACTCTTCTTGACCTTTTGTAGCAAAATCCACATTGTATGTCTTCGATGAATGGACTAATATATGTAGTATCATTAAATATTTGTTTATACAGAAATAATAGGTATTTAACATATATTTTTTTCTAGGAATCTCCCATACACAAAGCGTTATTTTGGGTGGCGTTATCTGTGTTGCAACTGGACGACCCCACTTTATATGCGGCTGGCCTGGCTTTGATGGAACAAAACTTGCATACGTTGGACTCTCAAGGTGCCTTTGATAACAAGGTAAGTTTCATTTTGTACTGTTAGGATACTTAGACTAAAGCTTGTTAGAATTTTCTTTTGAGGTAGTGGATCTGCTTCATTTAGTTTTACAAACGAACGCTTTACCAATGACTTACCATTGCTTATCTTTACATCTATACAGACAAATAAAATTGAAGCGTCTGTTTGTAATGTCAAAATTTTTAAAATATTATAAAAAATATTTTTAAAATTTTTGTTTGTGTCTGTTTGTTCCGGCTAATCTCCGAAACGGCTGGGGTGATTTTGACGGTACTTTCACTGGCAGGTAGTTGTTGCTATATGAAGTAACTTAGGCTACTTTTATTTAAATAAAAAAAAATAGGGTTCCGGCCAAAAAAATTAAAATATACCTAGGAACGAACCCGAGTGAAGCGAGTGTGAGTCGTTAGTACAAAATAATTTTATTATACTGTTATTTGTAATTTATTAAATTTTTGAAATGAAAACTTGTTTAGCCGCGATGAACGATTTTTGGTGGCTCAACTTAAGGGTTCGCATCACCGACATGTTACGTGTGTCGACGAAGTCTGGCGCAGACTGGCGTCATATGTTTTCAATAACAAATGAACTATATCAAAATGTAAATACCTAATTATTATATGCTCGGAGTGCCAATGGATGTGAAAACCAGACTAATAATATAAATAATTTCAATTTACAAATTATGACACTTTAATTATTAATACTACATATAATAAATTTAAATTTAAAAAAAAAAACAGTTTTTCCAAATTTTTAAGTTTTCACTTCTATCGACAATCCCCATGATTGCCTGTTTTAATAAATTTTTTTTTAATGTAACTCTACAGACACTAGAGCAAGTTTTGATGGAGACAAGGGAACCTTTGGAGTGGCACTTCAAACAGTTAGATCACGCCGTCGGCTTGAGGTTAGATATATGTATCAAATTAATTAATCAATTATTAAAAAAAAAATGATATTTTTTTTTTAAATTAACGGCGATTGTCTACTTTATAGATTTTTATACCGTTTAAATTAATACTTCGCATTAGTCAGCCATCGTCGAATTCTTTTTCAATATACCTTTTTGGCTACTCAACATAGTAATACAGTGTGTAATTGCCTTATATTTTGCACAGCTTTCGATTAAACTTCCACTAGGCAGTAGTGGGGTATCTGATCAAAGATCCTACGGTATACTTATCGTATATCGTAGGATCTCAACGTGTACTCTCCCATGTGATTCTTGAGCTATTCTACATAGTGACACAGTGTGTAATAGTCCTATATCCTACCCAGCTTCCGGTCCAACTTCCACTTCGCGCTGGTGGGGCACCTGATCAAGGGCTACCGGCACCCGGCGGCGGGCACGGTGGCGCGCGCCTGCCGCGTGCTGGCCGCGCTGCTGGCGCTGGCCGCGCGCCCCCGCCACGACAAGTTCCTGCTCACGGGCCGCTCCGTCGCGTACCTCACCGGTATATACACATTATATCTATACTAATATTTTAAAGAGGTCAAGTTTTTGAGTTTGTGACGTTGTAGGGGGTAATCTCTGGATCTACTGAACCGATTTAGATGAAATTTGGTGAGAAGACCAATAATAATAATAAATAAATATCTTGGGTACTTTAACTCACAACACCACCTAGTTCCATGGTAAGATACGAGGGCAAGTGTTGTGGATACTCGATAGTTGATACACTACACATATATAACTTTAAATACATACATATTATAAATATAAACACTCGTGTACAAACATTCGTGCTTATCACACAAATGAATACCGCTAGCGGGACTCGAACTCGCGACCGCTGACACCGCAAGTACGACTACAAACTGAACAAAACATGTCGTCACATATAGTTTTATGTTAGTATATATATTTTATATAGTTTTTAGCAGCACGACAATTTGTAGCTCGCCACGCGCTCCGTCTATATATATATATATATATATATATATATATATATATATATTCATCACATATATTACCCATTTTCTTATCGTTTCTTTGCATATTAAAAGAAAATATTATCACTAGAAGACAAGCGGCAACACGTTTATAACAACAAGCACCTTTAAATATCAACCAAATCCATCCTGAAACACACAAACATATACATACAAACTTCACATCTATAATAACACATCGATGTGCCAGATTCAGAGATGGGTCTAGCTCGCATTTAACTGATTTAATATTATAATTTCCAGCATTAGTCTGCGTGTCTGAAGAAGTCCGGTCGAGGTGCAACGTGAAGCATTCCCTACCAAAATGGCTGCCGGACAACTGTGACCACTACTGTCCCGCGCTCGAACAGCATCAGGTTAATATAATAAACATTAAACATATATAGAAAAACATAAAACAATGTAATATTATTTATTTGTTTATTTATTTATTTATACTTGTTTGTTTGTACAATTTGTTTGGTTGCTTGTTCGCCCGTTCGTTCGTTCATTTATTTATTAAAGTTTGCTAGTGGTTATTACATGTTATACAAAAATTCTTAAGAAAAGTGGTAATCTTATTGGAAATGATTCGCACATGAGAATATGAAAGGTGTGAGACCCAGGGTTCGAACCCGCTTCACTTGGTTTTGCAGTCGAGTGCGCTACCATTTTATAATTATATGATAAATAATAATAATCTTATTATATACATACATATAAAACTTTTTTTCTCTCTTTCCTAATCTTTTCGGATTTTTTTATTATCGAATTTGAATTAAATCAGAAAATCCCAAACGATATTTACTTTTCTTTTTATTTATTTATGTACCAAAAAAAAACTACTAGTTATTTATATGTATTTAAAATGTTAAATGTGGACCAAAATGTAAGACATTTAAAATATATAACATTTCCCAGTCTTCGATTCTGATCCAGCCTCAGTCGTCGCACGCGTCGTGCCAGGGCCGCCGGCAGAAGTCCTGGGACGTGCTGGACCAGGCCTCGCTGTCCTCGGCTCATGGTGGTGAGATACAAACACACATATATACATATGTATGTATATAATATACACATTGGAGTGGAGCCAAAAAATTCCTTAGGTTGGCGGTAGAATTTGTAGCTTATAAAAAACAATTATTGCCATTTTAAAAATAGTTGAAAAAATAGCACGTCACTTTTTTTGTGTTACAGTCAAGTGTAGTAGAAAATGACTATATTCGTCAATTCTGGAATGTTTTCAAAGATCGATTTTTTTTTCATTCAAACCAAAAATTGTAATTTTTTTTATTTCAATAATTTTGTTTTTTATGACCTACAAATTATACCCCCAAGTTAAGAAAATTTTTTTTTTCTCGTTACACCCTAACTTACATATATATTATATACATATATACAGAAAAAATAAAAATAATAATTGTAGAGCTTACGATAGTTAAGTATCAACTCTGTTAACCATTTCCAACTGAGATTAAATAATTGTGAGTTATAATTTTGTAAAACTCCATAGCAAACTTTGAGCTCTTTTTCCGAACGCAGTGGAAGTCGATCGTTCATGATACTATCATAGAGTGAAATCCGTATTTAACATTATAAATGTGAAAGTTTGTGAGTATGTATGGATGTTTCTTACTCTTTCATGCCAGAGCGGCTGAACGGATCTGGATGAAATTTGGCACAGAGATAGATTATAGTCTGGAATAACACATAGGAATATAAGCGGTCTTATCAACTTATGCAAGCAAAGCTGAGTGCAAACAGTAGTTTAAAATAATTTAAATAAAACTATCTTTTCGGATGTTTTCGCAATTTTATTTGATGTTTGGTTCCCGATGTTTCGAATGCTTTACAGCAATCATGGTCATGGGAGAGACTGAGGTTTAAGGTGTCTCATAAGCATTATATTGTTGTTGTTACAGACAGCCTATGCACAAATTAACAAAAATAAATTCAAAAAATCAGAATAAATTCCCGAAGAAATCGGATAGAAAAGATAGTTTTATTTAAAATGTCAAATATTCGCGTAAATCTAAGAAATTTGTAGTTTAAAATAATTTACAATTTAAATCTAGGTAAATCCCCAACATTACAACAGTCGAGTAGCGGCGGTCATAGTCCACATTTAATGAATATCACGCATCAGGTAATGTAAAATTGTGTTATATACATACATACATACTACATATGTTTCAATTTTCATATATTATATATGTTTTGGTACTTGGTATTCGGTATCTGTATTTAGTCTGAAGTGAAACAAAAAGTTTTTAAAAAGGATATATTTTGTATGTACGTTCTATATTTACATATTATAGCATTCTAATATAGATTATTTTGTTAATGTTTATAATTTTTCGTTGCTAAATTGACTTGTTATAATATTGTGTAAGACAATGAAGATAAAGATAAAATGAAAGAATAAATATATTGTGAAAAAAAAAAATGTTTTTATAGATATTACATAATTATGAATTGAGTGTCTAGAAGCAAAAGCTTTTTTATCCACTTATAATTATTATAGTTTCTACATATAGGAATAGGTCGGTTTTATATCTATACATATAATTAAATTGTAACGAATCCGAATCTGCACATTAAATATTTTTTGGAAAATCTTATTTAAATAGATATTAATATCGATACAGAGGCCGAATCTATAGTTTTTAGAATTTTTGTCTGTCTGTCTGTTACCGCATCACAGAAAAAAAAAACTGGAGGGATTTTGATGAAATTTCATATGATGATAACTGGTTATTCGGGTCAATATATAGGATACCTTTTACTGCGGGAAAATATCTCATCTCTGAGAAAAAAAATACAAAAACTGCAATGTAAGGGTATACTAATATGTAAAATCTAAGAATTTGGTTTTTCGTCACCTGGACGCTGACGGAACCGCGAGCAATGCTAGTATTTCTATAAGATGTTATGCAGTCTCCATTTTAATTTACGAGAATATCCCTAATCCATAGTTTTTGATTTTTGTCAAGTCTGTTATTTAATTTCTATAAATTGAAAATAGTTGAATTAATACAATGAGGGCTACCGCGCTTGAATTCGCCGCGCGAGGGCGCTCGTGTAGAGTGAGGTCTCTACAAATGTCAAATTACACTGGATTTTCATTAGCGAGCGGTTTTTTTTACTGCGGATTTTTACTAATATTCATGATTATTGCAATAATTGTGCCATTCCAGATATAAATATATGGCAGACACGGTATATATTATAAATCTTGTTTATTTAAAAGAAAAGTTAAGAAATATCAATATTTTATTTATTTGGTTATGATTAATTATTTAAAATCCTGATAGAACTTTTTTCGCGCTAACAATTATAATTATTATATTAAATTTATTGCCCCTGTCGCACTAACAAATACTTTTCACCGACAGCGATAGGACCTCACTCGCCAGTGGCGCTAACTGGTGCCGCCAGGAACGATTGCCCTCATTGATTTATAGTTGTTAGTTATAAACAGTCCAAATTAATATATAAAAAGCAATATCTAAGTTTTTGTTTTCTTTGTTATATAATATATTCTATACCTATATAAAAAAATAAATATAAAAAATATATAGTAAAATTTCTTATAAAATATAAATATATCCTTTTTAATCCGAAAGCAAATGGCTTATTGGCAAAATATATACGTATATACAGTAAGCGCGGCTTGTGACAAAATGTTATTATACTCGTATATAATGTATCGTCATTTGAGTAACTCATGGTGTTATCTTCTCATCGTATGACGTACGTACAGACAAATTTATTTTAATTTTGTTATAGATAAATAAAAATGGTATTTTTTTAATAATTTAGTTTTAGAAGAGATAATATGAAACTATGTTTTTGGATTTATTTTGATTTTTAGTTCCCGCCGTTTCGAATGCTTTGCAACCATCATGGTCACGGGAGATTGTCTCTCAAAAATCAAAATAAGTCCCCGAAAAAATCTGAAAAGATAGCTTCATTTAAAATGTCAAATATTCTCGTAAATCTTAGAAACTACATAATATTAGAGATAGTATGGTTAATATTTCGTACTATTTTTCCACTGTAATTTGTCTGTACGTTAGTATTTCTTACAGTTAGTGAAAAAAATTATATCATATTATATATTGTGGTACTTTGTATTTCTTGATTTGGTTTATGGAAGACATTTATTCATTTTAAAGTATTCGAATGATAACTTTATTTATAATGAATATTTTATATGTTTTTTTTAATATCTGCTTAGTACTATTGAGGGCTCGGCAGTGTGTGAACCAAGTTCAATAAACGCACTGCAATTACATTACATATACAGAAAGGTTAAGTGTTATCGATAACTTTTAAAATATAAACTGCTGTTTTATTTATTTTTTACATTTAAAATATAAAACATCTGATTTTTAACAGTTTTACTTAGATTTTTAATTCTCGAACTTTCGCATGTTTTACAATAAACAGACACTGAGGTTACAGGTAACGGAGATTTAGTTTAGGGAACCTAAAACGAAAATGAAACCTCGAAAAAATTATTTGTATTTAAAATGTCAAGAAAAGCAAAGTAGTATGATTTTTTTAAGTTTAAAGTCTTCCAAAAACCATTACAAACTAAACATTTCTTCTATTTCCAGTTACAACTAATCATTCTATCACGTTCTTTCATGCAACTTGTATGGACTTTATCGTGTTGCGTCTGTATGCGTTTGTATTTCACACCTACTGCTCACACGCATATTCGTTGGTTTCTTTGTGTACAAAAAAAAATATTTTGTGGTGAAATCTACTTAAACACTGTTAATAAATCCAAAACCTTCCTATTTTGTTTTGAAATATATAATAAAAATATATATGTCAAAATAAAAAAATAAATGCGAATTACTATTATTTTGGACTTCAATAATATCATAATTCAATGAAATATTTAATAATAAAACGAATATCGCGTACTACACATAATCATGTCTGCATGTCTGCCCTTTTGATCGCTTGCACGCTTTTTAGACATCCGCTAGAATGCGTTTTAAGACTCAACGTTCCTTTTCTGTACCAACATCTAAAGATACTATTGGACCGCCGAGGGTAATGTATTTTATTAATTTCCATTTCATATACAATGGAAGTTTTGTATTGTCTGAAATTAAAAATATTTGTGTGAAAATATTGTAAGGCTTAAAAATTTCAATAAAAAATGTTCTTGTGATAGTTCCTATGCAAAAACCTCAATAAAATATGAATTTTGGACTTAAATTATATAAATTGAATTACAAATTCGTATTGTTTATAATTACATCATGATAAAGGTATTGTTTGTTTTTCTTTTAAAATACAAGAAAAATAATAATTTATCATAATAATTACATGACATTTATGCTTCTGGTTTAATTTTAAAAAGTATCAATACGTTTTATTGCATTTTCTAGGAAGCTTAAGTCTCATGATAATACCCTAAATTAGACAACCTACCCTTAATAAAAATACGCTTTTTTTTAAATTAAAAATGTGTTTCCCCGCTGGCGAATTTCCCTTTTCTTATTTAGTACATAGTGCGGATCCAAAAATCTTATGAGTTTAATTGAAAATTAAACTAATTTTGATAATTAAAAATATTGTAAAATTTAATTTTGGTAATTAATAGCAAAACATGTTTTATAAAACTCGAAAAAGTAAAATAAAATATGCAATATAAAAAATATTATAACCTCAATCACATTATCTAGTTCTTCTAGACTTAAAAAATATTCACATCGCTTTATCTCACAAACACCGTTTTTAAAATGTATTTCACTATTTATCTGTAAAAACACGTTTTATGTCAAAATACTATTTCGGATCCGCACTAACACCAGTGCTGGATTTGCCGGTAGGATTGTAGGTTATGATTGTATGTGACAAATATGGGGGTCTTTTCTTTAGAAAAAAGCCAAGTTCTTGCTTGATCTTGAAATACTTGTTACTTGTGGATCAAATATTTTATCAGTTAAAGATTATGTATTTAAAGTCTAAGTGCTTAACAACTCGCATCAAATAAATAGAAACCTGAAATGAAATGGGAATAGGATTAGCAAAAAACTATATAAAAAGTGTAAATCCGGCACTGACGTACACAGACACGAACATAACATACACATATACATACAGGATAGTGAAGGACGAGCGCACAGCGTCCAGCACGGCTCGGCTGGTGACGCGGCCAGGGACCTAGATGCGGATAGCGGATTGGATGTAAGTATCCATAAAAATATTATTAGGGAAAAATGTGTAAACATAAGGCCTGTATTATTTAAGTACTATACTAATGAACTTTGAATAATTTCTGCATTTACTGAAAATCTTTAGGAAGTAAAAATTTTATTTAATTTTAAACAGGGGTGACTCTAGGTATAAGCTTGTTAAAAAAAGAACATTCAATGTAGTTTTTTAATCACTATGAGACACAAAGCGTTGGTCTTGATCACATTGCTTCTAAATTTTGTCAGAGAATCTAGTCTGTTAATATAAATAACTTGATTTTTTTTGGGTTTTCTCTAAAAATGAGTGTAAACGGTGTAAATCAGGTGGTGGATGACGATGGCAGGGGATCTCCCGGGAGTGTGGACGATACCGAAAGACCAGCATCTACAAAGTCTGCGGATAGCGACTATCCTGAAACTAGTACTAAAGTAAGAATGAAATATATTTAAATGTGTATGTAATATTAACATGACACAGTTCAATGCTAGTTATAAAATAAAGTTAGAAATTTTGAAAAATAAGTAGAAAATAGAAATGAAATAACAAATTGATGTTCAAGATGTTATTTTTTTATATAATAATATTTTATGTCCATTTTCTTATTCAGTTATAAATATTCTATATATTATTATATTCGCAGCAAACATCCCAAGAGAAAGAATCAAACAGTCCCGAGTGCAATTCACTTTTGGATCCATCAGTTTTGAACGATTTCACAACTCAAGCGCTCGTGCTGACTGTTTTGGCTACTCTTGTCAAATATACTACGGGTAAGTATTTGTTTATGTAATTTTTTAAACTGTAAATTTATCGATGCATTTTCATGGTTTATATATAATTCAGTATAGACATAAAAACATAATTTCGAGTTTCTCATTCTAGGTATATATCGAGAATATCTTAATAGAAAACTCGATAACTCGATATAAAAATGTTTGAGAATTTGTGGTGGGCATTATTGAATTTGAAACAATTACTTTTTTTTTGCTTCAAATCTTATTTCTAGGTGACATTGTTTGCTAACTTATTTTTGTCCATTTTCTGGCTTGACATTCTAGATTTTTTAAATAGTATTTATTAGTTTTTATTTTACCGCGTATTATATTGAATACAACGTTGAAAGAATTCAGAAAATAATTGTTAATAGGCACTTAGTTTAATTTAAAAAATAATACATATCATGTAATATTGAATATGGTCTTATTTGTGTTCACAGATGAAGATGAAATAAGAATCTTATATCAATATCTAGCGGAAGGTTCGGTAGTGTTTCCCAAAGTTTTTCCAGTCATGTAAGTATGGAACTTGGCGAATGCACTGCCGTGTCCGCTAATGTTGAGTTTAATTAGAAAAAATAAACCTTAATTAATTATATAAAACTATATTCAAATATATTAAGGTAGTACAAAAATCCTATGAAAACGAGCGAATGTTAATGTCTAAACTTCAAGGTCGAAACTTTTGTTTTCAAAAGATTTTTTTAGTACAAAGGAAATTTTATTTACCACTATTATGTTTTAACATTTAGTATAGATTTCTCAGAGATGAGATATTTTCCCACAGTAAAAAGTATCCTATATATTGATCCGGATAACCAGCTATCATCATACCAAATTTCATCAAAATCTGTCCAGTGGTTTTCTCGTGATGCGGTCACTGTTTGTGACCGACAACTGTGACAGACAAAAATTCTAAAAACTATAGATTCAGCCTCTGTATCGATAACAATGATTATTGCAATAAGATTTTCCAAAAGATATTTAATGTACAGATTCGGCTTAGTTACAATTTTATTATGTGTATAGATAGATAACTTTTAATATCTATATTTCCCAATAAAAACTTTTCCCTATTAGAAAGACATAGTTATAAGTATTATAGAGTTTTAGGAATTGTCTATCGGTTTAACTTTAACAATATAGCTCCAATACTCTTCGAATAAAATGGCTGTGGTAACCCAGTGGTAACGCGTTCGCTTGGGAGACCAAGTGAAGCGGGTTCAAATCCCGGGTCTCGCACCTCTGATATGTTCATGTGCGAATCATTTCTAACATGATTACCACTTGTGTAACGGTGAAGGAACACATCGTGAGGAAACCTGCAGGTTTGAAAAACCTAGTAAGTTTTCGAAAGACATGCTCAGTCCGCCCGCACTTTGCCAGCGTGGTGGACTATGGCGGATCCCTCTCATATTGAAGATAGGCCCATCCCCAGCAGTGAGACGTTAAAAAAGGGCTGAATGCATACAACACATACAAATAAATGACTGTGACATACAGACAGACGGACGTGACGAAATTATAAGTATTCCATTTTTTAATTCAACATTAAAAATTATATTCATATCTTTAAATTTACAGCCACAGTCTACTAGACATGAAGATCAATCACGTGCTAATGCATTGCCACGACCAAGTCATACTAAGTGCTGTACAAAGTATCATACAGGTGTGTATATTATTTATTTATATTTGTTTATTTATTTATTGAAATTTCAGTACATATATAACAATAACAGATATAAACGATAATAATGGTAGAAGTTAAGAAACTGTGTAGCAATTATTAAAATTGAAATGAAATATAGTTTATTCAATTAAAGATAGATAGATAGATACTTTATTGTTCACCATAAAGAAATATACAAAAAAATATATATCAACAATCTTCTACAACATCATCTAGACGCATAGGAGGCGGCGTTATCGCTAGAAGCGATTTCTTCCAAGCAACCTTAGGGCGTAGGAGAAATTATATGTAACTAGCATTGCCCGCGGCTCTGCCCGCGTTCAGATGACCAAAAGCCAAATTCTTAGGTTTTACATATTAGTATACTCTTACTTTGCAGTTTTTGACTTTTTTCTCGGAAATGAGATATTTTCCCGCGGTAAAAAGTATCCTATATGTTGACCCGGATAACCGGCTATGACCATACCAAATTTTATCAAATTCCCTTTAGTAGTTTACCTGTGATGCGGTAACAGACAGACAAACAGACAAAAAATCTAAAAACCATAGATTCGGCCTCTGTATCGATAATAATGTTTATTTCAATTAGATTTTCCAAAAAATATCTAATGTACACATTCGGCTTAGTTACAATTTTATTATATATAAAGATAAAGATTGTAGGCGGTGTATTTACTACATACAAATGCATATCCTAAATACATACATAAATACATACCTATATACATACACGCACAAATGGATATATGTAAGGGACTTGTTAACACTTCCGGGTAAATTTCTATGAAATTAATTAAATTTCTGAGAAATCTATTGTTAACTGTAACGCCGGCGTGTCCGCGGTCGTGGAGGGATTAAAACAAACCACAAAGTGAGTCCAAACTATAATGGTGAACTAGTAGCCTTTGAAGAGTTCCTATATCCAACTCCTGGCTCCGTAATCAGATTGAACTCGATGATGATGGCAAATTGTTGTAGTGTCTTACGAATTGTACACACTTAATCTCTCCACGGCCGCGGACACGCCAGCGTGTCAGTTAACAATAGATTTCTTAGAAATTTACCTGGAGTTGAAAATCTTATTTTACCGCCCAATCTCCCTCGTATCGTATCCATTGTACGTGAAATTGGCGAAGTAATCTGTGCCCAATTTGTTTGCTCTCACAGTCCACTCTTCTATCAGAGAAGTACCAGGAGCAACCCGCATGGTACACCGCCCACCGATGTGGGCCATCTTCCTGTGCGCTTCTTGCTTGATGACCCTAACCTTGACCTTAAGGTCAATTTAAGATTAAGTTCTAACATTTGATTTATAACATTTGGGTTTTTAAATTCTAATATACTAGCGACTCACCCTCGCTTCGCTCGGGTTCGCCCCTAGGTACGTTTTAAAATAAAATGAATATATTATGTTATCCTTAAGAGATAGAACATATGCCATCGCGGGGTTTTCTGTAGACCTTTATAAGTTACATAATTCCACCGTAAGTTTTTGTATAACTTAACATATTACATACTAAAACCTTCCTCTTAAATCACTCTATCTATTAAAAAAACATCATCAAAATCCGTTGCGTAGTTTTAAAGATCTAAGCATACATAGGGACCTACAGACAGCGGGAAGCGACTTTTTATACTATGTAGTGATACTTATAATATATGTGTACATCGTATCCATGAAATTGTGTTTTTTTTTACTTTTAGAACATGATAGCATCTGAGGACGCTAGCCAACAGCAACTGCATTATATGCAAAGTTGTGGCTTCGGAGGGCTGTGGAGATTCGCCGGACCATTCACTAAGGTAAGGATGTGTTTTGGTTTTAACTAGCTTTGTCCTTTTGGTTTCCGACGTTTCGAATGCTTTATAGCGCAGATAGTCACGGGAGAGACTAAGGTTATAGACGTCTCAAAGGCGTTATATACTTGTTACAGACAGTGCCTATCCACCATTTTACAAAAATGATTTCAATAATTCAAAAATGGAACTAAAGTACCTTACAATATTTGTTTATTTTATTCTAAACATTAATTTTTTTTTTAATAAGTATTATAATTAAATATTGCAGTATTATTTATTTAATTTTAGCTGTTATTATTATAAATAAGACATTTTTTTTGTAAATTGTTAATTACTAATATTATTTAGTGTTGCTATTATTTTACTATGTATAACCATAAAGAATATTAAAAATATTAAATATTTATTTAAGCAATATTATTGTTTTATATGTCATCTAAAAGAGATTGATATAGTGATATATATGAAATTTCTTTAAATTGTATTTTTTTAAGTGTTATTTTATTGATTTTCTAAACAAAAACACCATGTATCATGTGACCATGTATGTGTATGTAATCACCAACATAATATCAACAGAACGCCCGAACAGCGGAAAGTAGCGAGCTATTTGTCAACTGTCTAGAGGCGATGGTGGAGACCTGTCTCCCGGGGGATGACTGTGCTCGTCAGGCTCCCCCAGACCCAGACCGTCCCGACCGCCCAGACCGGCCAGACCGACCAGATCGGTCAGACCGGTCTGACCGCGATAGGAGTGACCGGGATAGAGGTGACTTGGATGAACGATATGCAGGTATGGATTAGTAAAGGGTGGTTTAAAAGGTTAGTGTAAAAGTGGCATAACTCAAATTTTGACGTTTTTTTTAGTGTTAATATTTTAGACATGACTCATAGTTATGTTGAATGTCATGTAAACTTTTTATATGATATTATTTTTATAAAACTTAAAATTAGATATACGTTTCATATTATGACATTTTTACGTTGAAAATTTACATATTACATATATCACACTATATAATATATACGAAAGCAAAAGAACGATAGAATGGCTTTAGTTAGTGATTGCTCTCCGAGTCAGTCGTTCATATTAGAATATTTTTCGAGTTAATAATTAATTTATGATAATCTATTGAAGTGAAAGCAAAGTTTATAAACATCAGATATAAACAAATATATAGGATGAAGTAAAAATTATATTTTTAGTTAGACTGTTAATTATCTGATAAATAGTTTTTCTGATGATTATTATAAAATATTATAAATATTGCTATATTATTATATACATATACACACTAAATATCAATTCCAACATACGTACAAACACATTTTTTACATATAGTACATACACAGTATGGTATATATTTCAGGTGTCCTTCGTCAGGCCAATTTGTACTGTTCTGGACAAGACACATAGCAAAGTGTTTACATACATATATTTATTTTATATGTATGTAGTAATTTCGCTTTATCTTGTACGGACTTTATACTAAACGTGGGGTATTTTTATTTAGTAGTGATTTTATTTTATAACGACATTTGTACTTTTACAGCAAAACGTGATCTTTTCAGTATTAAGGTATTGTCTCAAAAGTTTTTATACAAAAAAAAAGAAAAAATATTTATTTTATTCTATTTTTAAACGAGACAAAAATCCAAAAAGATAGTTTCATTTAAAATGTCAAACATTCGCGGGAATATAAAAAAATATCATGGGGCTGTTGCTTAAAAAATAAATGCTTTTTATTCAGCTTAAGATTTACAACGCTAGAACTTAATTTCTCATATGAATGTTTTAACAGTGAACGCAACAAACACACACACACACACACACACATATATATATATATATATATATATATGTGTGTGTGTTCTATATATGTTCTATATATATCTCAACGACACAGTGTTACTTTAGATACTTAATTACCATACCACAAAAACTATCCCACAAACACTTGGCTCTGGCCCTTGTTAGCTGAGAATACTGGCAAAGCCGAGGTTTTCAAACGAAAAGAAAAAAATATAATTATAATTCCTTTAAAATCTAATAATAAAAAGAAATATAAAACATATTAGCATATAGGACTAGCACGATGTTAATATCATTATAAATCACAAAATTTCATTTATTATAATTCATTGTTGTATAAAAACTAACTTGTGATGTGAACCTTATATAAAGCGCTTGGTAAGCGAGTGTTAATAAATTATACTGTATGTTATATACATAATGTCAAAATTCTAATATTAATTACTTAGAAATAATTTATTACAAAACTAGCATTTTACAATATGTGTGTATTCAGCCCTTTTTTACGTCCCACTGCTGGGCACTGGCCTCCCTTTAATACGAGGGGGATCAGCCATTGTACAATATGGCGACGCACCAATGGCATCAAAACAAATCAGTTTGCATTGCTTACATTAAAATATGACTAACTTTAACTAAGATTATGAATTAAAATATAACACACGTTTTTCAAATTTAGTAAAATTCTCCCAAAAATACATATACTTGAGGGTGTAAGAAGATTTTTTTATCCTATATGTTGTTGGGATATTATTATGTTGGGACATTAACACACATCACCATCTAGTTCCATGGTAAGCTACGAGGCTTGTGTTATGGACACCGGATAGTTGATACAATACACATATATAACTTTAAATACATAGATATTATATTTATAAACACCCATTACTGGAGTACAAACATTCGTGCTCATCACACAAATGAATGTCCCCAGCGGGTTTCGAACCTGCGACCGTTGGCACAGCAAGTAGGGTCACTACAAACTGAGCCAAACGTGTCGTCAAATCCATCTATTTCCGTTTACTACTTTCGTTTTTCGTTTAAAATATTTTAAATATTTTGCCGCTTAAATGTATCGTTTTCTTTTTACCTCTACATATTATATTATCTGTGATATCAAATGTTTTTGTTAGAGCGTCTCCACTATACAATCTGCATGCTGACTTTATCCATATACAAATACATAAAAGTAGAATATAACTATAAAATGCTTTAACTTTTTTTAATTTAAAACATTAAAAAAATTTAAATCAATTAAAATTAGACACAATTTAATTGTCTGGTGCTTTGATATAACAGGAGTAGACATGTTACGAAAATACCTAATTTTAGATATATATGTAACAACTAAATTTGATAAAATCTTTATAATGGGTTATAAATATTATAGTTATTGTTTGAAAATTTTATTTTAGGGTAAGCTTAACTTGCTTAAATCAGTAATATAAGTTTTATTTCAAATGCAGCAAGAACGATTTTTAACCCCCGACGCAAAAACGATGGGGTGTTCCGTGTTATAAGTTTGACGTGTCTGTATGTATCTATGTCTATGGCATCGTAGCTCCCGAACGGATGAACCGATTTTGATATTTTTTTTTGTTTGAAAGGTGAATTAGTCGGGAGTGTTCTTAGCTATGTTTGATGAAAATCGGTCTAAGATGGTCGGGGGTGTTTTAAATGTTTATTTTAATTAAAGCAAATGTCCACAATGACATTTATTTTATTTAAGCTTTATGTATTAACACAGATTAACAAAAACTATGTAAATTTATTTTTCAAATATATTTATTTGTGTGGTAAATTTTATTTTTCAGGAATTTAATCTGGCCTGTTGTCAAACTTGCTAAAAGCTTCATCTCAAGTGATTCTTTAGAAGAAACTACTAAGCCTAATATTTAATAATAAATAATATAGATGTTGTCTGTTCGTTTCGATGTTTAATGTTATAGTATAGTTTAAAATATGGTTTTGAATGGAATGGACATAACAAGGACACTGCGATAGCGTTATTTTTTCTGAAACCATAATATTATGTGGATGCTTCAATATCTTATGTTTTAAGATAACCTATTTCAAAGTAGTGATGTAACGAATATTCGCATTCGCGAATATTCGCATATTTTTTGACATTCGCATTCGTATTCCGTATTCGCAAGAAACGATGCGAACGCTTGGCGAATGTATTTGACAAACAAAAAGAAAATTATATATGGAATGAACTGAAGTATGAAAACACAACTGTGCTTTACTCATGTTTTTATATCACTTTGTCTATTTGACTAGGTATTACTTATATTTGACAAATGCAATAAACTAACCTCACATCACAACAAATCTTTTCGAACGAACTCTATGTGACTAACTTCGTTCATTCAACCTGTATCGGCTCGGCTGTGTTCGGTTTAAACATGGCCGACACGAAATGTCAAACCGGTCTGTTTGATAATCAACATTCGCATTCGTATTCGCGAATATTGAAGACGAATATTCGCATTCGCGAATATTGGAGATGAATATTCGCATTCGCGAATATGAAAATTCGAACACTCGTTACATATCTTGGCTCAAATGAATGTTATATACTATCTTATATTGATTTGTATTGACTATTATTGAATCGTATTAATTGCTTCTCGGATTGAAAAATATACGAGGTTTTTTTAAACAAACAAGCATATACCATATGACCCACTAAACGTCTCTGCAAATTGAACTATTACAAGTAACTATGTCCATTCCATTCGTTTCTTATTAAATGTATTTTTAAACATCCGCACAATTATAAATCATATAGTACCTACCTATAATATATTAAAGTATTATATTTTTATTATGAGCCTACGTCATATTATGTAATATGCATCACACTGCCCTAAGAGTTCCTTTTTATTAGAAGTTATACTTTTTTTTGGTTCGTTTGTAAAATTATGAGAGTAAAATTTTTACGATGCTCGCGCACGCGACAGCCAAAAAGCGACATGATGAAGTTAGCTGAAAGCGGCGTGATGAAGTCAGCTGCATTCCTTTTACAAACAGAGAGTTGTAACATACGGGATGAAATCTTTAGCTATTTTTGTTCTGTTACGCCAAAGAAGTATAACTTCTTACTTAAGAAGTATACTTTCTTCTATTTTAAGTATACTTCTTACGTGCGTACATAAGTACACACATTTTTTTAGCAATCTTTCCATAACTTTATATTAGACCATCAGTGCAAAAGTGGCCTAACTCCATGAAATTTTAAAAGTGTTTTTCTTTGATTTTTTTATTTTTTTATAACTTGTAAATTGTCGTTAATAATTAATACAAATAAATTTGCTTTAATATATATATATATATTTGCCAACACATGAACGGAACTTAAGTTAGTCCATTTTTGCTTCACTTGTTACAGTGTATTATTCTGAGAATATTGTCTTGTCCATTGAAAAACGACACTTTTCTCTTAATATAGATGTCATAAATTATATAAAATGTAACATTTGTAGACATGAAAAATTTGCACAAAATTATATGTTCCTTTTGATGTTGTACTTCTACTTAATTAACATATGTAGATGATGCAAAAAATATATACAAAAATATAGTAAAAATTAAATAACACATTCATAAATTGACCCTTTATCGTTTACATATACACAATTAAACTAGAAATGTGAATATAATTTTTTTTTATTTGGAACTACCATTTCAAAAAAGTATTTAATTACTTTAAAGATATAAAAATATAAATTTAATCCATATTATTTTGAATTGCAGTTCCTACAATATGTTCACTATAACACTGACTGGGTTATAGTTTATTTATGGATATTTATGAAATATAAAAATAATTATAGTATATAAATATTAAATAAAGAGTAAACGTATAACTAAAGTAAAATTTTGTCTGTTTCAGAAAAATTTATGTTTAAAAATAGATACCCTTACTTTATAAGATCTGTTTTAATATGTAGTTTTCATTTGTTTACGAAAAAATAGCGTGCCTACAAAATATAGTACAAATTAATTTTATTAAATGTCAACGGCGTTTTTCTAAGAGATTTGAATAAATAAAAAAATTAAACTAGAAAATAATTTCAATTTGGAAATGCTTTGATGATTTATTTGGATATATTTAAATCTCTTTAATATAAAATTATTAATTTTTAACATGTTATTATTAATTTTAGGAGTTAATTCATTATGTGAAAGGGTTAGAATTTTAGTCGTAGATGAAAAGGTCACACACATTTTATTTTCATGATTTTCAAAAATTAACTCCATAATACACACACACACACACACACACACACACACACACACACACACACACACACACACACACACACACACACACACCAAGTTATATGTATTATTTCCTTATATGTAAAACTTTCATCAAATTGTGGTCAACATTGATATTTTATAATTATTTTATATTAAATATGCTATATATTATTGTTAAAACCTAATGGGAAATAGAGTTTTTAGATGAAATAATTAAAACGGCTCATCTTTTGAAATCATTATTTATTTTTAGTAATAACTAAAAACATTATGTTATAACATTTTCAAATTTGATGATAGTCAAATTAATTAATTGCTTTCAAAAGAAGCTTCTTTGTCGGAAAGTATTAAATTTCGTTAAATTTGTTAACAAAATCAAGGTAAAACAATTTACTGGTTAGTAAATCCAGGCCAGCCAGTAGGTGGCGGCAATCGAAATTTCGAGAATTACAACTTTATTAACACAGGTTCTTTTTACAATTATTAATTTTATTATATTTTTTCAATATATATATATATATATATATTATTAATTTTACTGAACTTTTTTAAATGTGTCATTTTAATTCTCAATAATATTATGTACTTTTGTTTTAGTTGTTTATCGTAGAATTCCTAAAGTAAGTCGTTAAGTGCTACAATATTATATGTCGTGTTGATTATAAATGAGCTAATTTTTTATATTTTATATAAAACAATACCTAATAAAAAAAGTATACCTAATAAATATATTTGAATGAAATATAACGAAAGCATATATACATTTTTTGAAACTCATTCATCATTTAGTAAATGTCACTGATAGTGTCCATTTTCATTGATGACATTATTTTATTATTTATTGGTATTGATATAACGGAAAATAAAATGATTTATGTTTTGTAAAATCTATGTGCTCTACAAATATTATGATCTGATACAGTAAAGGTTCCCACCGCTGATGCCTCAAGAATGTTTTAACTGCTTTAAACAATATTAAAATAATATCTAGAAGCTTGCGAAGATTGTAAAAAAATTAGGTCATTTTCTCTTATTTCTCCCAATGTTAAATTAATTTTTACATTTGTAAGAAAGTATATGTTAAGTTATGTGTAGTTTTTATGTTTGAAGTTCGTTACTTCTTTTGATTATAAGTTGAAGTTTGCCGTCAGAGTAAAAGTGGCCTAACTCATATATTTGTCATTGTTAATTTATAATATGTTAAAATTCTTACTTAAACTTGATTTAATGACGGAGAGTAAACGAAAATATATAACTATATAACTAAAACGATTGATAATTTTACACATTTAATGTTTTACTTAAGTTTTCATTGTTATTTATAAAAAAAAGATTTGAAACTTTCTCGTTATAATGTTTCCATAAAAATAGGCGAATATTTCCATTTCAATTATTTATTTGTTAAAATAAAACATGACATTGTCGATGAAAAATATTTTTGTGTTACGTCACTTTTGCGCTGAAAGCCATAAATGACGTCACATTTGATTTGGTGCATTTTTTAATATTTTATTTCTCTATAGTTAAGTATTAAATAAACATAAACAGGAACAAATATATAAGTAACAAATACTAGAGTATTTATGTATTTAATATAATATATAACTTGTTGCTTTTCAACAAAGGGTTTATTTCAACTCTCGATATGAAATATTTTGAGCTATTTTAGGAAATATTCCAAAATTTTAAACAACGCATCAAAATAAAAAGAAATTAATAGTTCACCCGTAGTAATTAGCGATTGTATTTTTTTTTTTATAAAATATGTTTCATATTATGAAATATGGGTTGCCCTATAGAAAATTATTTGATTAGCATGTTATTTTATATGTATATATTTTAGAAAACATTTATAGCTATATATTGGTATTAACTATTAAGTTAATTTTGTTTTTTTTTAATGAAATTACAGATTCAAAATTAGCTTGATCTTATTGGAAATGAATTGAATTTCAATATGTATTCTTTTTTTTTTAAATTCAATGTAATTGGTGTCCTTATTTGGTAATTTTTATTTTCTATAAAAATATAACACGTTCGTTTGACGCACATTTTTGATTTATTACTGGCCAATAGTTATATATTTAGTTTCACGTTCTTCATATCAGTATCGATGAGTCTATTGTATGTATATCTATACATATTTTATATATTGATATTATATATTATAGTATTTAATATATGATATAAATGAAAAGTAGCTCTGTCTGATTGTTATCACGATTTACCGCTGAACAAATTTCGATGAAATTTGGAAAAACATACATAAATAGCTTAATAAGGACAGATATAAGCGACCTCTTAGCCCCGCCACGTTTGCCTTGCGAACAGAGTTTTGCACAAAAACTAGTAATATATAAATGAAAATTGATAGTTTTTATTATTACTTAATCGTTTTTGGTTTTAAAATGGTAAAATGGCGTGTTTCTTATATTTAAATAGGTATTTGAGTTTCTATCAGCCGGCATTAAAGCAACAGTGTGCGCTAGGCGTTATGATTCATACGATACAAAGGTTTTATAGGTATATAAGGTATATATTATACAGTATTACTATTTTATGAGGAGGAACAAATAGATTATTTATTTTATCCTTAGTAAAATGTGGCTGACAGTAAGTTGTTTTATTTTTTACCCTTATAAAGCAGTAATGGGGGAAGATTTCTCGAAAGGAGGGCGCCACACGTATGGCCTATTTACATTTCAGTCTGATTCTTTCTGAGGTTTAGCAATTTATTGTGATATTCCCCTTTTGTATTTGAATTTTGGCTTCTGTTGTATTCGAATCTAACCTGTGCAATGTATTGTACCTGGAAGTTAGACCAGCTGAAGGAAGAATTTAGAAGGAGAGGTGCATTCTGCGGTGGTCCTGACTGACTGATGGATCAACACACAGCCTAAACTGCTGGTCGTAGAAACATGTAATTTGGAGGACGTATTCCTTATAGGATATAATGTAGACATCCGATAAAGGATTTTTCGAAATTCATCCCCTAAATAGGTAAAATAGAAAATTCATGATTGTATGAAACTCTGTCATTCTTAATCTATACTAATATTATAAAGAGGTAAAGTTTGTGATTTATGAGGTTGTGACGTTATGGGGGGAGGGGGGGGGGGTAATATCTGCAACTACTGAACCGATTTAGACACTGCACAATTTCTCATTTTAATTAAATTTTAAATAAAATTATATATTACTTATAGTTGTAAAAGCTTTACAGTATGCCGAGGGCTATACTCGTAGTTTATTGTTACATCTGGTAGTATAAAATGGCAAAATCCTTCCCCATTAATATTTAATAATATAAATTTAATAATATTTATTTTAGTTTATTTAAAATGGAATTCTATCCATTAAGTCTGAGTAAATACAGTATACACTATATAAGAGGAAGTGCTAACGGCTGAATAAGCATTCCAAACTGGATCAAAAATCAAAATCGGAGAACATACAAACAGCGCTGTCTTTAATCGTGTAGTATAAAACTAAAATGTTTGCTTTTTACTAATACATACATACATACTTTTTACATATACGTAACTTACCGACGTAACAAAACTACACATTATGTCATTTTAAAATAATCTAAAATAAACAAATTATTTTAAAATATACTTAAATTATTATGTTAAAAATAACTTTTTTAAATATTTTAAAAAGTAATAAATAATTATTATTTTAATTTTTTTGTAAATAAAATCGTTCTTTATCTTCACTCATTCAACTACGTTAAATGGAACGGTGCTAACTGTCATGCTTCATTCAAATTCAAAAAAATCATTCAACGTAAGATTTTCGTGGTGCGTGGTGTTGTAACTTGTACTAGCGTCGCATAAAATGGCTTTTTACAATTTTAAATATTGTCTTCTAATAATTTGTTTATCGTGTATCGGTAAGTGACTTTATGTATTTAATAGATTATTTTAGCATTGAAATATGGTTTCATTGTCTTATTGTACCGGAACGTTAGTTTCAATTGTTAGTGTCTCAGACCAATAAAGTATAGACGGAGCCGTTGTGAACAAATGAGACGAAATAAGTGAGGCAAAGTTTTGGCTTTGTGTGCGTAACTCGGTGTAAGAAGTGTAGATTTGCGCAAGTGTGCTAGAGAAAAATGTTGCAAGCGTTGTGCTTACGACTCCCAAGTGCGAGAGATATACTTTGGTGAAAAGTTTTATTACAGGTAGTATTGTTTTTTATTTGCCTTGGTTACATGAAATGAAAGGTAAATTAGTTTAATGAGTCATTTATTCTTATATAAAAATAATTAATAATTTAACATTAGGTATACACAAAACTTACATATATTAGAATAATTATAACTAATTTGACGCGTTTTTCTTTTTAAGGCCTTTAACCTTCTGATTAAGTGTTTTGATTTTGCGTGCATGAATTTGGTAACGTAATTTATACTTTCTAGCTTGTTTTCTGAGTTTATTTCTTTTGAGAGTGTCAAATATTGATTCTAGTTCGAAATTACGGTTTTTATGTTTAATAATATACCTAATATACTCGAAAACTAAAATACAATAATGAGATTTAAAAAAAATAAGTTGTAACGTGTACAAAAATCACAACTTCCCTTTTGGGAAAACACAATGTTCTTATCTTGCAACATTGACACAATGGCGTCTAGAATTCGTGTTCGGAGAATTATGTTAAATATTTTTGCGATTTTGTTTAAATTAAACAGAAAATCAGTTACTTGTGAAAAGTTATCCCAGAACACTTTTTTCGAAAACATGAATTGTTTTTGCAGCAGTTTATGACACAGGACGGCTTAATTTCGCAATTATTATTTTACCAAAAGCACGTTACGCGCTCTCACTCGCTCGCGGCCGACTACCGAGCCGCCGAGCGGCCGTCTTCATATTACTTGCCTCACTTTTTGTGCGCAATGCTCTATCTATACTTTTTTATTGGTCTGAGGTTAGTGTTTACTACTTGTGCCAATTTTGCATTTTTAAATTTAAATTAAATGTCAGTCTCAGTACAGTCAGTTTGTAAGGTATATACCGCTCGGTTATAGGCTCTGAAGGCAGTTCTGCCACACAGAAAATTTCAGTTATATTACTAGCTGGGACTATTTATAATACCATTTCAGGCGTTTATCAGTACTTTTTTCACAAATTGCTTTTTTTGAATGGTAAGTCCTTAGGTAAGTAATAAGTGTATAAACAAAGAGATGAATAATATAAGCTATAAAAATAGTATTAATATGTAATTTGATCATGTTTTTATATGATGTCCGTTTTTCTAATGAATACCTAGGTGTTGGTTTCAAGGTTGTTTATTGGCACTACGAATAAATAGATTGTAATTATTTGAAGAGCAAATATGGTGTTTTCAACAACCAATCATTAATATTTTTATCCTTATTTTCTTGTTTAGATAATTTGCAAATTTTGTGTATGTCTTGATAGTTTTTATCCACGTCATCTCTCACTTGCATTATCTATATCTATATTTTTTGGAAAATCTTCTTGAAATAGTAATTATTATCGATACAGAGACCGAATCTATAGTTTTTAGAATTTTGTCTGTCTAACTGTCTGTGTCTGTTAGCGCATCACTGGAAAACCACTGGACAGATTTTGATGAAATTTAGTATGATGATAGCTGGCTATACGGGTCAACATATAGGATACTCTTTACTATGGGAAAATATCTCATCTCTCAGAAATATATACTAAACGTTAAAACATAAGTAGAGATGAACCCGAGCGGAGGGAGGGTGAACCGCTTGTACATCAATAAAAGTCTTATGAGGTAGGTATATCTTTTCTAATTTTCAATCAAAACCTTTAAACTATTACAGGATGAAGAACTAACTAACCCACTTAAATTTAATGTCTGTCCGTCATATATATTATTATATATTTTTTCCTATTAATGCTCTAATTCTGATATTTTTTTTAGCCAATGGACAACGTACGCCTACGATTACCCACATAACTCAAAATCAAATTAGAGATATTGGAGGTCAAGTCGATTTGAACTGTTCTGTCCATTATGCAGACGATTACCCTGTTCTTTGGGTATGTATTCAACCCTTCTTAACGTCACTTGGAACGGGCCTCCCTCATACGAAGGGCCCAAGGGGATCCAGCCATAGTCCACCTAGCTGGCCAAGTGCGGATTGGTGGACTTCACATGTCTTTCGATAACTTTTTATATTATCTCAGACATGCAGGTTTCCTCACGATGTTTTCCTTCACCGTAAGACAAGTGGTAATCATGTTGGAAATGATTCGAACATGAAAATATCAGAGGTGCGAGACCCGGGATTTGAAGCCGCTTCTCTTAGTTACATATTATTTTCTGTTTTTTTAGCTCAAACATGACTACCTAAGATCTCAAGAGATACTCCCGCTTTCCTCCGGCTCCGCTTTGATTATACGTGATTCAAGATATTCGTTAAGATTCGACCCAGCATCCGGAACTTATACTTTTTCAGTAAGTATTTATCTTAATTATCTTTTTGACTTATTTCTTACTTTAGAAAAACAAAACAAATCTATCCCACGGGAACCGTACATTTTTCCCGGATAAAAAGTAGCCTATTTATTATTCTGATGTATGTATGAGCTATATTTTTGTAAAGTTTCATTAAAATCCATTCAGTAATTTTTACGTGAATGGGTAACAAACATCCATACATCTATATAACCAGACATGAGACATCCTTACATTCTCACAAACTTTCGCATTTATAATAGGTACCTATTAGTAGGATAACTAACAAGTTCCTTTATAATATATAATTTATTTTTATGTGCAATAAATAAAGAATGGGTATATATATATATATATATATATATATATATATATATATATATATATATATATATATATATTAATAATATATAACATTTTGTTAGGTGTGAATTAATGAGTTCAGTAATTTTAGGGTTCCGTAAAGGCAAAAACCCTTTAATTTTCGTTATGTCCTTATGTCAAAGCCATTTCACTCGAGAAACTATTGTTACTATAGAAGAATAATTTTGAAGGCAGGTCTCATGTGGAGCGCTATAGGCAATCTTTTAGTCAATTACATATTTATAAAAGTTTAATATAAGAAATCTTGTATTAAAAACTTCAAAAACTATAACACTTATCTATACCTACTAATATTATAAAGAGTTAAAGTTTGTGAATTGTGAGTTTGTGACGTTGTAGGAGGTAATCTCTGGATCTACTAAATCGATTTAGATGAAATTTGGTAAGAAGATAACTTGAGACCCTGGGAAGAGTATAGGCTACTTTTTATCCCGGAAATCATCCCTTAAAGGGGTGAAAATAGGGATGAAAGTTTGTATGGGCAATTAACCTAGGGACCAACCCGAGCGAAGCGAGGGTGAGTCGCTAGTTATTTTATAAAAATAAATATTTAAAAATTCCGATAATTGTATTTTTTGAGGAGATTTCTAGAAACTTTGAATTACATTTTTTTACGGATTTTCAAAATACCTGATTATAATAAACTAGCAGTACCCGCGGCTTCGCTCGCGTTCAAACGGAGTCGAAATAGACATTGGACTAACGTCTAATGATTTGTAATTACCTTGTTAACCTCGATACTTGGGTGCTTCCGTGGTAATGTCTTTTTTCCATACATCTTATTGTTTTATTTCAATACTAAAGTATTATGATTTCTGACAATAAACATATTCTAATCGGAATAAAAAATAGCCCATAGTACTAGTAAAAGAATTTTCAGAATCAAAACAGTAGTTTTAGGGATTACCCCTACATAGTCCAGTCAAATAAGGTATGAAATCAAAATTTGGTACTCACTAAACTTTGCATTTTTGATATAATTTAGGTTTAATGATACAAAAACAATGTATAAAGGTTTTCGTGTCTGCAACCCCCTTTTTTTTTTTTAACGTTGGGAAATGCATTTACGCACGAGGTGTGGGACTCACCGGCAAAGCCAGTACTACCCACTAAAACCCAACAAAACCTTCCTCCGTCTTAATGGGGCGTCGCAGGATCGCTTACGCATTCAACTACGACGCCCCGACGGCAGGTCTGCCGAAGCAGACCACAACAACCACGGGGTTGTTCCACAGTCCACTCTGCTATCAGAGAAGTACCAGGAGCAACCCGCATGGTACACTGCCCTCCGAAGAGGGCCACCTCCCACCGACCACCGAAGTGGGCCACCTCCCTGTGCGTTTCAGAAAAAAGTTTTAATAAAAATGTGTAGAGCTTAAATTTTTCCATAAAAAGTTTCATGACTTTTTTTCCTCTGGTCAAAATTAGCAGAGTTAAGGAAGTTTTAAGTTTAAGGAATGAACGTAAATTAAAAAAAAAATGTAGGTTGTAGAAAAATAAGCGAATCATATATTTTTTGTTTTAAATTGCTTAAAAAATTTAATATATATATAAATTTTCTATATAATATATAATCTTATTTTTTATTCCAGATCAAAAATATTAAAGAAACAGACGCTGGATTATACGAATGCCAAGTACCCATATCTGCCGATAACAAAATAAGAGCTGAAGTGGAACTGCAAGTGCGGAGACCACCAATCATATCCGATAACTCCACACGTTCTGTTGTAGCTAGAGGAGAGAGTTAGTATTAATTGTTTTTTTTTGCATTCCATACCTGAAAGGTGTTAACTAAATCCTATTACTAAGCTTCCGCTCTCCGTCCGACTGTCTATCAGTGGGCTGTATCTTATGTAACCGTAATAGGTAGAGTTGGAATTTTCGCAGAGTGTGTATTTCTATTGCCGGTATAACAAATAATAAAAAAAAGCAAGATGGCGAATTTCAAAATGACCGTTCAAAGACTTGCTAGGTTCTCTCAAACATGCCGTTTTCTTCGCGATGTTTTCGTTCACCATAGGTTCAAGTGATAATCATGTTGAAAATGATTCGCACATGAGACCCGGGATTTGAACCCGCCTCACTCGGATTCCCAAGAGAATGCGTTATCACTGCGCTATTATTATATCTTAAAAAGGAAATCATTAATAAATATCATTCATTTTCAGAGGAAACATCCTAAAGATCACAGCTGTACACAAAGAAGATAGAGGCACATATTACTGTGTAGCGGAGAACGGTGTGGGCAAAGGTGCCCGCAGGAACATTAACTTGGAAGTTGAATTTGCACCGGTCGTGACAATCCCACGCCCACGACTGGGCGTTTATTTTATTAAAAAAATCACTTAATAATGTATGAATAATAATGATAGATGGTATAATAAATCTAATATGAAGAACAAATGTATTTTTTTATTACCTTTGCTTTGTTTTGCTTTAAATTATATTAATCCTTCTTTTGTTTGTACTCTCTTTAGCTTTTTAGGGCTACGTACCCGAAGGGTGCCAACGCGACTAAAATCCTTTGTGTCGAGTCCGACTCGCACTTGACCGGTTTTTAATATTAGTATGTCCTGGCCGAATACTCAATGTGAGCTTAGCTGGTCTCATTGATATAGCCCGTGACTATGTAAATGAGATCAGCCATTTGTAATGCGTATGCGCAGATACAAGTGCATTCTCTATTCCTTTAAGTTTAATATCAACTGTCAGAAACTGCCTTAATCTATACATATAATAAAATTGTAACTAAGTCGAATCTGTACATTAAATATTTTTTAGAAAATCTAATTGAAATAGACATTAATATCGTTTTTAGAATTCTTGTCTGTCTGTGTCGGTTACCGCATCACGAGAAAATCACTGGACAGATTTTGATGAAATTTGGCATGGTGATAGCTGGTTATCCGGGTCAACATATAGGATATTTTTACCGCGGGAAAATATCTCATTTCTGAAAAAAATACTAAAACTCCAATGTAAGAGTATACTAATATGTAAAACCTAAGAATTTAGTTTTTGGTCATCTGAACGCGGGCGGAGCCGCGGGCAATGCTAGTTTTAAATATATTAGTGAATTTTATTTTATTTATTGGCATCTCCAACGCTAGAACCCAAAAAAACCGTATACTAATACATTATTATCGAAACTTAACGTACATGCACCCACAATTATAGGAGAACACAACATGCTTCATATTTTTTTAAAATATCTTATGACTTTATATAATTACATAAAATTTTAATACTTAATAATAAAAAACATGTGTGTTTGTACTTATTTATATACGCACGTAAAAAGTTATTTGTTTTTTTAAAACATTTAAATAAAAGCTTGTTAGTTAGTTGTTTTTTTTTAATATTTTAACTTTTTTTAATGTTTTTTGTTTAAGAAAAATACAAAATATATTTGCTATACCATTTTTCCTTCGAAAATAAGAAAAATAGTAATAAAATTTGCAAACATTGAAATAGGTAGGTACCAACTGTGTGTCCAAGATCCTACGACATAAACGTATGAAAATGAGTAATTTTTAACCTGATACGGTGCAATTATGGAATGAATTTTTAATTAAATAAAAAAAAAATCTTAGACAATACAATAATAATAAAAATTCTTAGATAATATTTTACATCCATACTAATATTATAAATGTGAAAGTGTGTTTGTTTGTCCTTCTTTCACGTCGGAACGGAGTGAAGGATTGGCGTGACTTTTTGTTTGGAGATAGGTGGAAGGCTGGAGAGTGACGTAGGCTACTTTTTACGGCGGGAAATTATCTAGCACACTAACGCTCGCGCTAAAACTACAAAAATATCTAAAAAGGTAGTTTCATAAAAATTTTACCTTTTTTACCCCTTTGTTGAATGAATTTCAAAAAACGCTAAAACATGTATTTATTTAATTTTATTGAAGAGCATTAATACCAAGTTTCAAGTAATTCTGATCATAAATATTTTTTTGGATAGTACTATAACGTGTTTTCCCGTGGGAATGAAATAATCTCCCGCGGTAAAAAGTAGCATATGCTACTTTCCAGTTATCCAACTATCTCCACACAAAAAATCACGATAATCCGTCACTCTATGTGGACGTGAAAGAAGGACAAACAAACAAACAAACAAACAAACAAACAAACCCACTTTCAACCTACAATATTTTAAGATATGAAACTCTAATAGGTAAATATGTATTTTACGTATATATTAGATTTGCTTTGCATCGGCTGGCATCGACTTCGAAAATATCTGATTAGGTATCTATTCTAAATAAAAACCCCCGTTTAGTTATATTTTACATTTTAGTGCCTGGAAGTCGAGTTTTTTTTAAGTTTTTATATCTATTTAAATCGTACTTAGAGGCACGCGAGAAAGGCGAAGGTGAGTCGCTAATAGATAATATGGATTTTTTTTATGGGACTAAGGAGGCAAACGGGCAGGAGGCTCGCCTGATGGAAAGTGATCACCGCCGCCCATGGACATCTGCAACACCGCAGGGCTTGCAGATGCGTTGCCGGCCTTTAAGGAAGGAATACGCTCTCTTCTTGAAGGTGGCCAGGTCGTAGATAACACATAATTATCCGACTGCAAGGAAAGGGTTAGAACCACTCGATGGGTTTCTTTAATTAAAGTATCGCTAGATTCGTCTCATTAGTTCAAGTGTTCTTAGATAGGTGACATAAAAAAAAATGGGGGCTGCTAGATTCCGTAATGTGAAAAAGAAAAAAAATGAAAATCGACGAACTATGTCAAGTGTGGTATCGTTGAATAGGTATTTAAAAATCATTTTTAGGTTTCTTTCATCATTTTTCATTTTAAGTAACAGTTTAGGATATGTATAATGGTTTAAAGTTGGTTAACAACCATTCTCGCTAATTTTCCTACTTAAAAATAATTAAAACAGCTGTAAATAAATAAATATATTATAAAAATAAAAAAAACCCGACGGAGACATACTTACGAGTATATATATCTCGCGGCAAGGATGAAACTTGTATGTCTCCGACTGCATAATATATTCCATCGTAAACTTGTTTTCATCTTTTAGTTAGCTTTTATGCAGTCGGGTTTTTTTATTTTTATAATATATTTATTTATTAGAAGTTGTAGTAGGGGAGCCCAAGAGGGGATTTTCTGTAGTTACTCGAGCGCGGCAGATTAACATATAAGAGGTTACCTTGCACTCTATTGAGTACTTTCACCATAATATAAGTCTTCTATATAAAGGGGCGCGTCTAGGGAAGCCGATTAAAATATTTAATTAAAAATGTTTTGATAAGGTAGAAATACTTGAAACCGTCAGATTAAGGTGTGGTAGGCTAGTCACATCCTGAAAAGTGTCCAATTCAATAATCTGCCGATTTGCACACGCCGAAGAGGCAAAAATCGACTATAAAGTTTATGACGATTTTTGCCTCTTAGGCTTGTGCAAATCGGCAGATTATTAAATTGGACACTTTTCAGGATGTGACTAGACTTTTTTTTTTTTTTTTTAACGTTGGGAAATGCATACACGCACGAGGTGTGGGACTCACCTGCAAAACCAGTACTACCCACTAAAACCCAACAAAACCTTCCCCCGTCTTAATGGGGCGTCGCAGGATCGCTTACGCATTCAACTACGACGCCCCGACGGCAGGTCTGCCGAAGCAGACCACAACAACCACGGGGCTGCTCCACAGTCCACTCTGCTATCAGAGAAGTACCAGGAGCAACCCGCATGGCACACTGCCCTCCGAAGAGGGCCACCTCCGACCGCCCACCGAAATGGGCCTCCTCCATGTGCGTTTCTTGGCTTCGCGCCCGGTTGGGTTGCCGGGCACTACTGAGCCCCCCCACCACGACAAGGTGAACCCACGTTGGGGGGGAGGATGTGACTAGCCTACCACACCTTAATCTGACGGTTTCAAGTATTTTTACCTTATCAAAACCTTTTTTAAATATTTTAATCGGCTTCCCTAGACGCGCCCCTTTATATAGAAGACTTATATTGTGGTGAAAGTACTCAATAGAGTGCAAGGTAACCTCTTTTATGTTAATCTGCCGCGCTCGAGTAACTACAGAAAATCCCCTCTTGGGCTCCCCTACTATTGTTATCTGTAAATCGTAACATTTAACAACACGTTTGGCTTAGTTTGTAGTGACCCTACTTGCTGCGCCAGCGGTCGCGGGTTCGAGTCCCGCTGGGGGCATGCATTTGTGTGATGAGCACGAATGCTTGTAATCCAGTCATGGGTGTTTATATTCATAATATGTACCTACATATTTAAAGTTATATATATGTAGTGTATGAACTATCTGGTATCCATAACACAAGCCTCGTAGCTTACCATGGAACTAGATGGTGCTGTGTGTTAATGTCCCAACATCTTTATGTATATTCATTTATTTATTTAACTGGAAATATATATACATGTTAAATTTAAATTTTAATTCAAATTTTTTGTTCAGTGACTCCTAGGATTACCGTTTATACATTTTAATTCTCCAATGTTACGTACAATGAAGAAGACATATATTTAAAATGATAATATCTATTACTAAACTCTTGATTAGTGGAAGGCTCTCTGCCGTTGATAGTCAACGTGTCCACATATAAACAACGTATTTTCTAGTTTTTGTATCTTGGAGATCAGTGTAAAGGTAAAATTTGTTTCTTTTCTGAAAAATATATGTTGTAAAATTATTTATGTCATATTTTTCAAGTATATTTTAATAAAATAATTCATTTTTGTTTTAAAATATCTTTATTTAATCAACATAAATCATAAAATTAAGTACATTTCTAGTGTAAGTTTAATCCTAGAAGTACATTTATCTATACATACATACATATATATATATAATAAAACTGTAGTGATCGAATGTCTGTACATAGGAAAAAATGCTAAAAACTGAGTCAGGGGGATGTAAGAAGAGAAATAGAACAATACCAGATTTTTTTCATTTTTTTGTTTCTCTGTCTGTCTGTTTGTACGGGCTAATCTCCGAAACTGTTGGACCGATTAAATGAAATTTTGCATGGTAGTACCTTATATCCCCGGTCAATATTTTAGATACTTTATATATATATATATATATATATATATATATATATATATATATATATATAAAGTATTTTGTCGTATCTAAGTCAATTTAGACTGGTCGTTAGCTTTTTCATTCGTTATTTAGGCTTTAGTTATAGAAAAAACATTAGATGTTTATAAGTTATATATGTAAGCGACGCGATATATTATCTGTAATTTTCTTATATAAATCTTTATGTTGGTAATACTTTTAAATATTGTGTGTTGGTAATGCTTTTAATAGTGAGACATTCGTCCTCTAACCGCCGCTGCGATCGGCACGTTTAAGTTTTAAATAAATCTATCCTCATCCATAAGTGTGTTTTCATATCGGAACATCAGATCGTCTATAGCTGGTCACTTCGAGCGGATCTTTAAATGTTCCACGCGCCAAAAAGGATGGTGAACACCCGGAAGATGTATGAAAGTATGGTAAAGAAGGATGAGGAGCATCAGGAGTCCAGGTTATCCGTACAAGAGGTTCCAGTACAACCATATATATATATATATATATATATATATATATATATATATATATATATATATATATATATATATATATATATATAATTTGATTTTTTTAGAGATGGCTTTAAACGAGCAAACTGACGTCAAGATTGACGACCATCCACACGTAGTGGAAGGCTCGGAAGAATCTGAGATACAGAAGATGTTTTCTGGCTCGACGGTATTCTTGACTGGGGGTACAGGATTTCTAGGAAAACTTTTGGTTGAAAAACTTTTAAGGTGAGTGTTTTTCATTTATAAGCGGAAATGTAAATAATATGATATATACAAATTTATTTTTCTGAAAATCCAGTGCATAACTTTATTTTTATAATAATCATCTCCAATAGATGCAATATTTCTCATTTTGATCACCAGTCTAGTAACATTATATCACGCAAATAAAGAGACTGGTAGGCTAAGTGTCTTCAAATTCCAGGTCTCGCACCGCTGATATTTTCATGTGCGAATTATTTTCAACATGATTACCACTTGTCTTACGATGAAGGAAAACCTCGCGAGGAAACCTGCATGTCTGAGATAACCTAACAAGTTTTCGAAAGACATGCTCAGTCAGCCCACACTTGCCCAGTATGGTGGACTATGGCCTGATCCCCAGCATTATAAGCAGAAAGACCTATTATGTCTATCTGTATACCTGAATAAATTATAATAAAAATGGCAGCGTCATATGTTTTGATTAATAAATAAACTATATCAAAATGTAAAAATTATTGCTCGGAGTGCCAATGGATATGAAAACCAGACTAATAATAATTTCAATTTACAAATTAATTAATTAATTAAATTAAATTAATTATTAATACTAAATATAATTAATTTAAAAATTAATAAAATAAATACGTTATTCCAAAGTTTTAAGTTTTCACTTCTGTTGGCAGTCCTCATGACTGTCTATTTTTTTCTATTGCAGATCGTGTCCTGATATAAAAAAGCTATATCTATTAACTAGGCCAAAGAAAAATAAAGATATAAAGAAGAGATTGCAAGAGCAGTTTGATGATGTGGTATGATCTTATAACTCGTACATGGGTGAAATAAAGAAGCAAAACATGATCTAAATACAAAATTTTATCCAAATCGTTAGAGTCGTTTCCGAGATAAACGAAATTTTATATATTACATACAAGAATTGCCAATTTAATATTATTTGATACTAGCAGAACCCGCGGCTTCGCCCGCGGTCAAATTATTGGTATAACAGCTGTTTGAGCTTACTAACATATTTACACACTAAAATATATATTTTTACGTTTTCGCAATACTTAATTATATGCAAAAATAAATTCGTGTTTCATATTATAGTCCGGTCAAATTAGACATACAATTAGTGATTAAATAACAAAAACTCCGGCAAAGCTGAATTTTGGTAGAGAACTTAAGTACATCAGTAGAAATAAATTGCCAAAAGTCCCCATCGATCCCCTGGGTGCTAAAAAAGTTATTTAAGGTCAAAGTTCAAAATTTTAGGTTTTTTGGATATTTCTCGAAAACGGTAGGTAAGTTTTATCGAAAATAATTACATATTTTAATACAAAAATGGTCGTAATACTTTTTTTCCTAACATTAATCCGTTTTCGAGAAAAAAACCTTGAATAACTGTTTCAGCACACATGAGATCGATGGACGATGGGGAATTTTGGCATTTTATTTCTACTGCTGTACCTAAGGTCTCTACCAAAATTCAGCTCTGTCGTATTTTTTGTTGTTTGATCACTATATATTTGTGTATCTAATTTGAACGGACTATTATTTCTTAAAGATATTGTGGAAAATAAAATTAAATTTTGCGATCGTTACTGAAAATATCCAGTAACTTAAAAGATTTTTAACGTATATTGTATGTACGTAAATTCATTTTCGTTTAAAGTATTTAGCAAGCTCCACTACTTCTATTTTTTTGCACATTTTTCAAAAATACTGACGATCAGCTTTAATTTGCATTGCATTTACTTTTGTCATATCGAATTTGAATTATGACCTACATTTACATAATCACTCCAAATTCATTTAGCTCAAAAAACCGCACACAGGAAGCTAGAATTTAATTAGAAATTGAAATATATTTATTTAGTAACAATTTTTATACGTACCTATGCAGTAAAACAATGGCTACGATGACACTGTAAAAGTATAAACTGCGTTGCGGATATCATCGTCCGCTTTCGTATTACTTGTATATTTATACTATACTAGCATTACCCGCGGCTTTGCCCGCGTTAAAACTACTAAAAAAAACAAACTCTTTGGCTTTATGTTATAAGTAACTTATAATAATTTGATGACTGTAATGATTTTCAAATGTGTCAGTATGATTTTGGCTCGTACATAGAGAGTTTGGTACCGTCGAATATTGTGTTGTTTTTACTAATATCTTTATTCTTTACAAACTAAAATGTTTTTTTACGTTTTCACAATACATACTTTATTATTTGCAAAAATCAGCTTGTGTTTCTTAAATATATTATGGAAAACAAATTTAATTTAAGTGATCGTAACACAAAATATCCAGTATCTTAAAATATATTTAACGTAAATTCTGTACATTCATTTAAAATAGTCAGCAAGCTCCACTAACTCTATTTTTGGCGACACATTTTTCTACTTCATCTTTCCAAAGTTCGAGGAAGAGAGTACAATGATACAACTCGCTTACATGTTTAACTGCCTCGGTTGTGTAGTGGATAGCATGTACGGCTGCACACTCGGAGGTCCTGGGTTCGAGTCCCGGGTCGGGCCAAGTTTAGTTATTGAGTCTTCCTCTATAGTAAGCCTCAGTAATAGCCCGGAGTTGGGAAGTTGGCGGTGTTTCACCCCCGTGCCTCGGATAGCACGTAAAGCCGTCGGTCCTGCGTCTTAACTCTCACTGGCGTGTCGAGCAGTCGTCCCACCGGAGTATGAGAGTGACAGGAATAGAGAGTGCACTTGTGTCTGCGCGTACACTTGTGCACTATAATATCTCCTGCGCAGTTGGCTAGTCTCAATGAGATTGGCCGCCGTGGCCGGAATCTGTCAGGAGAACATCACATGTTTACGACTTTAGAATCATGTAACTCGGCTAATAAGGCCTTTTAACTAACAAGCTATTAGCTAACATCTTCTACCCTATGTTATATACACCTAAAACTTACATTCATCCTCCTTTTTTAAGTTAAATCACCCGTTACATAAAATATAAAGTGCCATTCTTTTTTCTTTCGGCTTCCCTCATATGGAGTAAAAATTGCTCACTTTTAATTTCCATTGAATTTATATGTTGCCATATCGACAATCATTCCTAATATTATATGTGCATTTATGATATCACTCTAGATTCAGTTAACTTAGTCTACGCAAAAAAAAATCGCGAACAGGAAGTTAGTATTATATATAGTTGAGAACTTCTTTGTATACCACTCTGCCGGCTATTCTGTCTGATTCTGCATTTTGCAAAAATACTATAGAAGAAGCAATCCTATCTTATGTAGTAATCCTATCTATGCCTGCTACTTGTAACGACTGGTCCTGAGATTTATCAATGGTTATTGCAAAGCAAACTTTAAGGAGCAATTACAATACATTAAATTCACAGGCGTACTCAGAGGTTATCAGTGGTTCCTCCGACTCTGAGCACATCCGTCCAACACAGTGGCCAAGTTAAAATGTTTTATAGATTACTCGCAGTCTAGACCCGTTACATAGCTTAGGTGGCGTATTCATTACAGGTGTGCCAACCCTCAGAAAGAGTTTATGAGATAAAAACTTTTTAACAAAAACATAAAAACCGACTTCAAACAAAAGCACTAAAAAGTAAAAAATAACTGATTGGTATTTTTCATTTACTATACATACCTAATCAAATATTTTCAACTATACATACCTAATCAAATATTTCGTAAGTGGAATTTAACTCGGGTGAGATTGAACGGGACTTTAAACGTAGCGTAAGCCGTTTTACCACCTTCTAAACGTGCACTAGCATTTCCAGATGAGGTCACAGCTAATTTAATCCTCCGATTACTTTTTAATTTGGCCAAAAGCAATTTTAATTAACAAAAAAAGCTTTTTTAAGTATTTAACTGTTTTGTTAAATATGGACTAAGATCCCGCTGCGAGATTGCCATGCTTATAGCTTGTTTAATCAAAATCATTTTTTTTATATACAATAATAAAATGTTTTGACCGGGGTGCCTAGTAAAATGTCCTCGCTGGTATGTTTAATTAAATAAATAATAATTATGATCAGAATTACTTGAAACTTGTTATTATTAGACTTCAATACAATTAACCAAATAAGTGTCTTAGCATTTTTCAAAATTCATCTCATAAGGGGGTAAAATAGCGGATGAAAGTTTGTATGAAACCTACCTTTTTAGATTTTTTTGTAGTTTTAGCGCAAGCGAAGCCGTGGGTTCAGCTAGTATATATATATATATTTATAAATTAATATTTTTAGTTATATGATGAACTAAGAAAGAAAATGCCAGATTTTAAAGAAAAAATCGATATTGTTGAAGGAGATATGAGTCAAATAAATATGGGACTAAATGATGCGGATCGAAGCAAGCTTATAAATGAGGTAAAATTTGTTCTAGTAATTTCGATGCCTCTCTGGAAATGTTTTGACAACTGTCTTAGGATGTATAAAAAATACTTCAGACGTGTCTTTTAAAATATTAATACTTAGGCCACCGAGCTTCGCTCGGAGTTTTTGGTCAAAGGTACAATTTTCTTTAAAAAAAAAACTAAAAACTTGAATAAATAGAAAAAAAAAAACAAAATAAGTTATACCTTTGTATCCGACCGGGATTCGAACCTGGACACCTATGATTGTCAATAAAGAGTAAGTAAAGAAAACCGCATGAGAATTCGAAAACACGCGTTTTCCCAGACATAAGACTAATCTAGCTCGATTTATCGCCCCCGAAACCCCCCGTATAACAAATTTCATGAAAATCGTTGGAACCGTTTCCGAGATTCAGATTATATATATACAAGAATTACTCGTTTGAAGATATGAGATTTTGGGTGTACTAACGTTACACACTCCCCTATAATAAAACTAGCGGCTACTACTATTTACGTTTACGTTATACTAGTTACGTTTACGTTATACTAGTTACGTTTTAGCGTTTAGTATAGATTTTTCAAAGATGAGATATTTTCCCACAGTAAAAAGTATCTATATGTTGACCCGGAGAACCAGCTATCATCATACCAAATTTCATCAAAATCTGTCCAGTGGTTTTCTCGTGATGCGTTCCCAGACAGACACACAGACAAAAATTCTAAAAACTATAGATTCTAATAAGTATAGATTAGATAATAATGACTAATATCAATAAGAATTAACATTTTCCAAAAAATATTTAATGTACAGATTAGGCTCAGTTACAATTTTGTTATATGTATAGATTGTAACTGATCGCTATTTGCACATGGAAGATATTTGAGAAAAACTATTATTGGGGGTCTTTACTTCAGTCTTAACTATTACACTCTCTATTTCACTCTAAATAAAAACCCCCGTTCAGTAATTTTTTCTTTTTAGTGCCTGGAAGTCGGTTTTAAATATTTTTTTAAGTTTTTATTATATGTTTATTTTTCAGGTCAAATTTATTTTCCACGGCGCCGCAACTGTTCGCTTCGATGAAGTATTAAAGAAAGCTGTGGAGATCAACGTGCGCGGGACGAGAGAGATACTAAAGCTAGCACGTGCATGTACCAAACTACGTGCATTTGTCTATATTTCAACCGCTTACAGGTATATGCTATTTGTAAATTCATTGTATTCAGGCCCTTTTAACATCCCACTGTTGGGCAAGGGCTTCCCTTCCATACGAGGGGGATCAAGCCATAGTCCACCACGCTGGCCAAGTGTGGGCTGACGGACTTCACATATCTTTCGAAAACTGGCTAGGTCCTCTTAAACATGCAGGCTTCCTCACGATGTTTTCCTTCACCGTGAGACAAGTGGTAATCATGTTGGATATGGTACGCACATGAAAATATCAGAGCTGCGAGACCCGGGATTTTAACCAACTTCACTCCGTTTCCCAAATGAACGCGTTACCACTAGGCTACCACTGCCTTCTTATGCTTACGTAAATTACATATTTTAATATTCCCTACACGACCGCGGACACGCCGGCGTTTTACAGTAAGCAATAGATTTCTTAGAAATTAATTTATTTTTTAGAAATTTACCTGGAGGGGATAATAATGATATCTCTTCTTCTGTTGTATATTCCTGTCCATTCACCGATGTTGTGTACTCACGATTTCTTTCTGCAACCCACACCTCTTCTTCCGGGAACTTTTCATATCGTAATTGTATGAGTTCTTATCTTTCGTGCCTGAACACGTTCCCGAGGTATGAAACTTGACGGTCAGCAACGGATCTTGTTTTTGATTGAGGCGTCGCAGTACTTAAGCATTCTTTACTCTATAAGTGTATCTAAAGGCTAAAATGCGTTCATCTCATCTCTATAGATTCAATACATTGGCTTTCTTAATGGTCTACGCCATGTGGACGTCCACGGTCCACGGTAATGTAACCATACCAGAAGTCGAATGAGTTCCATTTCTGCTCTACCAAACCTCTCAAATTTTGAATCCGCTGCCCACTAATTTATTTCCTTCGTCACCTTCACTTTGATGTCGGGTTCTGTAAATTTCTTTACATCTTAATGTCCTTGTCCTTTCTTGGTTGCCTTAATGTCCTGAAATTCTTGGTATTTTTTATTCTTTGTGGTTATCACCTATGTGGTGCACTGGTGGTGGTTGAGCACTATGATTATTCAAAGGGTATAATTATGAAAAATGAAAATACTTAGGAAAAGATGAGACTCTAAACTCAGCTTATTATTGCATTCTGTTGCGACGTTTAGGAGAAAAAATTAAAAAAAACGTCCTGGTTTGCTGAGAAGAAAAGTTTTGTTTAACCAGGATAATGCGCGAGTTCACACATCAGTTGTGCGCATGGCAGAAATCCATCAGTGTGGCTTTGAATTGCTTCCTCACGCTCCATATTCACCAAATCTGGCTTCATCAGACTTCTATCTATTTCCTAAGTTAAAAAACCACTTAAGAGGTCAAAAAAATCTACAAATCAACACATAAAAGCTGCTGCCGATGCGTTTTTTGAGGGATTAAATGAAGATTTTTTTATAAGATAGATAAATCCGGTATAGAAGCGTTACCAAGCCGATGGAAAAAGTGTATTGAACTTGGAGAAGAATATGTTGATAAATAAATTACTCAATTAAAAAATTATAGATTTCCAAACGCTCCTCGTATAATGGTATTTATTATATATTTTTTCCTTTAAGTATCTTCTATTCATATATACCATTTTTTGTGTGCCACAAGTTTAGAAAAAATAAAAATGCTAGTACCAGAGAGGATGGCATTGCTATGAAGGTTCTATCCTCTTCTATTGATTCCTTTTTTTTAGTAACTGCCACTTAAATGAGATCGACGAAAAGTTCTACGGCAGCAACCTCTCCGAAGACATGCTCATTAACCTTGTTGAGAACATGGACGAGAATACTTTGAAAAACATTACGCCGGGGTGAGTTGAGTATGAATAATTTCACTATTCCTAACTTCATTTATCTATAGGTGCCAGTGCAACGGCTTTACGTAGGCACTACACACGTGACACATACACAGACGCACGAAAACATGAACAAACAAACTTTCGGATTTATCGAAATGAAGAAATATATTATACTTCTCTTAATCTTATATATTGAATCGAGCTATTCTTGTGTTTATATATATATATATATATATATATATATATATATATATATATATATATATATATATATATATATATACTAGCATTGCCCGCGTCCAGATGACCAAAAACCAAATACTTAGGTTTTACATATTAGTATACTCTTACATTACAGTTTTTGTATATTTTCTCAGAAATGAGACATTTTCTCGCGGTAAAAAGTATCTTATATGTTGACCCGGATATCCAGCTATTGCCATACCAAATTTCATCAAAATCCCTCCAGTGGTTTTTCTGTGATGCGGTAACAGACAGACAGACAAAAATTCTAAAAACGATAGATTTGCCCTTTGTATCGATAATAATGACTATTTCAATAAGATTCTCCAAAAAATATTTAATGTACAGATTTATATATAATCTGAATCTCGGAAACAGCTCCAACGACTTTCATGAAATTTAATATACAGGGGGTTTTGGAGGCGATAAATTGATCTAGATTAGTCTAATGTCTGGGAAAACTCATGTTTTCGAATTTTCATGCGGTTTTCTTTCGCATTATTCCCCGCAAAACATGGTCGATAATTTAGCACACTTGGGCATAAGCATCGTGGTCAAGCGGTCAAGGTGCAAGGGAAATAATCACAAGTGTCCAAGTTCGAATCTCGTTTGCATACAAAGTTTTTACTTTTGTTTGTTTTTTAATATTTATTCAAGTTTTTAGTTTTAAAACAAAAAAAAAATTGTACTTTAGGCCAAAAACTCTGAGTGAAGCTCGGTAGCCCAGGTACTAATTACTATACAAGCTATAACATGGTCTAATTAATTACATTGTGTACATATACATATATAAAAGTAAGTAAAAAAAATATTGTAAGTAATATTAGTACCTATAAATACAAAAGTGGAGCTGCAATCGAAAACTAGTCAAAATGTATTTATTATTTATTTAATATTATTTTTCGTAGATTACTAGACAACCTCCCCAACACATACACTTACAGCAAGTTGACAGCAGAGGACTTCGTTCAGAAACATTCTCAAGGCCTTCCGGTAGCCGTATTTAGACCTTCCATAAGTAATTATACATTTATTTGACATGCTTATTGCTACAAATTATCGATTATCTGGCATAGAAATAAATCAGACTTTGCTAGATGGCTAGAATATTGGGAAATAATACTGTATCTATTTATTTCTTCCTTGATTACAGTGGTAGCAACGGCGAGTGAACCAATAGCAGGATGGACCGACAATATTTATGGACCTACTGGTGCAAGTATACAATACACATTGACTGCCCCGATGATGTAGTAACTAGCATGTACAGCTGCCCATCCAGAAGTCCTGAATTCGAGTCATGTCGGGCCAAGTTTAATTATTAAGTCTTTCTGTTAAGAAAGTCTCAGTAATAGCCCGGAATTTCAAAGTTGGCAGTGCCTCGGAGAGCACGTAGAACTCATGGTCCTTCGCGCTATTACTCACTGGTCATGTCGAACTATCGTCCTATCGGGATTTGAGAGTGACAGAAATATAGGGTGCACATTTGTGCACTATAATATTTTCTACACAGGTGACTTATCTCAGTGAGATTGGATGCAGTGGCCAAAATTGGCCAGGAGAACAATACACATACTTACAAACATACAATCATGAAACATATACTAAAGTGGGTAGCTTTTATCTCAGTTAATGCATTTAATTTAGGAAGGAATCACATACCATTGCGTTAGGTAATAGGTTATAGTCCCGAGTAAGCCCAAAATGGATGTTAGTTTCTTTTGACAATAAAAAGCTAATAATTGTTTCGTAGTTATATTTCCTTGTAATACACTTGCAGTTAGGAAGTGGGCACTGTTTTTTAGTCTGCGTGTCTTAAAGATCCCGTAAAGCTGTCATATTTATTTATATTTATCTAACCGTTTTAGGTATTAGTAACAGGAGGCTTGGGCCTCCTACACTCCTTGCATTGCAACCCACAAGCTATAGCGGATATGGTTCCAGGGGACTACGTAATAAATGGAATTATAGCAGCGGCCTGGAAAACCGCCAAAGACTATCTTGGAAATTATGAACACTCTCCAGTTGATAATTTCCCTATTGTATACAATTATGTATCTTCGGAGCAAACCCCTATTACTTGGGGTAAGATTTAAGACAGTTAATTTATGCTTCCTTACAATGTTTTTTTTTATGTTAAGTACCATATTAATACGTCCAAAAGTAAGCTTACCGCTGGTGCTATACGGGTGTCCCAGAAAGAATAGATAAACCTGAAACACACAAGGGTCCCAAATAAAATCTAAGAAAGATCATTTTCCAGGTTGAAACTAATTTTTTTTGGTAATTACTTTTTTTAATTTCTACTTTTAATTCATTTTCATTTGATAAAATTACGTATATTTTTCAAAGTGATTTCTGCTGCTACTTTTCACATGCAATGATTTTTAATTTCGATGGTCTGGTGTCACGTTTTATATAATTTGCTATTGAAATGAAGTATGAAAACTTGCCCGTTGGTAATTGGTATAGTGACGCATCAACAATATATATATTTTCTCTCTCTAACTCGCCCACAGGCCACATGCCCATTTCATGCTTACTCGCTCGCTCTCTAATTAGTAATGACGACGATTTAATCCTACGATGAAATCCGAAGACGATCTGAGATTTCATCAAGTGTGATTTTTAGCAGTCAATGAGAACTTAAGTAGCAGGTGCGACGTATGAAAACGCATTTCATGTGAATTTTCACTTGCTACTCATGAAATGTTCCAAGCCTACTTTTCCACAATAATCTACGTTTCTGTATACCACAGCTACAAATAAATAAATCCATCGGTTTTCCGTTGTGGAAGTATTTTATATTGAGACTTCAATAGCTCTATTATAAACCTTTCAAATATTATTACGTATGTAGAAAAACTTTTGCATCGTATGTCTCATCTGAACGGATGTGCAACTTAGACCAGCTTGGAAACTAGCTTTCTTCAAGTCGATGTATTCCATCTCTATTATTCATTATCCAATATCCATCATATCTGACACCAAACTCTTAGATTTGAAATTTTTACATTTTTTTAAATTCTCATAGGTGCTTTTATGCATTCAGCGGATCAAAATAGGCACCAATTTTTGTTCATGCAAGTGATTTGGAAGATCATGTTCTTGTTAACTCCTTCAAAATTCTTAAACAACTTTTATTGCATACTACTACATTGGATTCCAGCTTACATAGTAGATACCGTCGCTATAATGATTGGGAAACAACCTGTGTAAGTTATTTTTGCGTAATATAACTATTGTAAAGATCATTAATATTCATACCATGAAAATTTTACAATTTTTTCAATTTAAATAATATTTCCTTAGATAAACGTAAATATTTGACATTCATACTTCCATACTTTAGTATTATAAATGTGAAAGTGTGTTTTTTTGTATGTTTGTTTGTTTGTCTTTCTTTCACGTCGAAACAGCTTGGCGAATTGGCGTGATTTTTTGTGTGGAGATAGTTGGAAGGCTGGAGAGTGACATAGGCTACTTTTTACCGCGTGAAATTGTCTCTTTCCCACGGGAAATCACGTTATAATATATCCAAAAAAATATAATCAGAATTACTTGAGACTTTGTCTAAATGTTTTTCAATACAATTAATTAAATTTTCCGAAATTCATCCCATAAGGGGGTAAAATAGCGGATGAAAGTTTGTATGAAACCTACTATTTTAGAGTTTTTTTTGTAGTTTTAATTCGCGACCGAAGCCGCGAATTTTTCTAGTTTTTAATAAACCTATGTTGTCGGATTTTTTGTTAGATACACTCCCGTATCTATGATTGCTCTAAAGTATTAAAATGTAATACAAAACAAATAATAAATTTGCTTTGTATTACATATTTTAGTACTTATACATCCTACTAATCCTACTAATATTATAAATGTGAAAGTTTGTGAGGGTGGATGGATGGATGTTTGTTACTCTCTCACGCTAGAACGGCTGAAAGGATCTGGATGAAATTTGACACAGAGATAGATTATAGTCTTGAATTGCACATAGATTACTTTTTATCCCGGAAAAATGTACGATTCCAGTGGGATAGAATTGTTTTTGGCTAGGGACGAATCCGAAGCGAAGCGAGGGTGTGTTGCTAGTTTACAAAATAAAATTGATAAATTTAATTTTGAAATTTAAATTTAATAATTTTATAGTATAAAATGTGTAATTGTACTAAAATATGTAATAAGTTATATATAATGCAAATATAATTATTTTACATTTAAAAAAACTAATTTCAGTTTTTTTCTTAGTGAGTCCCCATCATGAAATTAGTTTTTTAAATAAAAAATGTAAGTGGATACAGATAATTAATAAAAAATTATACAAACATTTTTTACAGATTAAAAAAAGCTTATAGAAAGATCGAAAAATTCTCAGAAGTTATAAGTTACTTCTCCACCCGGGAATGGAAGTTTCACAACAAAAGCACTCTAAACCTACTAAAGGAGCTAAATGACTTGGACCAACATATATTTAATTTTGACATAGAAACCTTAAATTGGGATGAATTTTGTAAGAATTACGTAAAAGGGATCCGCTTATATTTGTTGAAAGATCCCTTAGAAACGATCCCTCAAGCCCAAAAGAAATATTTCAAATTAGTATTAGCTCATTATTTCTTAGTCTCGCTTAGTGCATTTGGGCTATTGATGCTTATATTATGGTTTGTAGTGACACTATTTATATAGGTTTTTTTATTGCTTAAGTCATGCATTTTCACATTACTATTAACTATCAACTCCTGGTAAATTTCTAAGAAATGTAACTGCAACGCCGGCGTGTCCGCGATCGTGTAGGGACTATTTTAAGAAAACGACAGAAGTTTTGTGTAAGGCTTTATTAATAGTCTGCACTGATCGAAAATCGGAGTGAGGATAAAAAATATCCATATTATAATATCTTCTGCCCTCACTCCGTTACAAAAATAATATTGTGTCCACAGATAATCTATATCTTAAAAGTAAAATTAACAAAACAACAGATAATAAATGAAATGTTCACACTTAGCTTAAGGGGCGTTTCACGTGAAGCGGACAACGAAAAAAAATTAGGTTCTGAAATTCGTTCATATGAGGCATATTTGAACCTCTAGTCTAGGGGATATGGACATGTACACATAATATTTTTTTTATTTGAGGTTTAGTTGTCAAGTTATGGGATTCTAAAGAATTGGTCAGATTGAAGGGGAGGGTTTTTTTTTGATTTTTTTCATCATAGAAGTAATTAGAAAAAAAAATGAATGTAGTGTTCTGTATAGAAAATTTACTTTTCTTTTTGATTTTTTAATCAGATTCCAAATTTGAATTATTTTTCTAGTGTTAAACTGGAAGTAAATATATTAAATAAAATTATTAATAACCGTAAGGTATAATACTTTTTTTTTTGTATAATAATAAATTACTAGAAGAATAACTAATGCAGTTAACGAAAGTTTCTATACAATATTAGTTATTTTTTATTTTCGGTGTATCATAATAAATAAATAATAAATTAATTTGTTAAAGTAATTAAAGAAATGTGTTTGATGTTTTATTTAGTTGTTTTATTTAACCACTAGCGACTCACCCTCACTCCGCTCGGGTTCGTCCCTACTTACGTTTTAACGTTTAGTATAGATTTCTCAGAGATTTTTTCTTGCAGTAAAAAATATCCTATATATTGATACCCGCATAACGAGCTATCATTATTATATCAAATTTCATTATAATCTGTCCAGTGGATTTCTCGTGATGCGTTCCCAGACAGACAGATAGAAGTTTTAAAAACTATAGATTCGGCCTCTATCGATAATAATGAATATTTCAATAAGATTTACCAAAAAATATTTAATGTACAGATTCTACTTAGTTAGAATTTTATTATTTTATTAGTATAATCAAATTTTCTACTAAAGTATTACTTATAAGATAACTTGTGCAAGAAGTTCCTTAGTTAGTAAATTGGCATTAAGAAATATTAAATTATATAAAAGGTAATTATTTATAAAAAAAACTTTAACAATGTATTAATTGTCAAGAATCTATACGTAAAATAATACATATTTATAATTGTTTAAAAAAATATATACACTGTGTAAAAACTTTAAAATAATAAATAAAAACCGACTTTCAGGCACTAAAATGTAACAAATACCTAAAGGGGGGTTTTCATTTAGAATATATACCTAATCAGATATTTTTGAAGTCGGTGCCAGCCGATGTAAAGCAAATCTAATATATTTCGATACGTTAAATACATCATAAATTGATGTATAATATTTTAACTATAATTAGAGTTCATACCTAATCATATTTACCTATTAGATATTCATATCTTATAATATTGTCGGTTGGTTATGGCACAAATCTATCTTTTATTTCGGAAATTTTGATATATTTTTAGGTGTTTTCTAAAATAATGATTTTTAGAGTTATGAATATGCAGTAAAGCAGAAAAAATAAGAAATCTTTCAATTAAGGGACATTCCTTTTTCTTTCCTTTCCTGAAAACTGCGCCCAATTTGAGTACTTTTTACTCATTGTATGCCTAATATTAAACTATCTCGGTGGTGTAGTGGCTAGTATGTACGGATGGACACCTGGAGATCCTGGGTTTATTAAGTTTCTAATAAGAAAATCCCAGTAACACATCAGAGTTGGAAAGTGCTTCACCCCCGTGCCTCGGAGAGCACGTAAAATTGGTCGGTTCTGCGCTTATATCTCGCTGGTCAGGTGGAATTATCGTAAGCAAAATTATAATCAAATTTTAATTCACCATCAAGTACTTTTTGCTAAATAAAAAGTTTTAGATTATTGCTGTTCATACTTCATACTTATCCCTCCTTAGTTTCCTTCTATATTGTCTATGTAAAAAACTCATCAATTTGACAGTAATGGAACACATCCAATAAACAACAGATATTTATAATATATTTTTGGAATAATTATTAAAAATAAATCAACATCATGTTTCAGAAGATTCGGGCTACAAGATTTACAATGTGTTTTCGAAACATGAAGAATTTTCTTTTAAAGAAGAAACGTGTTTCAGAAAATGCTATAACAAAGTAACCCATTGTTTATTTGATATGGATGGAACAGTTTTGAGTAGGTTTATATTTATACTACTTAAAGTTTGTGTGTGTGTATGTTTGTTTACTCCTTCATGTTGAAATGGCTGGGCTGATTTGGATGATATTTAGTAAGTGAATAGAACATGACTTCGAGTAACACTTAGACTACTGTTAGTAATAATATTTTCCCAAAGCTAACGTTGATCGTTTACCAAAAAATTGATATTCATTTTGCCAAAAAAGGCACATAGTGCCGCATTAGTTAGTGTTTCGTAAAAATTATAAGCAACTTAAGATGTAACTTTGTATCTCAATCGATTGAATAATAGAGACTTAGCCATATTTCTACACGTGTACGAGCTACCAACGTAGTGTTATGATATTGCCAACTGGCACCAAGGTCACAGGGATATTTTTAAAAGCCGTGAAATTATAATTTTACTAGTGATATTATAAATGCTCGGACTTTTTCCATTTCTTACAATATCACGGGAACATCTTAGATATACGAGTAGATAGATTATAATATTAACACATAAGCAATTGTTTCTTAGCCAATTTTAATAGACATTTCAATTTTTTTTAGATTCTGAAATTATGTACCATAAAATAATAAGGAAAATCTGCGAAAAATACAGCAAAAAGTACACTAAAGATCTACAAGCGCGAGTAAGTGAGATAGAAAAATTTTATTCACACTTCGTACATTCTCATCTCCACATACCTATATATCCACAGTGTTCATCAAGATGTGATATTTTAATCTGTTTTTAGTGTTCAAATTAACACTATTTGTTCAGATAATGTAGAGGATTAGATTCAAGTACGATAAAAAACGATACGTACGTACGATACGATACGTACGTACGATACGATACGTACGTACGATACGATACGTACGGTACGTACGATAAAAAAGTAAGATAAAAAACGGTATTTTTATATCTTAACCTTTGAAAAGAGGGCTTTATGATTCTATCCCACTTTAAATGTACAAAACACTTTTTTTTTAATCTTTGTTGTAAAATTAAAATAGTGTGTTAAAATAGTGGATCACCGTATTTCACTCCGTTTTTTTTCGAAAAAGATATAAAATTATGTTTCTCTAGAAAAGTCAGCTATATAGATAAACTTAAAAAGCAAAATCTTATCTAAATACAAAATTTGGTCCAAATCGTTAGAGACCTTTCTGAGATACACGAAATAATTTTATACAGGTACAAGAATTTCTCATTTAATATTATAAGATATCCTGATCCCCGTTACATAGGGAGGAGGCCCGTGCTTAGCAATTAAGTACTGAATTATGATATTAGTAATTATTCTCAATATTTTTATGTACATCTGTCACTTTTTTCTTACTAACCCATAAATTTTTAAATAATTGAGATGCTTGATTGAGATCAGATTTTTTTATCTGATATATCAAGCAGTTCTTCTGGTATATTAATTTGGTGCAAAAATTATATATTATTTGTTCCAAAAACCATGGATGGTGTGGCGGACGTGAGGAGAAAATAATAAAGCTTTAATATTAAGCGTTTATTGAAGCGCGTATTGCACTTGCGAGACCAAGCGAGAGACTGTCCAATCGATACATATTCGATCTATAATCTAATGTAATATCTATACTTATATATTATGCCCGTTACAAATCATATTACCTCATGTTACATAGGTACAATATTCCCCCCTTTTTTAAAAAATAAGTAAAAAATAATATATCAAGTTATTAAGAATATATAAAAATGAATACATTTTAATGCAAAAAAAAAGTGTAAAATGTATAAAATTAAATTCTAAACATAAAATATAGTTTGCAAAAAATAATAATATTATTAATACCTAAAAATATCATAATTACATGCTATTACAGTTTCCTTACATCTATCACAAATTATTTTTTCGAACATGAAATTTTTTACCTATTCAGCATAATTATTCACTGCACTACTCGAAATTATGTGTTTTACATATACAGTATACACTTGCACTTTTTTACAAAGACATACACTGGCACTTAAAACGTTATACTGCAGCAGTTAAATCTGGCATGCTCTGCATTTCCTTCCTTATAGTCTCTCTAAATTTCCTTCGGCAATATCTGTATATTCCAAACGTGATTACCATAAGGATTATTAAAAATAATAAGCCGAAATATATATCAACTTTTAACTCAGAAATTTGCGAAGTATTATTTCCTCCCATTTGGGCGATTATAACTTCTTCCTTCTTTTCTTCTTTGCTCTGATTATAACCCATTATAATTATTGGCAATATAATTAGAGAATGTGAATGTGTATAGCTTCACCAAGATGCAGATTTTAAATAAATTGATCTCGGAATCTTACTACTGGCTTGCTGATTCGGCCGGATCGCGTTACTTTGTTATTTACATGTGTCTCCTTGTTTGGAATTTCGATACTAGTGCTATCCCGCGTATTAAACTCTTCATTATTATTTAATAAAAATGCTGGCTTTAATCTATCAATAGAAACAGTAGATTCTTTGTCTGCCATTAATATTTTAAAATGTTTTTCTTTACGGTCTAATACTTTGTACGGTCCTGAATATGGTGGATTTAAGGACTTACATAATTTATCGCACCGTAAAAATACATGAGAGCATTTTTGCAATTCAGGGTGAACAAATATATTTTTCTGTGATTTCTCTCGTTTGGGTACTGAACAAATATTACTTATATGTTCTCTCAGTTGCTTTAAAAATGTCTCGCTATCGGAATTTAGTGGCGTTGTAGGCTCAAAAAAAATCTCCGGGTAGCTTAATTGGACTGCCATAAACCATCTCTGCTGCACTGGTTTGCGTACAATCTTTTAGGCTTGCTCTTAAGCCTAGTAGCACAGTTGGCAACTCCTGAACCCAATTATTGTTTCCTCTAGTCATTAACGATGCCTTAAGAGATCGATGCCAACGTTCGACAGCACCGTTTGCCTGTGGATGGTACGCAGTTGTTCGAGCTTTCATAATACCAAGGCGCTTAGATAATTGATTGATAAGATTCGACTCAAACTGTCTTCCTTGGTCAGTCGTAATTCGTAAAGGACAACCAAAACGTGAAATCCATCCTGAATATATTTTCTCTGCAACAGCCTCAGCTGTTATGTCTCTTAAGGGAAAAGCTTCCGGCCAACCCGTGGCTCGGTCTAACATCGTAATTAAATATCTGTATCCTTTGTAAAGTGGTAATGGACCAACAATATCAATATGTATATGTTCAAAACGATTGCTTGTTGGAAATTTACCAAAAGGTGATATTGTATGCCTATGTATTTTACATTTCTGACAATCTATACATGCTCGAGCCCAGTTAGCAACATCTTTGTTCATAGAATGCCAAAAGAATTTATCGCATATCATCTTTCTAGTTGATCTTATACTCGGATGACTCAATCCATGTACGGCGTTGAAAGCCTGCACTCGGAATTCTTTAGTCAAATATGGTCGTGCGAATTGTTTTGAAACTTCACAGTAAATTGATTCTTGACTGTTATGAAGTTGAAATTTTTTAAAACTTAAATTTTTAGATTTTAATAAAACTTGTAATTCTTTATCTTTTTCCTGAGCTTCGCTAAGAGCATTGTAGTCGATGTATGATGGCATATTAATTTCCGAAATTCGTGATAACGTGTCAGCAACAATATTTTGAGATCCACTAATATGTTCAATATTCGAACAAAATTGCATTATAAAATCGAAATGTCTTAATCGACGCGGTGTATCGCTGTCTGTATAAGAATTTTTTTTCAAAGCATAAACGAGTGGTTTATGATCTGTGTAGACTGTTAAGGGGCGTCCCTCGATCAAATATCTGAAATGCTTTATAGCCATATAGATAGCAAGTAATTCTCTATCGAAAGCACTATATCGCGTTTGCGCTTCGCTCAGCTTAGTGGAGAAAAATCCTAAAGGCTTCCATGTGTTGCCTTCACGTTGCTGTAATACTGCGCCAATGCAAGTCTTAGACGCATCCGTCATAAGGGCTATATTCGCGTCTGCAGCTGGGTGTGATAGTGTAACGGCGCTGCTTAGGCTCTCCTTACACTGTTCAAATGCCGCAATTGACTCGTCTGTCCACCTTACTTCTGTCTTGTCATTTTTTCTAGAGTTATGTAAAAATATATTTAATTTTGACTGAATCTCTGCTGCTTGAGGAAGATGTCTTCTGTAAAAATTAATCATACCTAAAAAACGTCTCAGTTCCTCGATTGTTTTAGGCCTAGGAAAATTAATTATAGAGCTAACTCGTTGTTCTAAGGGTTTAATACCATCTTTTGAAACGTGGTATCCCAGAAACTCGATTTCGTTCTGCCCAAAATTGCATTTTGAAGTGTTAATAGTTAAGCCATATTTATTAAATCGCTCAAATACTAGTCTGAGGTGTTCCTTATGTTCGGATTCAGATTTCGACGCTACTATTACATCGTCGATATATACAAAAATAAAATTAAGATTTTGAAGTACGACGTTATTTAAAAATCTCTGAAATGTTTGAGCTGCATTTTTTAGCCCAAACGTCATCCTTGGGAACTCAAAAAGACCGAATGGCGTAGTGATGGCTGTCTTCTCTATGTCTTCACTATTGATGGGAATGAAATGATAGGCACGTGTTATATCGATCTTCGAAAATATCTTTTTACCCGACAGTAAATATGTAAAATCTTGTAAGCGTGGAATCGGATACCTGTCAGGCTTAGTGATGGCATTTAATTGCCTGTAATCACCACATGGTCTAATACCACCATCCTTTTTCGGGACTACGTGGAGTGGACTTGCCCAACAGCTCTTCGATGGTCTACATATGCCTACGTCTTGCATGATTTCAAATTCCGATTTTACCTTCTGATATTTGTCCGGAGCTAAAGGTCTGGGTCGCGCAAATACAGGAGGTCCTGTAGTCTCAATATAATGAACAACAGAGTGTCTTGGTGTATCTTTGAAACAAATAGGTTTCGTTATATCGGGATACTCTAACATTAAGTCGTAATATTTATTATTTATATCCAACGTAGTAATAGATGACTCATCGGCTTGCACTATCGATGTTATAGTATCTATATTTGTTATTTGATCAATAAGTCGACGACGATATAAATCTACTATAAGCTTATGATAGGTTAAAAAGTCTGCGCCTAAAATTGGCTGTTTAACGTCCGCTAACACAAAAGTCCACCGAAAAGGTCGGCGTAAATTTAAATTTAACACTAACGATTTAACACCATATGTCTTTATTTCACTGCCATTAGCTGCATAAAGTTTATATTTATCACTAACTACATTGTCATAGAGTCGTGTTTTTGTACGGTAACACTGAAATATTTGCACCTGTGTCCACAAGAAAACGTAAACCACTTTTGCAGTCGGTTACGCATAAACGGTGGAACGGCGATATGGTGCAGACATCCACCCTTGGCTGCACCTTGTCTAGTTTTCCGGCTGCTCCTTCCAAGCACATGGCTCAACACATTTCTTTGCTTTAACGCCGAAACGGTGATGATAGAAACATAGCCATTTCGATGATTCGGACCTGCGGCGTCGTTGTTCGGATACTGAACGTCCGCGTGATGTAGTACGTCGCCTCCAATTACATCGAGTACTTCGATACCTTGGTCTCGATCTCTCAAGTTCCATGACCTTCACACTTAACTTGGCTATTTGCGACATAAGAAATGACGTATCATCCGATTTTTCAGCTTGACAATTTACTTCAGCAGCATGTAAAGGTCTCGTGGTCTCCATAATTTTGTCAGCGATAGCTGCAAGGTTATCTAGATCCTTTACCTCGCTAACTGCCAACACCGCTCGAACTGACGTGGGTAAATGTCCTTGCCACATGATACACAGCGTTTCATCAGGTATCTTATTACGAGCCAAATCCCGCATTCGCCTAAGAAGCTGAGAAGGCTTCTGATCGCCAAGTTCCATTTCCCCCAGCAACTTCTGGAACTGTCGGTTCTCCGACTCTTCGTAAACAGCGAGCAAACGATTTTTCAAGGTCTCATATTTATGTGTTCCTGGTGGATTAAGCACAATATCGCTAACCTGCTCGATGACTTGCTTGCCCAATTTCGGAAGCAACAAGTTAAACTTCGCTTCATCGCCTAATTTTTGAGAAGCTAGCACCGCCTCACACTGGGCGAACCATAATCGCGGCTGGTCGCACCAAAATTCCGGTATTCGCGATGATACGCTGATTGTTGCCAGTTCTGAATCTTCACGTAAAGTTTCCTTCGCTTGTACGACTGGTTTAGAATTGGTAGCCATCCTATAATTGTTCTTCAGTCAGGTGTTTTTTTTTCAGTCGGGGTCACCAATATGTGGCGGACGTGAGGAGAAAATAATAAAGCTTTAATATTAAGCGTTTATTGAAGCGCGTATTGCACTTGCGAGACCAAGCGAGAGACTGTCCAATCGATACATATTCGATCTATAATCTAATGTAATATCTATACTTATATATTATGCCCGTTACAAATCATATTACCTCATGTTACATAGGTACAGATGGGATAGATAAGTGATAATGGGTAACTAGTAGAATGTTAGAATTTTGATTATCTAAACTTCTAGATGTATGGAGGAACAGATCGTGATATATGTATAGCAGTCGTCGAGGAACTCAAAATGCCGATATCTGCTGATGAATTTGAAAGGCAGTTAAATGATTTGGCTCAAAAAATGTTGCCAAGTGCTCCGCTGCAAAGAGGTTGTATTTATAGGCTTATTCAGTTTGTTGTTTCCGTAAATCATTTATACTAATTTAATATTTTGCATTTAAAAAATAAATAACTTTCAATATTTTATTCAAAATTTCGATAATTTTAGGGCGGTATTTTTTACTACACCTGCATCCGGCACTGTACCTAACCTCCCATTTTCATCAATAAGCTTGACTTTGACTTTAAATATATATAAATTATGTTCTTTTTTAAATATTACTAAAAGGGGCTGAACGTCTGTTAACACATCTTCATGATTACAAAATACCGATGGCGCTAGCGACTAATTCAACAGAGCAAGCCGTCAGACTACACGCCACGGCCAGACCTAAGTTATTTGGCCTGTTTCATCATAAAGTAAGTTAAATAACAATGCGTATGTAATCTAATATATTGCTTAGATTTACGATAATATTTAATATTTTAGGTGAAACTCTTATTAATTTTAAGATTTTGGGGTTGAAATCGGGAATTAAAAATCGAAATAAATCCGTGAAAAAGTTTGTCACTCCTGTACGCTAAAAGGGCTGGACGGATTTAGATGTTTAGTAAACAGATAGACATTGGCTTAGAGGATTATGAGTAGGGTATCGTCATATGACGAGAATATAATATATATTATATCATATATTTTAAAGTAAAACAGAAAATCAAATGCACTCAAACAGCAATGGAAAGGAGCATGTTGAAGATTAGGAAAGTACACAAAGTGAAGAACGAAAGTATCAGACAAAAAACGAAAATTACTGACGCTCTAAAGCATGCATTAACACTAAAATGGAAATGGGCCGGACACATCTCACGATACACGGACAAAAGATGGACTATAGAGACCACACGATGGAAAGGCCCAGGGGGGAAAAGGAGCATTGGTAGACCAAGAAGAAGGTGGGCTGATGATATTATACAAGTAACAGGGAACAACTGGTTAAACTTAAGCAAGGACAAGGAAACATGGAAGAAGCTGGAGGAGGCCTTTACCCAAAAAGGGGTCCATATTTCAAATTAGATATATAATTTCAAACTAACTAAACATACTTACAATTAACAAAACTAAACATACTAACATAATATGTATAATAATAATTAAGTAAATTTACTAACAACTTACTAACTACATTCGAATTGTATCTTGGAAATATGGAATAAATGGCTTTATTATTATTATTATTATTATGTTTTCATTTTCATTCAATTCTCCCATTGCTGGGGCTTATTTTTCTCTAACGCGGACGTTAGTCAAACGTTAGAGAGGTGATATAAATTTTTTATCTATTATTGCATTGCTAAGAATTTTCTAACAATGCGACAAGTGTTGAGAATAACAGCTTTTTGTAGCTGAATATAAATGAGTGGGTGAAGATTGAGTTGTTTGAGACTGGTGTGTAGCGTGACTGGTATGACTCCAGTGGTTGAAAGAATGATTGGGATTGTTTTGACTGTTTTTATATGCCATTGTGTTTTGAGCTCTATTGATAAATCTCTATATTTTGTAATTTTATCAGTGTATGTGGTTGCCAGGTTATGTGTATTTGGTATCCCAATATCAATAAGGTAAACTATTTTATTTTTCTTATCAAGCAGTGTTATGTCTGGGCGATTATGATGAATTGTTCTATCTGTGATTATGGTTCTATCCCAGTAAAGTTTATGATCAGCTGTATCTATTACTGCTAGTGGTTTATATTTATAATATGGTACGCTTTCATTAATAAGTTTAAATTTTCTAGCTAAATATTGGTGGATAATGTATGCAACCTGATCATGTCGATGCTTATAATCTGTTTGAGTTATTGATTTGCAAGCACCTGTAATGTGTTGTATAGTTTCACTGGCACTGTAACAATGTCGGCATATATCTGATTGAGTATCGTGAATGATATGCTTTTTATAATTTCGTGTCTCTATAACTTGGTCTTGTATGGCTAGCATAAATCCTTCCGTTTCAGGAAACAATTCACCTTTCGTCAACCAGGCGTTTGACGCTGTCTTGTCAACAATTGAATTAATCAGATCCCGACGATGTCTTCCATGAAGCGATTTTGCTAGCCATACTTCTAACTTTTCTTGAGGTTGTGTCACAAGTTCATTTGGTTGTGTCGAAGGATCACTAAGATTTAATGGTGTTAATTTGCAATCTAATTCTGTAATTATTTTATGAAGTGGTGAATGTTGTGAACGAGTGTGGAAAAATGATCTGAGTGAATGTATCTGCTTATTATGAAGATTTTTAATATCTATTATTCCTCTTCCTCCTTCACATTTAGGTAGAGTGAGTCTTTGTATGCACGAGCGAGGATGGTGTTTCCTGTACTTTGTCATGAGTGTGTTGATAGTGCGCTGATGTTTGTGTAAATCTGTTTTCGACCACTTAATAATTCCAAAAGAGTAAGTTAGAATAGGGAATGCATATGTATTAATAGCTTTTATGATGTTGAGAGAGTTTAAATGCGTGTTTAAAATTTTATGTAATCTTATCTTAAATTTTTCACATATCTGTAATTTAGTTTGTTTTTGATGTATTTGTTGGGTCTGTTGATATCCTAAATATTTATAACCATTTTCATCATCTACTGGATCAATAAGTTCTCCTGTCCGTAACTGGTAATTATTGTGTTCTATATGTCCACCTCGTACTGATTGTACCCTACATTTATCTGTACCGAATCTCATTTGAATGTCAGTGGAAAACATTTCTGTAATATCTGTAAGTATTTTTAAGTTTATATGACTAGATGCGTAAAGTTTTATGTCGTCCATGTACATAAGATGTGATAGAGTATATTGGGTGTCTTTATGCGTGATTTTATATCCTTTGCCACTCTTATTTAACATTAGTGATAAGGGATTTAGAGAAAGGCAAAACCAGAGGGGACTAAGCGAATCTCCCTGAAATATCCCTCTGCGTATATGTATTGGTTCTGTTTCAATTGAGTTTATTAGATTAGTGATTTTTAATTGGGTAGTCCAGTTTTGCATATTATTTTTTAAAAAATTTATAATAATTGGGTGTATTTTATGTATTTCTAAGGTTTGGATAAGCCATGTATGTGGGACTGAATCGAAAGCCTTCTGATAATCAATATACATAGTATATATATTTTCTTCTTGATTGCCTGTTTTGATATTACGGAATCAATTATAAGTTGCTCTTTACAGCCCTGACTATTGCGGCGACATCCTTTTTGCTGTTCAACTATTATATTATTGCTATCAATATGTTTGTAAATTTGTTCTGTGATACAAGATGTTATGATTTTATATATGGTCTGTAAACAAGTGATTGGTCTATATTTACCTGGGTTACGTTTATCGGTGTGATCTTTAGGAAGCATGTATGTAATACCTTGTGTGACGAACAAAGGCAGCGTGTTTGGTGATTTTATAAAGTTATTTATGTGAAATAGTAGATATGTATGGATAAAAGTTAATTTTTTGTACCAATAATTGTGTATTCGATCAGTTCCAGTAGCTTTCCAGTTATGAGTTTTTGTAATAACATATTTTAATATATTATTATATCATATATTTTAGGTGAGTGTAAACGATCCAGAGGTCTTTAGAGGGAAACCAAACCCGGATATCTACCTCGTTGCTGCTTCGAGATTCCCGGAAAAACCAAAGCCGAGACAAGTAATAGTAGTATTTTCTGTTCGTATGTTTTATTATTTATTAAACTTACTTTTGGCTTTTGACGATTATAAATTAAAAATATTTTATTCACCATTAAATTATTACATTTTTTGTATTGAACGTCATGAGTCTACCATCAGTTCGGAAAAAAAGCCACACCTATGAAAAACTAGCCGTTGGGGAAAGAAACTCAGAGGGAATAGATTTTTTTTATGTTACCTAGCGACACCTCTCACGTTGCTTACTGAATATTAGAAAGTTCGAAAAACGAAAAAAAATCAATACAAATAACAGTTCATCCGTTTTTGTATTAGTATACATTTTTGCAACAAGAACTTTAAACTGGAAATAAATAAATAATAATTAATATGTTGGAACATTCATACACAGCACCATCTAATTCCATGGTAAGCTACGAGGCTTGTGTTATGGATACCAGATAGTTGATACACTACAAATATATAACTTTAAATATTATAAATATAAACACCCACGATTGGAGTACAAACATTCGTGCTCATCACACAAATGAATGTCCCCAGCGGGACTCGAACCCGCGACCGCTGGCACAGCAAGTAGGGTCACTACAAACTGACCCAAACGTGTCGTCAAAAAATCTTTTCAAATTCAATTCGATTCTCTTGTTAATGGCTTCAAGGCGGGCCAGTTGAGCACAGATTACTTCGCCAATGTCTCGTAGAATGGATTCCTTATAATATTTTTTTTTCTTTGAAAAATGTTTCGTTTGCATGTTATTAAAACTATTTATGCTACCGTTGTTATTATTTGTACGTGGTTGTTTCTTTCAGTGTCTTGTATTTGAAGATTCCGCTGTAGGTGTAATTGCCGCCAAAGAAGCTGGCATGCAGGTTATAATTTTAAATTTTCAATACTTATTTTATCTTAAAGATTTGGTTTTGATAATGCTTGTTTAAACACGCCTGTCGTTTCGAATTACCCATATTATGTTGATCCAAGGTCATTAATGAGTACGCGATGTTTGATACTAAGATATCTGATAATACACAAACCTTCTGTATAAATAATAAAACTGTAGAGGTCGAATGTCTGTACATAGAAAAAAATGCTAAAAACCGAGTCAGGGGTATGTAAAAAGAGAAATAGAACAAATCAAAGTTTGTACGGGCAAAATCTCCGAAACTGTTGGACCAATTTAAATGAAATTTTGCATGGTGGTATCTTATATCCCCGGTCAACATTTTAGATACTTTAAATTCCGGAAAATTAAAGAGTTCTCATGGGATAGTTAAAAAACTATAGTAACTTATACAGCTTAGTACACAACAACTTTGCACCTAATTTAGTAAAATTTGGCATTCTGAGACCTTATATTGCAGGTAAAACAACAGTTTACTTTTATCCCGGAAAAATGAAAGGTTCCCATGGAATAGATCTGTCTGTGCAGTTATAAAATAAATTTCTTGACGAAAAATGGAGACCAGTCAAAAATACAAAGCTGACTCTCTAATCGATTTCTCCTTTTGAATTTAAATGAAAATATACTTAAATTATTCTAAAAAAAATCAATAAAAATTAATTAGCAGAATTTCCCATAGCTAAACAAAACAGTTGTTTTTTTTAAGTGTGTAAGACATAATATCTGGTTCTATTTATTTCATCTAAAATACGTTTTGCAGGTAGTAATGATCCCAGATTCTCGCCTCGATCGCGAGCAAACCCGTCAAGCTACACTAGTGATACGATCGCTTATGAATTTCCAACCAGAACTCTTTGGGCTGCCACCATTTGATGATATCCCAAAAAGAAAAAGTAGCATTGAGTCAAACCCAGATTAAAAAATTTATGTAAATCTAGAAGTATTATTTTATTTGTAGAATTCCTAAGCATTATAATTTATTAGATTTACGCGAACATTTGACATTTTAAATAAAACTATATTTTCGGATTATTTTTCGGATTACAGTATTCCTAAGCATTGTTTTATTTTATAATTCAATTATTGTGTTTTCCCGTGGGAATGAAAGTTTTTCCTGTACTAAAAGGTATCCTAATCGTTGACCCGAGTAATAAGTTATCACTACAAAAATTTTAGTTCAGAAAAAGTAGTACAAAAATTATGTAACAAATTGTTTGATTTTACCTTTTCAATTCTGATACTACATATGTTCTAAACTCTTAGGCTTAAAGTTTTATATAATTTTTAAAAGGACCAATTCGGAATTTACGAAAAATCCATGTATCTCTTAAGTTTTAAATATTCTTATGTTTTTTTTGCTCTAAATAGTTCTGTTAAGGAGTTAGGTACACAATTCACAATAGAGACATCCCTCGCTAACCTTTGCAAGAGATTAATTTCCCATAGTTCTATATAGCTTAAAGAAAATGAGCTTAAGATTTGTGAAAGTATTTTCAGAATAAGATCGATTGTTCGCTTTACCTGTCACAGTTAAACCTTACCTCTTTATAATATTAAAGTTAATTATATAACTATAAGTACCTACAGTCTGAATCTATACTAATATTTTAAATGTGAAAGTGTGTTTGTTGATATGTTTGTCTATCTTTCACGTCGAAACAGAGTGACGGATTGGTATGATTTTTTATGGGGAGATAGTTGGAGTTTTAAAATAAAAAATAAAAATCTGAAGGACAGCCACCAAATTCTTACTAATAGCATAAGCCAACGAGTTTTTTGTAGTTTTAGCGCGAGCGAAGCCGCGGTTTCTGCTATTTATATTATAAATAATAAGGAATAAATATGTTGGGACATTAACATGTCACAAACACGTGACAGCACCATCTAGTTCCATGGTAAGCTACGAGGCTTGTGTTATAGATACCAGATAGTTGATACACTATACATATATAACTTTAAATTCAAACATATAGATATAAACACCCATGACTGGAGTAGAAACATTCGTGCTCATCACACAAATGATGCCCCCAGCGGGACTCGAACCCATGACAGCTGCCACATCAAAACCAAACGTGTCGTCAAAAGTTTCGGTTTCATTTATTTAAGTAAGATGTACCAATACACTTTAAGCTGAACGAGTCCTTTTTTTTTTTTTTTTTTTTTTTTAACGTTGGGAAATGCATTTACGCACGACGTGTGGGACTCACCGGCGTAATACAGCCAGTACTACCCACTAAAACCCAACAAAACCTTCCCCCGTCTTAATGGGGCGTCGCAGGATCGCTTACGCATTCAACTACGACGCCCCGACGGCAGGTCTGCCGAAGCAGACCACCACAACCATGGGGTTGCTCCACAGTCCACTCTGCTATCAGAGAAGTACCAGGAGCAACCCGCATGGTACACCGCCCCCCGAAGAGGGCCACCTCCCACCGCCCACCAAAGTGGGCCAACCTCCCTGTGCGTTTCTTAGCTTCGCGCCCGGTTGGATTGCCGGGCACTACTGAGCCCCCCCACCACGACAAGGTGAACGCACGTTGGGGGGGAAGCTGAACGAGTCCTATTACTATCTGGGTTAAGTAATAATCCCATCAAAAGCATACTGTAAAAATATTGCAAGTCTCGCAACGCATCTCTCTACCGCAAAAAGCTATGAGATATAATGTAAAACCAAGTCGGTTAATTTATTCATTACCTATCTATGGAAGCATCTATCCGACAACTTTGTCATAAATCGTTACCGAATTAGTTAAGTTACAACATTTTATAGTGACCGTATTAATATTAGATATATTTATTTCTTTAATTAATAGAGTGACTTGGTCATCGCACGGAAACATAATCACATAAGAGTCTACTACTTTAAATAGTCCTAATTAAAAATACCATGACCAAGGTGGACGGATGACTTGGTCAAAGTCGCTGGAGCCCACTGGATGCGGATGGCACAAGACTGGTTGTCGTGGAAATTTTTGAGGGAGGCCTATGCCCAGCTGTGGACGTGTTTGGGCTGAAATGAACGGAACATAGTACTAGCGGGTCAAATTGATGCATACACTAACAATACATAAATAATGCACTCAGAACGTTAATATTAGGTAAATTTTGTTATTTGTAGGTTCTGTTATCATGTGCGATGGCCAAGTCGTACTATTAATTAAAGAAATAAATATATCTAATATTAATACGGTCACTATAAAATGTTGTAACTTAACTAATTCGGTAACGATTTATGACAAAGTTGTCGGATAGATGCTTCCATAGATAGGTAATGAATAAATTAACCGACTTGGTTTTACATTATATCTCATAGCTTTTTGCGGTAGAGAGATGCGTTGCGAGACTTGCAATATTTTTACAGTATGTTTTTGATGGGATCTCATTTCTTTTTGTAAATATTTCTTCTTTTTCCCTTTTCTTGTACTATTTCCTTTGTGTCAGCTAAGGACTTTTTAAAAGCCCACTCCCTGTCTCTGTGGGCTTTTTTCAGAGGCTTTGATATAACAAATTTTGACAAGTGTGGATGAGAAAAAATCTAAGTCTATTGTATTCGGAAATTGCGGATTCCTGGGCTTCATTACTACTATCTTATGCATTAAGTATAAATATGTATAGTTAATTTAATGAATATTTTAATTTCATTGTTCACCCTAAATACCTACCCCGATACTGATATTGAACTTACGTAAGTTTAATAAAACGTGTAGATTTATGTGTCTATCTGCGGCATCGTAGGTAAATCCCGAAGATTGTTATACTTAATTATTATTGCTTGTTCAGTCAATTTTGATGCAGTTTAATAGAAAAGTGAGGTTGCCAACTCACTTCATTCACTGATTCCATTGGCCATTTTAAAAGTAATTTTCGAAGAGATTGATATTTCATGACCTCTATATTCTATGTTCTATTAGGTTTGTACAGTTACGAGCAATGAAATGTTAACAAGTTTTCTAATTCAAATCAACATAATACTTTATAAAAGAAAATATACGAGCTTTGTTTCAAAATATGTTGGGACAGTAACACACAGAACCATCTAGTTCCATGGTAAGCTACGAGGCTTGTGTTATGGATACTAGATAGTTGATACACTACACATATATAATTTTAAATACATACATATTATAAATATAAACACCCATGACTGGACTACAAACTTTAGTCATCACACAAATGAATGCCCCCAGCGGGACTCGAACCCGCGACCGCCGGCACAGGAAGTAGGGCCGGGCCACTACAAACTGAGCCAAACGTGTCGTCAAAAATTAAGTAATCGTCAAGTTTTGTCGTAATTAGGTATATATTTTAATAAATTCATTATAAATAACAGGTAATCGAATATTAGTTGGTAATACACTATACACGCTTCACGTTGTATTTATGTACCCATTTGTATATGCATAAAAATGTATACAGCTACTGAAAACGCTTGAAATAATATTTTCACATTTGAATAATATTTTTCTAATGTATACAATAGTTGCAATATCAACATTAATAAATAAATAGACGAATCGTGATTAGGTTAGTAATTACGAGGGAACATAGGATCGCACATACAAACATACATACAGGTTAAACACTAACCTAACCTCCTTTTACATTGCAAGTGACGACAATTATATGTATGAACTGCACAAGTAACTTTGTAATCCCATATATCGCATATCTATTTGTATAGGATTACAAAGTTACTGATGCAGTTTGTTGTATATCTCGAAAACAGGATTGAAATTGCGTGATGTTTGAATTTTTCCTTAGGTTATAGAGTAAACACGAATTGTGTTCAAAATTTGAAGCTTCTAAGTCTGCTAGAAGTACCTTAGAATTTTGATGATCGGTGAGTGAGTGAGTGACGATATTAACGAATTTTGATCTGCAACAGTTCATAAACTACTGGTTCAAATTGAATGTAATTTGGAAATGTACGTAGTTTTATTATGTTCTCTTAGTCACTCAAAATTCAAGCTTCTAGCTTTATCCATAACGAAGTTATGGGGGGGTGGAAAATGCTCTGAATCCCTTCGAGAAAAGGATGGTACTGCCGTGCCCTTTTTTGCTCGACTTGTTTGCTCGACTTGGCGGGGGCACTGCCGTGCCCCCCGATATAAAATATTTCCTCATATTATCGACAGAAAAAAAAGATTCCGACGAATTGAGAACCTCCTCCTTTTTGGAACTCGGTTAATAACTTATCCATACATATAATAAAATTCTAAATGAGTCCAATCTGTACATTAAATATTTTTCGAAGAGGCCGAATCTATAGTTTTTAGAATTTTTGTCTGTCTGTCTGTTACCGCGTCACGGAAAAATCACTGGAGGGATTTTGATGAAATTTGGTGTGGTGGTAGCTGGTTATCCGGGTCAACATATAGGATACTTTTACCGCGGAAAAATGTATCATTTCTGAGAAAAAATACAAAAACTGTAATGTAAGAGTATACTAATATGTAAAACAGCCGCGGCCAATGCTAGTACAATTAATATAAAAAACATCAGTCATAACATAGAGACATCTGTATTTTATATCGTGTCTATGACTTACGTTAGTAGATTTAGACACTTGACAGATGAATTTTTATAAATGTATTTTAATAATATTTACAATTTTACATGATAATACGGCTGAAAGAAATCCAGAATTAGTGTTTGCCAATAGCTTGGAAACGCCTCATCCTAATTCGATTGGTTTAATTTTTTTAGTTAAGATTAATAATACGTCTGATGAAAATGATTATGATGTAGAAATTATACCTGATCAGTGTTGTCTTATCCAAGATAGAGACGTGGACTGTAGTTCTGTAAACATATTGAGCGGTTGCGCAGATTTTATACCAAAAGGTATGAAATTAATGATTGTGTATTTTTAATAAAAATATTTATATAGGTTAGTAATATTTTCTCAAACTTGAATATCTACAAGAAGCCTTCGATTGCAAGTCTAAAATGGATGACATGTTTTCTAATAGAAAATGAAAAGATACTAGCTTTTCAGAAGTTTTCCTATTTATTTACAAGATTAATGAATATAAAAACTATATCAATTAACGTGTTTCATTGTTGTAGGTTCAACAAAAATATTAAAACTGATTGCACCTCTATTAGATACCTATGATCGAAAAGGTCGATGCATTGTTTACGTCGATTCAAAATCGAATGATGATCAAGATAAGCGCAACATTGTAAAAATTAATTTTGATACAAGAATAGAAGATGAATTCGATCTTCCTGCTAACTTCAAACATTGTAGATACTTAGACGAAGATCCATTAAATGAGTGTAAGCCAGTGAATTGCGACACTTACTATAACGGGAAAAAATCCTATTTTAGTAGAAAATTTAAAAGATGTATTGAAGTACCTGCCTGTATTTCTGACTTAGATTATCCTTCTATAGTATATAATCCTAATACAAATACATGCTTAGAAGATTCAGTAAATGACGATGATTTAAACTTAATTAGAAATTTAAAAAAACATGGGAAAAGCAGAACAAGCAAAGATATTTATATTATAGGAAAATTTGAACCTAACGTTACGGAATTCATTGATACAATTAACCTATCTGAAGAACTAATAACAACTTTAAAACCACAAATAATTCAAAATAAGCCCAATTCTATTAAAACAGAAAGCTTCAAGAGTATTTTAAGACGATATCTGATAAATAATAAATGGACATTACTAATTTTTAGTTTAATTATTACTGTGCAATGTTTTTTGATTTGCACAATGCTGTACTGTCTATCAAGAACATGTAATTGCCTGAAAGAGAAAAAGGTTGTTCGAAAGTTCTTCAACTACCGGCAAGATGTCTCAGTAACTACACCACTGATAGGGACCAGTAATATTGATACGGAAACAGATTACCAATTTGTCAACGAGTCTAATGTTGAGCAAAAAATAAAATGTTACAAATCCTGTAAAAAAGAAAATAGCAATGTCAATATGAGTATGTCTGATGATATCCTTTCTAAATGTCTAAATAGACGTGATTGGAAGAAGTTTAAATCGGAAGCAATCAATGAATGCGACGTTGACAATAATAATATTTTACCAGATATCAAAAATAGTATACGCGATGAAAAAGATAAAACTACGAATGAAACTAAAATCGCTTTCGAAGATGAAATTATAAATTGTAATACTAAAAACAAATCGAATGTTGTAAATAGAGTAAATAATGAAGAAAAACGTAATAAATATATTTATAATAAAGATGTAGAAGCTAACGTATTATCTGAAAAAGAAATAAAATGTCACAGCTATAACTGTTTCAACGAAGCGTCGGAATTTTCACCAAAACCAAAAGATTGTTATAATGCTGCAATGTCTAAAAACGTAGCTAAATCAATTTCGACGGAAAAGGGTGCTCAAGCACGTTTTTCCAATGATTCAATTGACGATTTTCTATCTGAAAGAGGCGCTATCTATTTAACTGGTGAAAACTTATCGAAATATGCATTTTCGAATGATTCCAACGAGATGAAACCCTCGTCGAGTAAAACATCGAAAATTTTTATTAAAAATTGTCTATCTTTACTACATAAGAAGTCTAAACAAAGCCCATCATCAGATCCTGGACAAAATAAAGAAGTTCATTTGATCCATATGTCGAAAGCCTCTATATATTCTTCAAGCAACGACTCAAATTGTATGAGAAGGTTTAAAAGAAATGATTCTAGAACTTCCTTTTAATTTGTAAGATTTTTACTTGGGTTTTTTAGGTATTAAATAATTTTAAAATAACTCATATTTTATTAAACACTAGCATTGCCCGCGGCTCTGCCCGCGTTCAAATGACCAAAAACCAAATTCTTAGGTTTTACATATCAGTATACACTTACATTGCAGTTTTTGTATTTTTTCTCAGAAATTAGATATTTTCCCGCGATAAAAAGTATCCTATATGTTGATCCGGATAACCAGCTATCACCATACCAAATTTCATCAAAATCCCTCCAGTGGTTTTTCTGTGATGCGGCAACAGACAGACAGACAAAAATTCTAAAAACTATAGATTCGGCCTCTGTATCGATAATAATGTTTATTTCACTAAGATTTTCCAAAAAATATATAATGTACAGATTCGGCTTAGTTACAACTTTACTATATGTATTAACTAGTTATGTATTACTAGGTTTATGCGTAGATTGTAAGTACCTAGGTGTAAGTTTTTAGTTAAATAAGATGAGTAGAGTATTATGTTTGTTTGTGCTAGTTTCCGTTAGAGGCAGCTAGAAATATCTGCTATGATTAGTATTACGTATATTAAAAACGAGTTAGGACTTTTAGCACTAACAAATCTATACTAATATTATAAAGAGGTACAGTCTGTGAGTTTGTGACGTTGTAGAGGGTAATCTCTGGATATACTGAACCTATTTTAATGAAATTTGTTAAGAAGATAGTCTGAGAACCTGGGAAGGACATAGGATACTTTTTATCCCGGAAATCACCCTTAAAGGGGGTAAAAATGGGGATGAAACTTTGTATGGGGAAGCAAGCTAGGGACGAACCCGAGCGAAGCGAGCATGAGGCGCTAGTTGTATATATTTTTAAAACCAAAATATTATTAAAAAAAAGAAACAGCTAATAGTTTTATTCAATTTCATTTCCTGTCGGGCAAGTTTCACAAATGCATGGAGGGCATAACGTGGAGCTTGGTTCCGTTGGCATGGTAACGTAGCGTTCTGGCGTCATCTGGAAAAATATATAACATTAGTGACCTGCGTGACGGCTTTGGTCTGGTGACATATATACATATATAGTACATACAATATACATATATACATACAGTAAACAAGTACGGACATGCGTCTCTGGGTACTAAGGTAGTAAGTAATCTAGTGTTACTTCAGTTCATATTTTATCTGTGTAATAAATTTCATTAAAATTAGTCCAGCCGTTTTAGCATGAAGGAAAATCAAGAATAACTATAGCATGTATTCAGCCCTTTTTAATGTCCCACTGCTGGGCACGGGCCTCCCTTCAATACGAGGGGAATCAGGCCATAGTCCACCACGCTGGCCAAGTGCGGGTTGGCGGACTTGACATGTCTTTCGAAAACTTGCTAGGTTCTCTCAGACATGCAGGTTTCCTCACGATGTTTTCCTTCACCGTAAGGCAAGCGGTAATCATGTTAGAAATGATTCGCACATGAAAATATCAGAGGTGCGAGACCCGGGATATATATTATGTATGTATATAACATATTAAGTATGTATATATGTATAAAACGTATTTGAAATAGTAGTTCGCTTTCTATAACTTCTGCTCCATTTCAAATGTCTAATCTATTTTTGGCCAAGTCTTAAAAAGTTCTTACTTTTATATTTGGGAAGTGAATGTTTCCAAACAACTTGAATTTCGATATCGGTCCTCTTGTAACGCATTCACACTGAGATGTAAAAATTAATATATTAAAGATTTATTTAGACAAATATTTCATATTATATGTAATATAGTACAATTCTTATTTATAGTAAACTAGCGACTTATCGACTAGCGACTTCGGGTTCGTCCCTAGACGAAAACAAATCTATTCCACAGTAACCGTTCATTTTCTTTTTGATAAAAAGTAAACTATATGTGCTATAATACTTTAATCTATCTCTGTGTCAAATTTCATCCAGATCCGTTCAGCCGTTCTGGCGTGTAAGAGGAACAAACATCCATCCATCCATCCTCACAAACTTTCACACCTATCTATATAAATAAAAATGAATGTTGGTAAGCGCATAACTCAAGAATGGCTAGACCAATTCGGCTAAATTTTTTTTCGTATGTTCCTTAAGGTCTACGGAAGGTTTTAATAAAGAGAAAAAATGAAAAATTAACAAAAAAAATAATATGGCAGGCTAACGCTGGCTAATAACTATTTATATCTATTTAAAACGTACCCAGCGACGAAACCGAGCGAAGCGAGGGTGAGCCGCTAGTTTATTAATATTAGTGTGGATTTCTATCTCTAGTAAGAAACACTTCAGATAGATTGAGATCTGCCGCTAGAAGTTTTAAATATCCTAATCTCAAATATCAATCTAATAATTACTTACGCCAGGCTAAAATATAAAATAGTATTAGATATTGTAATAGAATACATTCTTTCAAGTTTCATTCACAATAATTCATTCAGCGTTTCATTTAGCGTCCCACTGCTGGGCACGGGCCTCCCTTCAATATGACCATTAGAGGATCAGACCCTTAGAGTATACATAAGATAATCTAAGATCAGACCACAGTCCAGCACGCTGGCAAAGTGCAGGTTGGCCAACTTCAAAGTTTTTTCAGGAATTAATTTTATAAGACTATCTCAGTCAATATACTAATTTCTTTATGATGTTTTTCTTAACGGTATTAGCAAGTTATAATATTTGAAATGATTTTTACATCAGATTCTCAGTGCGAGACCTGGATTGAAACCCGCATCGCTTGGTTTTCAAATCACCCATGTTGTTAATGGGTTATTTTTTCATTGCAAAAGATTTTTTACATATATATATATATATATATATATATATATATATATATATATATATATATACAAAATTTTTAACTTTTTTGAACGACAGATTCAAGTAAAATATGGTGACAGAAAGGCGTGCGTGGGGTCTTATAAATATTTCTTTCAAAGGATTTTTAAAAGCTCAAAAATTGTGGCAAATACTTACAATCTGTAAATTAATAATATATGTTAATAAATCGTAAATAACAACATTAATATCATTTTCATCAAATTTTTATTAAACTAAATTTCATTAGCGAAGTTCCTTAAGTCAAGAAACATCGCTAACATGCACAATGCTTTAGAGGCAATGTCTCGCGTATTATGTTTATTCATTAAGGTCACATTAGAATTTCTCACTACCCTCGTAAAAGCACCAAAAATTTGCTTCTATTGAGATTATTAATGTTATTTTAGGACTACTTTTTAGTTTTTACTTGTAACTAAACTTGTGTGGTAAGAAAGTCAGGGATAAGGTTTTCAAACTTATACCGCTTAACAGATTTTTATAAAATTTGGCAAGGACATAGATTGCGTCCTGGGATCTGACATAGTCTTCCTTTAAACCCCGCCCCGCATCACGCAAACGAAGCCGCGAGTAAAAACTAGTAGTCTCAATAAATCTAATATATTTAAACGAGCAATTCTTGCATATTCATTTATTTATTTATACCGGTGATCTCGGAAACGGCGCTAACGATTTCGCTGAAATTTGATATGTGTGTGTTTTCGGGGGCGAAATATCGATAGTCTTATGTCATTATTCCACCAAAAATTTGGTCGGTAAATTCGCCTACTCGGGCATTGAATCGTGGTCAAGCGGCCAAAGCGCAAGATAGATAATCTCAGGTGTCCAGGTTCGAATCTTGGTCGGATACAAAGTTTTTACTTTTGTTTCTTTTTGTATTTATTAATGTTTTTTGTTTTTTTTTTATCAAAAAAATACGATATAACAAAAAAGAACTACGTGCGAAGCTCGGTCGCCTAGGTCTAAGCAGGAAAATTTAACAAGAAATTTTCAAATTGGACAGACGTCTGACATTTTCAGACATAAGCGCATGGCAACAAAAAAATGCCTTATTAAGTATGTTACTTACTGTTTGCGGCTAGAATGTGGAACATCCAAATATTACATTAAAAAAATTGTTTAAAAAGGTGTCATACCTAGTTCCATAGGTAACTTATCTATTTGTGAACAAGAGAGCTAGATTTCTACATCATTTTAATCAAGTTAAATAAAGAATAAATAAATATGTTGGGACATTAACACACAGCACCATCTAGTTCCATGGTAAGCTACGAGGCCTGTGTTATGGACACTATAAGGTGTACGTGTTTTCCAGGTGAAATATATTTTTTAAACCATAAAACATGTTAACAAACACGACACAAGGAGGTTGTCGCCAAAAATTTGCTTTTGGCTATTTTTAATTTAACACTCCTCTTTCACACATTTATGTATATAATATGTTCTTTAACATAGTTCTTATATATCTGTCTTGGTCTACCTCAACTTCTATGACTTTTGATTGAATTATATAGAATTTTGTAAAAAAAAGTCTAAATATTTACCATTTTCTGTAAGTGAAAAATGATATTTAGTCGTGTCAGTAAATAATAAAAACTGTCTTCTTATAATACTCGTAACAATAAGCGTTAGATCCCTAAAGAATTCTTCTTCCTGTAAGTGAAAACCGTATGAAAATCGGCACAGTAGTTTCTGAGATAAGCTCGGACGAACAAACTCCGTGCCGAGAGGGAGTGTATGGGACTTTACAACTACTACAGTGATGTCGGTATAATTGCTATTGTTCTTTAAGGTCGTAGCATGATGTAGAATAGCCTAAAACCTTCATCCATACTAATATTATAAATCTTAAAGTAACTCTGTTTGTTACTGTCGGCGACGGAAAACTTATCTTCGAGTAACGTGTGTATTAATATAGGGACAATGTCATTTTAGCGTATTATGAATAATTGTTGTAAATATGAAATCTCATTCTTATTAGATTTATTATGTTAAAATAAGTTCTAATTAGTGTAATAAGGTTAGTTTAGAGTATTTTTTGCTTATTTGAATCATATAAGACTATTTAACATTAATTTGAAAGGAATAGGTACGTAAGTAAAATGTTAGCATATAATTACGTAACTTGAAAATGAGATTGTTTGTTTCTTGCAATAGCAT